TTTACAATATTTTTCGATTATCTCCGTAACCGATAGGCATACAACAACGCTTCAATATACAAAATTATTTCTTTTATAAGCTATACAAAATGGTATGGAAAGAAATCGTGAAGTTATGTGTTTTTAGAGTCAAAAATCAGAAAACCCAATTTTTACCCCATAAAACCCCCCATAAACCCTCGTTCCCATAGTCTGTTCAAATTATTTTGAATAAACGTAGGTTATACATTAGTACCAAATTTGATCAAAATCGGTTCATTTTTGCTCGAGATATCACGCTAACGGACATATACATACATATGTATATATTTCATATATATATATAAATTTAAACGGAGGGTGTTTTTGGCCTATGGAGGACCCCAAAATGAAAAAGTAAATCGGTCCCGGGTCGAGGTCTTACCATGAGACCTACAGTAATAGCTTATTCCCTATATGGGAAATTCGCTAAAAGAATTTAAACTTGTTGTTAGCTTGTTAAAATTTTCCTTTAACTTTTTTTATAACTATTTCTTCTTTTTCTTTTTGATATTTTCTGTTTTTGTTGGTTTAAATTAGGGGCCCCAAATAAAGTCTCCGGTTGGGAACATAAGAGGGTTTTAATTGAACCTAATGATGAATATAGAACGGATTCACGTTTAACATTAGCCTATTAGTTTTAGAAAAAAAAAAAACAGCATCTCATCCTTACACATTTTTCCCACAGTCTCCCCATGATTAGATACAGATTAGATTTAAATAAATCAAATATTTCACACACCTTTAAAAAAAGAGTGTTCATAAATATTAAGTTGGGTAGCTTTTTAAAAATAGATTTAAAATTATAACTCAAACAAAAGAGTTAATCACTGCTCCCCAGGTAAAATAACTTTTCAGGGACTATTATTTAAATTTCATTAGATTCCAGTAACTATTAGTAGGCAACTATTATACTCACTCTCCAGTGTTTTATGAAGTTGAGGCTGTGGAGGGTCCTCTTTCCCTTCCTTCCCTCCCAACTGAAGCTAACATCTACTTCGTTTGTCCGCGATCTGATGAGGGCTTGACAGCCAGAGTCCACCACTGTTGCGCCCCCAATCCTTTGGAAGAAGTCGATCTACAAAAACAAAAAAACTTTTTAGTCTTATTTAATCGTTTTATACTTTCGGCTAAGTAACTACCTTCTTAGGTGTGTTTGACTGTTATAACCATTCTATTTCCCAAAACAATAAGTAAATCCAGACCTGATTCCACAACTGGCCCCTAGGAGTGAACATAACATAACCTAGATACAGCAACAGAAGGTATGTTTCCTATTTGTTGCATTCACTAATTGTGAATTAGGTTTATCTTATTTACTTATGACAGATATACCTATCCATGCATAAGCTAACTTAATTCCTTGTAATTGTTGAATGAAATTGTGTATGCCTAAGGCCCATGTTATATGGACAGAAAAAACGCGACAGATTTTTCGCCGCGTAGACGCCAAGCCTACCGAGCAATGGACGTCACTGTGTGCAAGTTATACGAACGTTTTATCTGTCGCATTGGACACTGTAAACCTGGCGTCAGCGTGGACAACGCGACCGGACCGGTAAAACTGGCGGAAAAAACGCGACAGAAATCATGCGAGTACCTACTGTTATACAGGCAGCTTTTACACAGCAGATCCGTGCTTCACCCCACCATACTTCTCCGACAGGATAGTTCCCAGGCGACTTATCAGGAGTGGAAATTCACAGTTCGGCGACCTTCGGGCTCCCTCGGAGCCTGTCGCGGCGTGTTTACTGCTCGTATAACAGCTCCCTGGCATCGATCTAGATCGAATCACATCGGTGATAGGCCCTAGAAGTTACTAACTTTTTGTCAAAGATCTTGCTTAGAATCCCATTTCTTCTTAACTGTACATCTTTGGTTAGAATTTTTGGCATTTATTTTTATTTTATGAACAGAATTTAACCTTCATTTGATTTGTTCATTATCATCAAGTTTGGTTGGTTAGGTTAGGTTATGACTGTAGGCATAACTGCCGGACGCATAATCCACGTCCACGGTCCCGGTTGCGTATCCTCTGCGAAAAGGATAACTTAACCGAATGTTATTCTTAAGCAAGTGAGCAAGTTATTCTTAGAACAAAACAGAAAACATTTTTTTAGTTTATTATGAATTTCTGTAGGCCTAATTTAACTTATAAGTTAACTGTAGGCCTAAGTTTATTCCCAGCATACAAATTAACGATAACAAAATTAAATTTAAGATGCTCATGATACTTAAAATCAATAACTTAGTTTCACATACCGGTAGGCTATTACCACCTATGTTTTATTAGTAATAAAGGGTACGGTACAGTTTCTTAACTGGGCTATGCTGATATCGATTGAAACTATCGATTCGATTAGTAAACCTTCATGCGATTTTTTCACCGTCAGCAAGTTTGGTAGGTTAGGTTAGGTTATGATAGTTTAATTTTACATTATAATAGATAAATTTTAAAATATTGATTATTAACCAATATTTCCAATTCGATAGTTTCAATCGATATTAGCATAGCCCAGTTAAGAAACTGTACCCGTAATAAATCTTGTAATAAGATCTGGGTACAGTTTCTTAACTGGGCTATGCTTATATCAATTGAAACTATCGAATTGGAAATATTGATTAATAATCGATATTTTTAAAATATATATTTTTTTTATATATTTTAAATTTTTTAAAATATATCTATTATAAAAACTATCATAACCTAACCTAACCAACCAAACTTGCTGATGGTGAAAAAATCGCATGAAAGTTTGCTAATCGAATCGATAGTTTCAATCGATATTAGCATAGCCCAGTTAAGAAACTGTACCCTAAGATCTAAAACCCTTAAAAATTTTTTTGGATTATTTTATTCTCAGTTGGCCTATGTGGTGATTCACAAAAGTATTTACCTTGCCTAGCCCCTAGCTGCATGCCATTAATGTATTTTTAAAACAACTATGACAATCGTGTGATGTGTAAATAAGTTTTAATGGAAAATAAGATTAGGTAAGTTTACTGGTCTAAAAGCTTAAAAACAGGTTGATAAAAGGGCCTAAACGTACTTGATTTCTACCTCAACAAAATTAGCAAATAAGAGACCCTCTGTGTAATTTAATTAGACACTCAGGTGTGTGTTGTAAGTTACGGGGGAGGCCGAGATTTGTTTGAATGTCCTGTTTTTATTCTGAAACAACCTGGTCATCCTACTCTGGGCCTGACTTTTACAAACACAAATCAATGACTAGCCTATGCCTAGCCTATATTAACTAAGCAAATCAGGTTAAGATTAGGTTTTTCTGGGTTTGGACTATCATGTGGTCAATAATACAAATTAAAAATAGCCATAACTTAAGCCTAATTATTAATACCTCAAAAGTTAATTAGGAATAATTACTTACCTTTAACTTTAAACTGTATGTAGGCCTATAAATAAATAGTAAACTTAAACTTAGTAACTTAGTTGAAGTGAAGGAGGAGAGTGATGAGGAAAGCACATAAACATAAACAAACGGCAGCCGACAGCCATACAATAACGAAAGTCGAAACGATACGATAGTGATAAACTTAGTACGAGTACGATATTCCACCTTCAACAGATCGCTCAATCGATTACGTCAACAACTTTTTTTCTGACAGCTGACGTCATCGAATCCTCTTCTGTACCTCCCTTGAGTAAATCCCAAATTGTTGCTTGTAAAATGTAAACAAAAAAATAGAAGAAGAAGGTAGCTCTTAATGTTATTCTTATGGGGGAAAATTAAAATGGTTTTTTTAAGATTTTATAATTATTACAGAATAAATATTCTTCAACAACTGATATTCTCAAGATATTATGCTATAAAATCTTTGTGCAACACTTCAAGTTGGATATACATAGTATTTCTAAGGCTATTGCGTCCCAAAGAGATGCATTTTGTCATGTATGAGAATTCACTTCGTTCATTCAATTAAGTAGCCTATCTTAATTTATTTGTGACATTAACTATAATCGAACATGTTTTAATTTTAATTTTGAGATTCAAGTATTAGGATTCGATCTTTGAAGCCATTTTTTGCTTATTATGACGTATATACAATCAACTGAATGAGATTACAAAATAAATAAATAAAGATAGGCCACTAAATAATGAAATGTTTACAATTAATTAAAAACAGAAATAAGAAAACCAATCATTCAATTTCTAAAATCGGCCAGGGGGTAAAATTCCGGGGGGTAAAATTCCGGGGGTAAAATTCCGGGGGTAAAATTCCGGGGGGTAAAAATCCGGCCCGTACATTTCAGTTGTCAAAACACTAGTTATATGGACAGGGGGTAAAATTCCGGTTTTTATCGCTAATTGAATTAATCACGCTCTGACTATTTTCATTAGACTTCGAAATCCGCGGGGGTAAAATTCCGGCCGCGAACAAACTTTTGGCCACTCAGGTTACTACGTCATAGTGACGTCAGCTTTGGCCAGGGGGTAAAATTCCAGGGGGATAAAATTCCGGCGACCCGTCATGGTGTCACCTTGATGGCAATCCCACGGCCAACTTAAACTCCAGGCCACGGCGGTAGAATTGGCAACCTTCACAAGTAGTGCTGTTTCGAGCCAGAGCCAGTGTTATATAGTCAATGGTACAATCATTTATTTAATGGTACAATTAATTATGTTTTATAAAGGTTTTATTTAACTTGTTTTTTCCTTCCACCGTGATCTAACTTCGTAACGCTTCGCAGTTTATTTTTTACCTTTTATAGAATAATACTTACGTTTTCATAATAACTTTAAGGTAGCCGTGATATTATTATAGTAAAGTAAACAAATACGAATTCTTTTAAACACATATACAGATTCGTATTCACTTCCATTATAAACTTGTATAGTTTGGCAATGCTGATTAAATCCGCATCTCTAGTCAACATCACTGTGTGATTTGTTTTTGTTCTTCTCTTTTTCGTGCTTGTTTATTTTATTGTTTGAGTTTTGAGTTACTTTATTTTTTAACTTACTTTAATACTTTAATAACTATAGTAATTAACTTATACCAGCTTTAGGAAGGAGAATGATACTAAAATACAACATCTTAACCTGATTGTTCTGATAGGAAGGCTTACTATTTTTATTATTCAAGGAAGTAAACAATTAATAAAACTTAAGGTAAGTGAATAAGTTACCTATGTTAGGTTTTATTTTTAGGCCTAGCCCATTTTCATTTGTTAGAAATAGGCCTAGTAGCCTAACTTATATAAGTTTGTGAATTAAGTCTATGGCTATAAATGAAGGGTTTGCTGGCATGTGGCATGTTGCTGTCATTCCTTGGGTCTAAGTTAGGCCTACTAATTAAGGAAAAGGCTTTCCTTAAACTTTTGACATTAGGCTAGGCCTACTACAGTTAAGCTGATTTTTCAAGTACAAGGAGCTCCTCCTAACCTTTTAGCATACCTGCTGTTCTAATAAACTAAGTTAGGGTATCAGAGGTAAGTAAGTTAGGCTTAAATACTTTAACTATATACTTTAACTATAATATATAATACTTAAAACTAAAACCCTTCATCATCATTAACTTACTTCTGGTGGGTTATAACTTATTGCTCGTGCTTGCCTTAAAATCTGAATGCTATTGGGGTGCAGGGCCTGTTTATCAAATTGGCCAGACCAAGTGGGCTCGGGCCCAGGGGCACAAGGAAGAGAATAATTTCCTCGAGGTTGGAAGGGGCACAATTAACTTATCTCTCCGGCTCACTGCACATCACGTAAAATTATGTGCTGCTTGATAGGGATTGCCGTTTAAAAATCTTAAGCTACCCCCAGCAACTCCTAACTTATTTAGGGGATGAATTTACAAAAAAGTACTCTACATTACCCTAGTAACGTGTATTGAAGTTCATTTGAACATATGCAGCCGTTTAAAAATTAACCAGAGGGGGATTAGGACACCTGGTATCCATAATCCAAAACATTTTGAACGGATGGTGTTTTTGGCCTCGGGGGATATCAAAATGAAAAAGGAAATCGGTCCTGGGCCTCAGTCTTACTGCGCCACCTATGGTAATACTTCCCTATTGGGAAATTCGCTAAAAACACAAATTATTGATTAGTTTACGTGACTTTGAATTGATATAGTCTTCCAAGGCTTGTTGGCTTTGTAGATGTATGCCTAACAACACAAATATCTCTCCTAGATTCCTCCCACAGTCCCACGACACAGAAGAACCTAAGTTAACATGTCCTCTGTGTTATAAATCCGTTCTATTGGTGTAAATACATATTTTCCCTAATACAGCACATAAGCTATAGATCTGCGTTTTTACAAAATACCATATACACTAATGATGACTACCATTTATACATAATAATGTATAATTATACATGCATTATACATGTATAATGACCAAACACTATTTAAAACTATGATGCCTCAAAATACCAAATATAACATGACTGTGGAAGAAATATCCCTACAATAGCCTACAGTTATTATTAAATTATATCTTCGAAAAAGGGTCAGAGATGTAAAAGAAAAAAGGTGTGCATATTTTAAGCTGAATATGGTTACCAGAGGGTGAACGTTTTGGCTTTCCATATCCAATACCTACTAGGTCAGCCTAAATAGAATGTTCTTTTAAAACATATTATTTTGGGGTAAGTAGGCCTAAGGGAACTCAGGTTCCTTTTTATGACTTCTTTTTTTGATTCTTAAGGTTTGTCCAAGAATTGGTCTAGTTAAATAAGTGATTCTGTTACAGTAATTGAATCTTTTGTAAAATCAAGACTTCACCACTATTAAAATGGCAGAATACAAGAAGATGTTGGTTGAAGTTAAACTGTGCTCTTTTTCAGGTTTGGATGCAATATTTTTGCCTAAAGGTTAGAGAGAACGTAAAATCACAACAATGTCACATGACATGTTTGCAGAATCTGAGCCTATGCAGGTAATTTACTGATTATTTAATAGCTGTAAGTTAGACTTCTCATTTAGGTTTTTAAGTACATCACTTTTGAATTTTGATGTCCAAAAGTTGAATAAAAAATCTTAAAACCGATACTGTAGGTAGTAAACCAAGTGGCAAATATACAGTTAAAGCACAAAACTTGTGGGATGTACAGGGAATCAAGGGGAAACAAAAGACATCATCGAAGCTAGCAGGCTCTGCTTTTGTTGCGGAAGTATGTCAACCTACAACTAAACTAAATAAGTGATGAATACAGGTTTCCAAATCCATCCAGCTCCCATGGGTTGGTACAGTTGAAAGTTGATACAGCAGAGTGGGATGTACCCAGACTGGGCCAGCCTGGGTGGCACAGGGGGGGCCCAAGTTTGGGACAAATCAAGGTGTGCGGAAATCTATTCCGATTAGGTGGTCAACAATTTTACTAATCCTATGCCGGTTTCTACACCTCTGTATTGTAAAATATTAGAACATCCAAGCCCAAACTTAGTGCAGCATTAGCTGTCCCTTAATACTTTTCTTTGTGTTAAAAAGTTTTATAACCGATTTCACATTGGCAGGTAACTTGTACACCGATGAAAGCTCCTAGGACACCATCTATGACTCCTACAAGATCAGGCAGAAGACGACGGCCTTCCATATCGGACCGGGGTATGTATAAAATACCACAACATTTACGCCCTGGTGTAAAAAGATTTAGGTATACAGGATTAAACCAGCCTCGGTAAAACTGAAAAATTAACACATTGTAGGCAATTTTTCCTGCTTAAGCTTATTTAAATTTCCAGTGATGTAGAACATTTGGAGGTTTTTCAACAAGTAAAATTAATTAATTCTCATTTAGTCATGTGTGTCACACTTTTTTATCTGTAAAAATCACTGCTTATCTTAATTAAATGGAGTGAATTTTCTATTGGTTTTTAGGAAATTACAATCTAAAGTTATTTAATGCATTTAAGGGTTAGAAAACAACTGATGAAGTTCTTTGTTAATGCTGTCAAATGTCATATCATTCATGTTGACGTCATCGATGAACACGAAAATACGAACTTACATCGTGAAAACATGGGATGACATTGTATGAATATAACTGGCCAGTACAGGAAGCTAGAAATTCATTTAGTCTACAGTTTTGCTGCGGCAGGGGTATTATAATTTTTCAAATTTGGAATACGTATGTGAATATAGCTACCCTTGTTATGTTGGATCATAATGATTAGACTTTATCGTAAAACTTTTGCTTTGATTCCTGTGGCTTTTGTTTTATTTTTTATTCTTTCTTTCTTTGCATTGTTTCTTTTTCAATTGTTTGAAATTAAATCCTTCATATTTTATCTTTTCCTTTGTTCCTCGAAGCTCCCAAACCAGATTCCAAGTACTTCTCACAACCTGTTCGTACAGAAGACTTTTACGACCTAAGGAACAGACTAGTCCCCTTAAATGACAATGGTAAGGACCGTATCTTATTTTTAACACTGTTAATATATGGTAAATATATGGTGGATTTATATTATTTAACTCATAGTATATTTCTATAAGCAATCTATTTTGTAATGCACTTTTTACTGTGGCAAAGAGATTTATAAATTAGTACCTGTAACTTACAAGCTATTCTCAAACAAATTAACGTTTATCTAGCCACTTCCAAAAATATTTACAATTTATTGTTGTTCTTTTAATACAGAAATGATGGTACTAAATATAGAATGAATCAATATAAAAAAAAATTGTAAAATGTAGGAAAAACCTTTTCATTATACTGTCCGGAGTCCGGAACACAGAATATTTTAGTTCTCTAAATCGTCCGCAAATTTATCGTTTTCGGGTAACTTCAAAATAAGGAACAGAAAAAACAAGTATTACATTTTTCGGTTTGCTAACCTCATAATTTTATTAATCCATTCTGAAAACGCTGCTAATCATACGATATTTAAAATTATTTTTGTAAACAACAGAAATGTAAACATTGGTGACGACTTTGTACAACCTCAAATTATGTTGTCTATTGTAACAATTAGAAGGTTATTTCCACAGTATGATGAAAATAATTATGCATCACATGGAGCGAAAGTGTCTTTTGGTACTTAATTGTATTTCCATCGTAAAACATGATTGCGTACCAAAAAAAGCCACTTTCGCTAGTGATGAAAACTACTATTTTATTAGATTTAATGAGTTTTATTTACATGATTCAATACAGTGACAACCAATTGGCACAGGTGACTTATCCACAGATATTTAAAATTACATTTGCGTAACTGGTACCCTATACTAGAACTAGTACTCCTTGTACTTTATGTAAGCCACAATAACACCGTTAAGATTCGTCTTGGGTATTGTATTCAAACCACACCTCCTACACAAAATACACCAATGTTTTATATTTTGTAACCCTGGAAAAACACACTATGTTACAGAACTTTGGTTGCAATATGGCATAAAGCCAAGCCCACAAATAAGATCCTCTGTCAACTTTCAACCCAACCTACGAGAGGAAACAACCACCTCAACAAAGGAAGAAGGTAAACAAGTTAAATCAAACTTTACTTTAGTTTAATTTTGTTCGTTCAAGTAATTGAGGTTGAGTTAACAAGTCATTGTTGTGTTATCCACATGGGTGCAGAGGTGAAAGTATGAATTGAATATCTGGGTGATTCATTAAAACAGAGTCGTTGTGTCCTTGCGCTGTAACCGTAAGTTGATCTGCTTTTTTCCTGTCCAAAAGGGAATAGGGTATTACTCATAGCAACGGGGTTGAGGGGGGTGGTGCACATTTGAGTTGTAGTTTCACAATTGGTTGCCATGGAGGCGGGAAGGTAGTCCATGTTCCATTCGCTGTCATTTGCAACAATGGCGTAAGTGGGCCGTGATGGGGGGGGGGGGTAGGACGAAGCCATCATCAGGGGTTTTCTGGAAATTTTACCGGGACATGGACTCCCGACGGGCCCTGCCACACAGGTCCCCATTTCATAACAACATTAATTTTAGTATTACCATACGTTTTTTATGACGGCAATAATTTGTTTAAACCAGTAAAAGCGCTAGTAGCCTGCGTGAAGGCGCTATAATGGGGCCATATTTAGAATTGATATGAGACCCCCCATATGTCACACCTGAGAGGCCCCTCTATAGTGATTCACCTGAATTAACTGGACCATTTTTTTAAACAATTAAATCAGCGAATAAACCTAGGAGGCTAAGACACTAGCTAATAAATAATTCCACTCTTTCAGCGGACCAGATTTGTTTACTTCGAATCATTAAAAAAAATGTTACCTTTGGGTCTCGGGCCAAAATCAGGTCGGTTCAAAATTGGTTTCCTTTGGAAAGTGTTGAAATTTAATAGAGAAAATCTTCATACAACTTTATTCATTTCAGATCTAGCACAAAGTCAGAAAATGAAGCTCGAGCCGTGCTTTTATGACTTCAATAACATCGCGACCGCGGAACGCGTCTGCGGGGATCAAGCCCACGCGATTGAGAGATTCATGCTTTTGTAGTGATCACGAATGTCAACGAGAACATTCACCCATGGGTGATGATGATGATGCCTTTGCGGCCGCGGGAGCTGTTCAATATTTTGTCACGATTGCGGAAGAGGATAATGATGTCCAAACGACCGCAGAAGACATTCAGTATTTTGCTGCGAAAGTGGAAGACGATTAATGATTCCATGGCCATGGGAGATATTCAAGATTTTTATGCTATCCCAGGAGACAATGATGACGTTTCTTTTTCCGTTTGCAAAATTTGTACCGTACAGACAAGAAAGCGAGCTAATAAACGCGTGTTAATAACGAACAGCTGTTGTAGGCGATAATAATTGTGTTTTAAAAGGTAGGTTAAGAGTTTTAAATACCCTGCATACAATTTAAATTATTATTTATTCTGATTTAAAGCAAAGAGGTGCCAAGGTGTGTTAGAAGTTTTCGAAAGACTTCACTAGTCCTGTGACACTTTGGTTATGTAGGCTACACACTTAGCCATCTTGAGCATCCTGTAAATAATTGGTAAAATTCTATTAGACAGTAATCTGTTACAACTATTATAATTTGATTACAGTGAAACATGATATGGCAGAGAGACAGAGACTTAAGGAGAAAGTTTTCAATTTTGCTAAGTGTTTGAGGATGTTAACCCTCATAATCATCAGTGCGTTTTTAGGTATGTTTTTAACTTTTTTTGCCTACACAAAGGTAATGTATGAAAAAGCTAAAAGCTATTGGACTCTAGCTTTTTGAGTTTAATATGTTTTAAAAAAACTTTAATTTTTTTTATTGCCTATTAGTTATGTTGATAATTTTTTTTTATTTAGGGGCTAAATAAACAATGGATGGTTTAGTATTGTGTTGATTTTAGTGTTACAGGTGTATTTTAGGCCTACTGTTTAATTGTTTTCTCATTACTGTACATTATTTGCAAAAACTTGTTTATCATGTTTTTAATTTATTTACAAGGAAATTTTTAAATCTTTTGTTGTCTGCGGATAAAATCTTTAATGTAAAATAAATTATTTTTGATGAGTTTTTCTAAATAGTTTTTAGTATAGGCCTACTTTCATTTTTATGTGAGCATTTAATAGCTTCTTGATTAGCAAAAACAAGGCATTTAATTTCAAAATATTGTATTAGTAAATGTTTTATGTTTTAGGGGCGTGTTGTTATGCTTATATAGAGCATAACCTTTTGTTTACTGACAACTACAGGTGTCATCCACAAATAGAACAGGATGTTCAGATGAAAGAGTAAGTATATTTCATAATGCAGCTTAAAAATCATCTCTATAAAATTAAAGCTTAGATAGCTTGTTTAGATTCTGTTCGATTCACATATGTGGCCTTTAGTACTGTCGGATGAAGAAAGGAATGGAAAAGAATATTATATTACATTTTTATAGTTCTAGGTCAGAGGATTCAACTTATTCTTCACATCTGGAAAGCTCAGTGGTTCGTCTCTCAGAAGAATTAAAATATTTAAGAAATCACTGCAACAAAATTCAGGTATCCTTTGATATTGTATAAATCCCCTTTAATCGATGTAATTGAATATTAAAAGAAACTTAATCTCACCCATTGGATGAAAAAATAAATTTTTGTCATTAAAAGAGGTACCATAGGCGACTATTTCAACGGTTACATTTGCTCGTACCACATAGTGCTCAAACCTATGGTTGGAATATTTTTTGCAAAGCAAGGAGTGAACATTAATAGAGTGAAATTTACTGATAAAATTGATTATAACAGGTTATATGTACCTTGACGTCCACAATTCCTCAGTTGAACTTCCGTCTAGTTTCATCTAGGTCGTTTTCAAAACGGAATGTTAAATTTCATTCATTGAATGTTGTCAATTTTATTTCTTCAAGGTACCTAACCTGTTATGATTGATTACCAATTCTGGAAGGCTTCAACATTAGGGTGGGCTGAAAAAAAAAATTATTTTTTTTTCTTAATGCTATACCGAAAAAAACTTGTCTCTATGATGGGTTATCAAAATGCAACAAAGAAAAAAATCTATACCTAACCTCTAGCTAGCGCATTACACTTGAAATTTCAAAATTTCACTCAAATTATAAGCTTTTGTAAATATAATTAAAGCATCTAAATACCTGCATATTGGACTGCTATAGTGATATTACGTTAGAACAGAGCCTTGGAAATACAATAAGTAATTGCAGAAGTTTAATTGTATTAATCTGAGGTAGCGCAATAGTCATTACAATGACGCATTTTTGAGTCAAGTGCGGGATGACAGCTGCGAGTTCGGGCGATGACCCGGCGGCCTTGCCGGGCTCCCCCACCCATACTCTCCACACACCCACAATGCACTTCGCGGGGAGACGTTGAGACGGCCTGTCACTCGGCAGTTTACATCTGTGTACGATTTTGGACTGACGTTTGAGTTGATCTTGTAAATTATGTTTATAATTTTTTGAGTTAAGTTTATTGTGCGTGATGGCCGTTGCCAAGAAAGTGACTCGGAGTGACTTTGATTGTCCTTTGTTTGGCTGTCCAAGGGAATTGCCTGTGAGTAAGCTTCCAAATTACCAGGATGTTATTAGGAGCTGTTTCCATGAACAGTATGTACTAGCATTAGAAAGTAACAAGCCTGTTAGTTTCTCTCAGATATCAAATATTGTTGCTCCAAAAGTAAAAGCAGTCTTTGACAAAGCATCAATACCAACAGTGACGCCTTACAGAATCGTTCAGTTAATAAACTCATACCATGATAGCTACCGTAATCTAATGAAGTCCTTTAAGCGTGACAAGGAAAAAGAGAAGTACAAACAAAAAGTTGAGGAGTTCAGGCAAAAGGCTTTATCACTATTTGATGTATCTGCATGTAAATGTAAAATAACATACTCATGCAACTGCAAAAAAGTCCCTGAGATCTGTGAGTGCCCTTTGTCAATTTCATGTAAATGTGAAAAAGACAAAAAGATTCCCGTGCTTGAACTTAAGTTTATGTATTTCCAAAGATATCTTGGACAAGGAAAAATTGGAAATGTAGACAAGAAGGAGTCGAAAAAAATAATCAAAAGACTGCAACGTAAGGAAATAAAAAATCGGGTTGTGTCGTCTAACATTCCACCAGTTTCATATTCCCAGCCTACATGCTCTAAGAATGTGACGGAGTCAAACATAGATCCAGACAAAATCTTAATGGAAAAAGAAAAGTCTGATGATTCTGATGACGACTACATTCCTATTCCGAGTTCTACTAAACAGCAGTGGCAAATGCGTATACAATTAAAAAATACCGTATTGGCAAGTGACCGATTTGGGGTTTCGGACAGAGCAACAGCTGCTATTGCCTCTAGTGTACTTCATGACCTAGGTCTTGCAACTAAAGAGGACGATTTCCTCATAATAGATAAGAACAAGGTTAGAAGGGAAAAACAATCATTCAGATCGAATCTCCAAGATAGAATAAAAAATGAGCCGGACGTAATTCAAGGGCTATATTTTGATGGCCGAAAGGATAACACATTGAAGATTGACAAACTGAATCAAAAGTGTTTTAGAAGAACTGTAAAAGAGGAACACTACTCTATCATTCAGGAACCTGGCTCAATTTATGTTGGCCATGTATCACCAACTACTGGAACTTCAAAGGACATTGCCAGTGCTGTCTTGGACTATTTACATGAGCAAAATTTTTCGCTGGATGAGCTTGATGTGATTGGATGTGATGGTACTGTCACAAACACCGGCTGGAAAACTGGTGTAATTCGCAAAATCGAAGAGAAAATTAAAAGACCACTGCAGTGGGGAGTTTGCCTTTTGCACCTAAATGAATTACCATTTAGGCACTTGTTTCAAACTTTGGATGGTGAAACGACTGGTCCTACATCTTTTAGTGGTTATATTGGCTCGAAACTCAAAAATTGTGAAAAACTTCCAGTTGTGCAGTTTCAAAGCATTGATTGTGACATACCAGAAATTGATAGGAAAATCTTAAGTAAAGACCAACAGTATCTTCTGGACATAAGTTCGGCTATAAAATCAGGCACCTGCTTGGCAGACTTGGCAGTTCGTGAACCAGGTCCTATTTCTCATTCTCGATGGCTGACAACAGCAAACAGAGTACTGCGTCTCTATTTAAGTGTTGAGAATCCATCTGAAGAACACCAAACTTTGGTACAATTTATACTTAAATCATACATGCCTGTATGGTTTAAGATTAAAAAAAGTAAATACCTTACTGATGGACCAAAACATGTTTTCGATTTAATAACATCATCAAGATTCCTGCCAGAAAACTTGATTAAGGTGGTTGATCCTGTGATCGAAAGAAATGCTTTTTTCGCACATCCAGAAAACTTGCTACTGAGTATGATCGTTGATGAAAGGGCTCATATCAGAGAGTTGGGGTTTAGAAGAGTTATTAAATCAGGGGCCGTGGCTTCCAAAGAAAAGCTAGTCCGAACTTTTAAACCTCCAAAACTCAACTTCCAGGCAAAAGAATATTACGAAATTATTGATTGGACTACTACAGCTATTTATCCACCACCTCTGTTACGAAGAGTAACCGAAGAAGAAATGTGGGCCAAGATTTCAACTGCCAGTACAGCAGAAGAATGGAACTTTCATAAATTCCCGTGTCACACACAAGCAGTTGAGCGCTGTGTGAAATTGGTAACTGAAGCCTCCTCAAAAGTTGTTGGCGTCAAGAACAGAGATGGTTTCATCCGAACAACACTGCTTTCACGAGCTTCAATGCCAAGTTTTACAAGCAAACATGATTTCAAGGTTCCAAATATGTAAATAACTATTCAGTGAGAGTCAAATAGACTACAATTTTGCAGCTTGGGAATCGAAATTTGTATTTAACAATCTATTTTGTATTCATTAAATCCATTTTGATATATGTATGTAAATTGCTTATATCTTTATTTAATTTTCCAAGAGGTTTTCTTAATTTAAGTACCAACATTATAGATCTAAAAACACAATAGTAGTGGGTACAAAAAAGTTAGAGAATGTACTGCACTGCAGTTGGTTAGCATTAAAAACGTCACAAATTTACTATATTGAAGGCCTTTGCGCCACCTCAAATTTAAAAATTACAAAACTTCCTATAGTTTATTGACTATTTGTAACTCTAAAATATATTATTTTCACTATAGCAAACTAATATATAAAGGTTTAGATACTTTTAAAAAATTTTAAAAATCCTATGATTTGAGTGAAATTTTGAAATTTCAAGTGTAATGCGCTAGCTGGAGGTTAGGTATAGATTTTTTTTCTTTGTTGCATTTTGATAACCCATCATAGAGACAAGTTTTTTTCGGTATAGCATTAAGAAAAAAAAATAATTTTTTTTTTCAGCCCACCCTATTCAACATGAATAAAAAGATAAAATAGAGTTGCGACTCTGACATCGCTGCCATGGATTTGTAGTACAGTACTGACTAAGCCACAGACTCACAAACTCTTGTTACACAGAAGGACCTCGATATTTTAAGACTGAAGGGGGAAGCATAGATAATTGTGGGATGACCATTATAACTTATAGATTTAAAGTCATACATATCTTGTTCAGTTTTCAGTTCTTTCAGTGTGGCGAGACCTCTTTATCCTCTTTCTCCTGTCCCTCCACAGTTTCTCTCACCATTTTCCATCTGACTCCTGTCTTCTCTACGTTTCCTTAACCTCTCCAGTTATCCTTCCCACTGTTAACATCAACTCAATTTTAAGGATCTCATCTTTCTTCTATGCTGTACACACATCTACGCCACGTTAGTCCTCTTGTGTGCTCTCTCTTTACACTTTACAGCTAGCTTCAACTATCCCTTTATCTAAAATTTTTCATCCTCTACTATTTCAGCTTCTTTTACTCCTAATAATCCAACATCTTGGGGAAGTGAGCTGTTCTAGTGGTTAGAGCGTGGGACTTCGGTCCTGAGGTCCTGGTTCAAATCCCTCCATATCACCAATGGTCATTAGGTCTAGCCTGAAGTAAGGTGAAAAAGAATCCTGTGCTCGTGCCTAGCGTCTTAGGACGAAAAACAAATTTGTCCAACATCTTAATGGCTCTTAATTTTACATGTTGAAATGTAATTCCCTTAGTTAACTCCATTCTGTTTTGTGTTTATTCCACATTTCTGATCCATAATAACACAATTTTTAAATACAATTTAAGGTTAATTCAAAAAACAATAATCAATCTCAAAGATTTCGGTAGGCTACTAAAAATGTGAATTAAATTTTTATATTATTTTTACTGTTTTCAGGAAAATCAAAGTAGTGAAGTATTACCACACCCCCAAAGAGGAGTTTTGGAAGGTAAATCTTACTCTAATCTCAAAGTCATTATTAAGTTAAGATAGAAAATTTTGTTTAGAGTTATACAGTAGAACCTCAATAATTAGAAATCCTTGATAAATCGAATTTACTTAGTTAATTCAATTCCCCTTAAACTTCCCCATCTGTTGCAATGTAATACCTCTACAATTTGAATAGTTCCCGAGAAGAAACACCACTATGGTATTTTCCGTTGTAAAAGTAGACTACCTCTATAAATCTAAGTTTTAGTCCGTCCAAAAACCTCTATAATTTGCAATCGTGCAACTGCCGCATCTCTACAAGTCAAATTAAAAGCAAGAAACCCTCTATTAATCGAAGTTGTATGAAATTGTTATGATTCAAAACATCGATACTGTGTTTCACTGTGTCGTGTTTCGACAGGAAATACGAATCCTTTATTTTGTTCAAATCCCACTTCTGTAGCGATCCATCTCAGTCATGGGCGAAATTTAAAGTGCGCCTCGTGTACCTCAGATACAGCGTCTCCTTTATTTTGGAGTGTTTAGTGTTAGTGAGTTTTTTCAAGCCAATATGGCAAAACGTTCGTACAAGACACTAACCTAGGAGGATAAGTTAAAAGTTATCGAAGGCAATCATTCATTGTAAAAGTGAGATTCCAAACAGGTGATAAGAGAGCAGGAACCTGTCTAATAATAAACAGGTGGTAGCCGAGGGGCGAAAACTGGGAGGGGGGGGTAATTTCTGGACTCATTTGTTTGTTTACTTCATTCCTTACTCCATAACCTTTGCACTGAAAAATGGCTATGAGCAGTAGAGTAGGTTCAACATAGAAGCAGTTTGAAATTAAAACTAACTACACTCAACTCCCGATTAAACGTAATCGGATTAACCACGTTGCGGCTCATCTGGAACACGTTTAATGGAAAATAAGAAAGAAAAGAATAGAAAACTGTAATAGTTTTACTGTCTTGTATTTTAATACCATTTCCTATACAATAGTATTTTGCGGGTTAATTTTATGTATCCGTGAAGCCTTAGTGTGACGGATTCAGGTTTAAAGATATTTTCAAATAAATACTATTAACACATTTTCAACATTGATTCAATGTTGAAAATGAGGATTATCAAAACTAAACCACCATGACGATGTAAAAAAATGTAGCTAATGTTGTTGCAAACCGTGCCAACTAGCACCACATAAAGGATGTCCAATCCCTGGTCATGAATTTATTGTAAAATATGTTTCAAGAACAATAGTTTTACATTTGCTTTGGTTGTCAGTGTGTGCTGCACTACAGTAGGGGCTTACGCTGTCAGTTTTTGATATTTTCCTTTCAAGTGGATTTAAGCTTTGGCTTCACTTCTGAGGAAAAGGATAAGGATAGGAAAAGCACAGAAAATTTTCTGATGAATGCTTTCTGAGTTATTACACGGAAGCTGCTACTTATTAGACAGGACTCGATACATGGAAAATTGTTTTGTCCTCTCCCTTGGGCTACACAAGGCAGAAAAGTAACTCTCCGTTCAATGAGCTGTCGACTAGCAATTGTTTGGCTGCCTCTTCATGCACTCTCCCAAATGAAATAGTTCCTAGCAGTTTCTTTTCTATAGGTTCCATTTGTTTCCTTTCCTATCTGGTGTAGCAGAATCATGTATTTAGTGTTTCTCACTGTCATAGAACTACTGGTGGCAGACTTGGTCAGTGCTGGCAACCTAGGCTCTGTGTTAGCCACGCCGCAGACCATCACATACACTGTGCCTACGACCATCACTCTTCTATGGCTGTTCTCCTTCACTGTACAACTGAACCATAGATCACCCACAACTACTATTGAGGTAAGTCAGTGTTTCCCTGGTGAGAGTTCTGGCAGTTTGAACTGTGAAATAATGATTAAGGTTGGTAGACATTACGACGTCTCAAATAAATTTAAAAAAATCATATAAATGATTTGAGAGAACAAATTAGGGCTAGGCACAGTTACCTCTAGCACTATTTTGGAGATTCCAACACAGAAAATAGACTCAGGTGATGGTTTCTTATATTATATTACCAACTGGGAAGGAGACTATGTAGAAGTGTACCTAGTGTTTCATTTGTATATATTAAAATATTTTTTGAAGACTTCTTTTATCCTAAATTCTAAAACGTAATCTACTTTCCGGATAGGCCTCGTAAATACTAAATTACAAAAATTCAAACCTAAAATAAAAATAAACATTTTTGTAATATATTCACAATAGTTATTTATTACTCATGCAGGGGTTGATCCAAGAGGTGGGAGACTGTTGGCCGTTCCTTGGTAGCCAAGGAAGACTCGTTTTGAAGTTACACAGAAGCAGTCATATCACTGGGGTGTCTATTAGTCACATACCTTCCTCACTCATCGTATCTGGAGATATCAGCTCAGCTCCTCGGATATTCCAGATGTGGGTATGTATCTTATAGTCTCTTAGTAACATATCTACCTTCCTCATCCTATCTGGGGATATCAGCTCAGCTCCTCAGATATTCCAGATGTGGGTATGTATCTTATAGTCTCTTAGTCACATACCTTCCTCACTCATCGTATCTGGGGATATCAGCTCAGCTCCTCAGATATTCCAGATGTGGGTATGTATCTTATAGTCTCTTAGTCACATACCTTCCTCACTCATCCTATCTGGGGATATCAGCTCAGCTCCTCAGATATTCCAGATGTGGGTATGTATCTTATAGTCTCTTAGTCACATACCTTCCTCACTCATCGTATCTGGGGATATCAGCTCAGCTCCTCAGATATTCCAGATGTGGGTATGTATCTTATAGTCTCTTAGTCACATACCTTCCTCACTCATCGTATCTGGGGATATCAGCTCAGCTCCTCGGATATTCCAGATGTGGGTATGTATCTTATAGTCTCTTAGTCACATACCTTCCTCACTCATCGTATCTGGGGATATCAGCTCAGCTCCTCAGATATTCCAGATGTGGGTATGTATCTTATAGTCTCTTAGTCACATACCTTCCTCACTCATCGTATCTGGGGATATCAGCTCAGCTCCTCGGATATTCCAGATGTGGGTATGTATCTTATAGTCTCTTAGTCACATACCTTCCTCACTCATCGTATCTGGAGATATCAGCTCAGCTCCTCGGATATTCCAGATGTGGGTATGTATCTTATAGTCTCTTAGTCACATACCTTCCTCACTCATCGTATCTGGGGATATCAGCTCAGCTCCTCGGATATTCCAGATGTGGGTATGTATCTTATAGTCTCTTAGTCACATACCTTCCTCACTCATCGTATCTGGGGATATCAGCTCAGCTCCTCGGATATTCCAGATGTGGGTATGTATCTTATAGTCTCTTAGTCACATACCTTCCTCACTCATCGTATCTGGGGATATCAGCTCAGCTCCTCAGATATTCCAGATGTGGGTATGTATCTTATAGTCTCTTAGTCACATACCTTCCTCACTCATCGTATCTGGGGATATCAGCTCAGCTCCTCAGATATTCCAGATGTGGGTATGTATCTTATAGTCTCTTAGTCACATACCTTCCTCACTCATCGTATCTGGGGATATCAGCTCAGCTCCTCGGATATTCCAGATGTGGGTATGTATCTTATAGTCTCTTAGTCACATACCTTCCTCACTCATCGTATCTGGAGATATCAGCTCAGCTCCTCGGATATTCCAGATGTGGGTATGTATCTTATAGTCTCTTAGTCACATACCTTCCTCACTCATCGTATCTGGGGATATCAGCTCAGCTCCTCGGATATTCCAGATGTGGGTATGTATCTTATAGTCTCTTAGTCATATACCTTCCTCACTCATCGTATCTGGGGATATCAGCTCAGCTCCTCGGATATTCCAGATGTGGGTATGTATCTTATAGTCTCTTAGTCACATACCTTCCTCACTCATCGTATCTGGGGATATCAGCTCAGCTCCTCGGATATTCCAGATGTGGGTATGTATCTTATAGTCTCTTAGTCACATACCTTCCTCACTCATCGTATCTGGGGATATCAGCTCAGCTCCTCGGATATTCCAGATGTGGGTATGTATCTTATAGTCTCTTAGTCACATACCTTCCTCACTCATCGTATCTGGGGATATCAGCTCAGCTCCTCGGATATTCCAGATGTGGGTATGTATCTTATAGTCTCTTAGTCACATACCTTCCTCACTCATCGTATCTGGGGATATCAGCTCAGCTCCTCGGATATTCCAGATGTGGGTATGTATCTTATAGTCTCTTAGTCACATACCTTCCTCACTCATCGTATCTGGGGATATCAGCTCAGCTCCTCAGATATTCCAGATGTGGGTATGTATCTTATAGTCTCTTAGTCACATACCTTCCTCACTCATCGTATCTGGGGATATCAGCTCAGCTCCTCAGATATTCCAGATGTGGGTATGTATCTTATAGTCTCTTAGTCACATACCTTCCTCACTCATCGTATCTGGGGATATCAGCTCAGCTCCTCAGATATTCCAGATGTGGGTATGTATCTTATAGTCTCTTAGTCACATACCTTCCTCACTCATTGTATCTGGGGATATCAGCTCAGCTCCTCAGATATTCCAGATGTGGGTATGTATCTTATAGTCTCTTAGTCACATACCTTCCTCACTCATCGTATCTGGGGATATCAGCTCAGCTCCTCGGATATTCCAGATGTGGGTATGTATCTTATAGTCTCTTAGTCACATACCTTCCTCACTAATCTTATCTGGAGATATCAGCTCAGCTCCTCGGATATTCCAGATGTGGGTATGTATCTCATAGACACATACCTTCCTCATTCAGCGTATCTGGGGATATCAGAGGGCAAAAAAAAACATGTTAACTGGGCGACACAACAAGTGTGCACCCATTAAAATTTTTTTTAATATTCACATTTTAAATGTATTGGAATTTAAAAAGTATTTGATAACATAACATTTTGTAAATATTTTAGAGTATTTTAGCTTCCGTTAAATAAAGAAGTGATTAACAATGAAACTGTGATTTCTGACTTTGAACGAGTCAGAGAAAGAGAGTGACTGACTCTGAGATCAGACAAAATGGGGAGCTGGTTGGCAGATTTGTGTTGACAAATTGTTTAGTTAGTACACTTTTGAAATTGAGCTAAGATTTTGGCCCAAGAGGTTGTGCAGGGAGACTTGGCCTGTTACAACTTTCTAGAATACGTAAATTATATATGGACTATTTACAAGCAAATATGATCAGAAAATTTATTAAAAGATACGTAGAAATGTTAAATTTTCACGTTAATTCATGCAAACATTTCCCTGCACCCCCATTTAGCTTGGAGGGTATTCCATATGTTCTGAAAATCTTCTGTTTACTCAGGTTCACCGAGGGAAAGAAGGTGATTTTGACAGTGGACTATTGTTGGGAGAGTTTGAATATAAGACTTCAGGACCATGGAGACAATCTTTTGCTGTTGATAGCTTTGTGAGTTTTAATTCTTAACGTAAATATAGTCGAACTTCATAATCAAATATTTCTTTGGTCACTCTTGTTGCACAACTCATAGCTTATTTTGTCATTTTTAATTTTCTATCTTACGTTTAAGGCTACATATTTACAAATGATTATATGTAACTTGAGATGTATTTTTGTACCATTAATTATATAATAGCGGATCCAACATAGAGTACATAGAACATCTAGGTCTTCAAGATGTTTGTAAGGGTGGGCCTGGAGACAACACTCTCTCCAAATCATACCCTCCTTATTTAAAAATGCTGTCAGTGAAATCTAATTTTTCAAAATTCCGTACAAGAGGTTTGCGAGTCTGAGATTTTTGATTGAGCCAAGCTTTTGGAAAGAAGCTTGAGGCGTCACAATCACTTCATCAGAAGGTTGTCAATACACATATTGTACATTTATACACAAACATAGAAACAATTAAAAGGTACATAAAAAAAATTACCTTTTAATTGTTTCTGTGTTTGTGTATAAATGTACAATATGTGTATTGAGGACCTTCTGATGAAGTGATTGTGACATCCCCTAGACGCCCGAAGATGACTTCGTGAGAAGTCGAAACTAGTTGCATCATAGCAACAACATTTTTGTATTAAAAGAAGCAGTATTTACACCAATTTTTAAAAATTACAATCATGTTCTACAATACGTATTGACCTTTTTTTAATAAGACAGAAAGACTTTTGAACTGATGAGGGAGATTGTTGTAAATTGTTGGGCCAAAATAGGAGAACTCCCTCCTCCCTATTTCCAAATTAACTTTTGGAAAGTGGAGGAGGGTGTCCTGACTTGTGCCCCGTTGAGCAATTGCTCCATGTGTCACAAGTCTCTCCATCCATTTTGGTTCTCCGTGAGTTAATAGCCGATGGATGAGACAAGTTTGGACTCGGCACACAGCATCGGCTTGCAACAGACCAGTAGAATCCCGAAAAGAGATGCATTCCCGCTTATGAAGTTTGTAGACAAGACAAACTGCGGTGTTATGCAGCTTATTACGCCTGCTTTCCTTAAAAATCTTTGTTGTAAAAATGTTTTATATGTAGATACATTGGTTTTTATATCCAAACAAAAAATAAGTGGTCCTATTGACCTCTGGGTAATAGTCGAGAAACAAACTAGCCTAATGTAATAATGTTGTCACATTTCAGATTGTCAAAGAGCCAGTTGACGTAGTAGAGTTTCGATTTTTGAAAAACTACGGACACCCCAACTACACGTGCGTGTACAGAGTCCATGTTCATGGTACAACATCGTAAAGCTCAACTAGTCAACTCCTCATCCGACAGGCAACCATTCCCTGATTATTTTCCGTATAAAAGACTATTTATGTTGCAAGTCCTCTTACATTTAAATTTCCTTCAGTTAGAAAATTGTCCTAAACTAAGTTTGATTTTCTTGCCCTATTTATACCTACTGAATAGCAATGAAGAACAAATTTATACTCATGATGGACAAATTTAGCTCCTGAAGATAACAAAATAATTGTGTATTAGGCCTATCTTGAAGAAGTTGAATGTTACTTTACTCCTGCGAAGATCATAACTATTTATTCATATGTTATTTTCTTGTTGAAGTGATTCAAACACTTATTATTTATTTTGTCTTAAAGACTTTGGAAGGTTTACAGTATTTATACCCAAAGAAAAATGGTTGGCAATAATAAAGATATTTAATAAATAAATGTAGAAACCCATTTTATTTTAGTTGTGAGTTGAGTATCAACACCCTAGTATTTTGTCAAAATCGCATTACAACATAGGCAAGTGCAAAAAGTCATAAAATTTATAGGCTACTAAAGCTTTAATTAGCAGCTTCTTTAATTTTTACCTTAAAAACATGAAGGTAATGTTTTCATGAAAAAGCATTTAGCTTAGATTAATGAATGGTATAAGATGGAGAGGACACAGCTAACTCACCTGATAGTTTGCAGAAGAGTTGCAGCACAAATAAATTATATACACACAAAAATTGTACACGTAATTAAATCCTTAAAAGTTAGCCGTGAGGGTGAGGATAGAAGGATATCTTCTAATGTTGAGGTTTGGTGTGGTTCTGGAATTGGCAATAAACTAGTAAGTAACCCAATTCCCATTTTCTGAGCATTGAACTATTGAACTGATTTTTTTTTACAACGATTTTAGCGCTCTTGTAGTGAAACAGTCGTCAAATTTAAGTTGGTGGGATAGCACATGTTGTGCAACTGGTTTTTCCTTGCTAGTTTTTACATCATGTCGATGGCCTTTCATGCGTTTTCGGAGTGTTTCCGTTGTTAGGCCTATGTATTGGGCTGGACAAAGGGAACATTGGAGTTGGTATATACGGTTTTCTGAGCCCAAATTGTGATGCCTTGGATTTTAAGTGCTTTGTGTTGGGCCATAAAACATGACCAATAAAACTACAATTCAGCTCAAACATTTTATTATTTACACATAACCCTGCAGGTAAAACAAATTATAAATGGCTGATTAGTAATAAACATACATGTTTGAAGATTTCTTAAAATTATAAAATGTTTTACAAGATTACTTTACTATCTTACATTAAAAATATACTTTATACATGCAGGCAAGTCGGATGGTATCAGATTTCAGCGTAATGTTTTTGAGTAAACATTTTATGTGATGCATTGTTATTTGATCTGTACAAAACTTAACAAAAGAAAATATTAACCTATTTACACAACAATTAACATGCTAAATTTGCCTTCCTAAGGTTCTAGACTCGGCCTCTACATCTAACTTATGTGTCAAAGCTAAAACTAGCCTAATAGGCACAAAATATATCCTAGTGTTGATCATTCATGTACTGGATTTACTGATTTGTACAAATATGAAGTTGATAAAATCATACTTAAAATATAGTGAAGTTGTAAAGATTTGGTATAAATAGGATCCTACAGAATAAAAAAAAACTATAATATTAAATTTATCAACTAAAAAAATAAGTTTTATAATTTTGAGAATTTCAATATTTCTGTTTAATAGGCAAGCCTGCAACCGTGCAACCTGATTGCAAAGATGAAATGATTTAATTCAACAACAATATGCCAAAATCATTGAGAGTGCAAAAAAAATAATAGTATATTTCATAACTAGAGTAGAAAGTGAGTCAATACATATTTGAGACCATGCTTGAAGTGCGAGATTTATCAAGCACTTTAAATGGTCGAGAATATGTATAGAACCACCTTCACTTGTGTTTTGAACATTATTTTTCGCTACACTACAAAGAATAATTATTTTCTTCATTACAAAATTCATAGAATCTTTTAGGTTATGCCTTTGATTTATTTGCTTCAGTTGTTGAAAATTGAAACAGTTGATAAAAAATAACAAATGTTTCAATATTTGTTTTTTTACGTTTGCAAAATCCAAAAAAATGGTAAACATTACTTTCATATAGTAAACATTCATTTGCGCATAACACAGAGGATACGCGTCCGGTAACCAGACGTGGATTAGGCGTCCAGTAATCAGACGTGGATTAGGCGTCCGGTAGGGGGTCCCGGAACGCCATTACCACAATGATACGACATTCAGCCATCAGTGTTCGTGGTGTAGTGGATAGAGTGCTCGACTGATATGCGAGAGGTCCCCGGTTCAAAACTCATCGGTAACTTTAACTTTTTGTCACAGATTTTGCTTTGAATGTAATTTCTTCTTAACTGTACATCTTTTGTTAGAATTTTTGGTATTTATAATTTTATGTTATGAAGAGAATTGAACCTTCATTTGATTTTTTTCACTATCAGCAAGTTTGGTTGGTTAAGTAAGGTTATGACAGTAACTGCCGGGCGCCTAATCCACGTCCGGTTACCGGACGCGTATCCTCTGCGTTGCCATAATGAATGATAGATTTTTACAGGAGATAAACATGCAACAAAAACAGGTCATTACACATCAGTGTAGCGAGACGAATATTAACAAAACAAAAACTTGTTTAGGTGTTTTGAAACTAACTTTTTAATTAATTAATTTGATCCAAGTAAAAGTACTATCGCACTAAATTTGCAAAAATATACCATTCATAATAACTATTAACTAAACCAGTACAATTTACACTAAGCATTACCATACTTATTTTATACCGAACAAATATAACATCTCTTTCACCCTGTTAAATTTCAATACAACATCAGGAATATAAACGTGTAAAACTAAAACAAAAATGACTAGCAAATGTTAGGCGCTGAAAGAATGGACCTAAATTGTTTACATTAATTTACTTAACTACCTGGTGTTTAATTGCACTAATACTACGTCAACTGAAAGTTTATTTCTATACAATATAAAAACTCAACTATATTGTATACTAACCTGGCAAAACTTTGATTGTACAGGTGTTTCAGCACTTAGGACCATGTACTATTTGGGGCTTTGCAAAATGCTAACTTTCTTTACCTGAGCGAGAGTATAGGTTTTTACTTGTCTATCCAGGGTACGCCATGAAATCTACAATTAACTCTAGGTAAGAAATACAGGGTTTTTCAACCTCACTTTTACTGATATTTAGAGATGATTAATACAACAACGTAGCACTTACCAAATGTGGCAATGAATTACTCAAGCTAGTTAGATGAAAGTGGTAAATAGTTAAAATTTAAAAATCTTGATTATACAGATTGTTTCAAACAAAATTATGAATCAAAATATTTATTATTCACAATAGGAGAAATAATTTTCAAAAATATATTCAGATGCATATTTTAACCTTTTTAATAGGTTAATCTAACTAATTTGCAGGCACAATCATAAAAGAGCAAAAACAAAATCTTGCCTTTATAGATTGCTTAGTTTTTAAAGTTAAATAAGTATTCCTTTAATTCCATCAATTATCTGGTTAAAATACTCACATAGTGGTGTCCCCATCATAAATAATTGATATGATTAATATTGATAATTGATCATAAAAATCTGTATATTCTTGCCTTCAACTAATCTCAGTAATCGTGGGCTGCATCTTTTTATAGTTTTTAATCCGTGCCACTTGTAGAGTTAATAATCTAAATATGTTGTGTCTTTAACCTTTACGCTATGTCAACAATATTTGCAGTTTAAGTGTAGCTTTTGTAGAAAAGCCCGTCTAGTGTTTGGAGATTTAGTCGGTGCGGCGACCTGTGTAGGATCTCCACTGCAGAGCGCGCCATGAGTCTATGAGTACCTGCACCAAACATGCTAACTGTTAATTCACACAAGTACGCATTTCCATATTTATTAAAAATTGTTGAAACAATAAAGTAGTTTATTAACCTGTACACAATGAGAACTTTGTAAACTTAATAGACTAGAGCTTTTCACACACAATTCTCCTTTGAGATTCTCTTGCAAAAGATCTCTGTGGAAATTACTCAACTCGAAAATACAGTGTCTCCGCAAAAGATGAGGATTGATTGTGATGATGATTAGACAAATATTAATGAAATTCATTGTAGTAGCCCCGTAACTGCAATATTGACTAATTCGATTTATATTATCTGCCATCAGTTCCAAATTTTTAACCTTCAACATGCCACAAGCTTCGGCAAGCTACCATTTTTAAACACTATAGTCCAGGAAATATGACATATACATTTAACACAGAAATACTTTTAGTTTTGTAGGCCTATCACAGGTACGCAACATTTACACATACAATATTCCCGATCGTGTAGCGAGAATGTTGCAAAGTGTGAGGAACTAAGGATTCCTTGGTCACTAACACTAAAAACTGGTCTTCAGGGTCCGACCAGGCCAGACAATATACGTTAAGGATTTATTATTATGTGTTTAAAAACCCTACACATGAATCGACAATTCGTCCGGTTCGTCTCACCTGGTACCAGTCAGTCGTGGGTCACGGAGAGTCAGGAAGGTCGAGTATCTCTCCCACAAAGTCTGTGATGTCTGTGGTCCGCTCTCGCTGCTGACTGCAGAAAGGGTGAGCCAACAGCTGTGTGTAGTTGGGCCTCAATGTGTAGTCCTTCTGTAGGCTGCAGCACAGGTAAAACACTTAGAAACTTAGTATTGTCACGACCGTCTGCATGCACAAATGCTGTGCATGCGCACTAGTGTTTTTTGTAACTGTTTTGTCCAACATGTTAATACTGGTCACAGTAGTCGTTCCAGTTACATAATTAGGTAGGCTTCAGATTTTTAATTTGAGTGAGTAATTATTGATATGTTTTAGAAAACTACTCATCAGGTTAAAACCTGTTTGCTACCGGTAAAACCTTTAACTAAAAGTTACGTCAGGTTAGTTATTTAATGACTCAAGACTAAAATGGATGATTTTTCAGGGAAGAGTAGAGACCCTGAATTTTTACATTACTGGAAAAAAAAAACTTAAAACATGGGAACAAATTTTAATACTATAATGTCAAAAGTCTGTAGGTTTACGTTTTAATGTTTTTAACTTTTCACTCATGATGCACAACACTAATAAACTTAAATCCACTATCCTGGTTTTTGCACTTGACATTTTAGTCTCCCAACTCACCACTGTTCGATAAAGTTGTGGAAGTCTGATGAGAACCTCCCCTCGGGCAGTCTAGGAGGGTCGTCCTTCACCACCTGCTTGAGCTGTTCAAAGGGAGTCAGCCAGCTGGAGTAGGGGAACTTGCCTGTGGCGAGCTCCACTAGCGAGATACCCAGAGACCAGACGTCGCTGCGGATGTCGTACTGCGACGGGTTACCTTGTGGGTCTATCCTCTCTGGCTGTAAATCAATAAGCTAATAAATATAAGGACTGGATTCTTAAAAGGCTTAAACTGAATTAAAAAATGAATGGATTTTAACATAACTTAATATAGCCTATGTTCAAGATTAGAACAAAAGAAATATACTAAAATTAAATTAAATGTATATAATGACAGCTGTATGACAAGGAAAAATGGTGGTAATCCAGACGATTTTATAATGGTTATCACCATCATAAAAATATGAAATAGTTATACAACCCATATTTACTACAGTGCTGTTAATTATTTAACCTCCTGGGTTGTCTGACCTTCCCTGAGGATAATCAAATTATGAAAGCACATATTGTTTTCATGTGACATTACTATGTAGCGGATGTGTTGTACTCGCCATGTAAGGTTTAGGTAGGTAATCATGACTACTGTAGGAAAACTACTTCTGTACTGACCGCCATGTAAGGTTTGCAGCCGGCGTCTATTGTCTTGGCCACAGAGTCCACTAGGTAGCCAGAAATGCCAAAGTCACACATCTTCACTTCGCCTCGTCGGTTCATCAGAATGTTTGACGGCTTCACATCTCTATGTATCACTCTCAGTTTGCTGTACAGATAGTGCAGTGCGCTTACAACCTGCACAGTGGTACCAACATGACAATTTTAATGTAACACAACTTCTATTACATCTCTTTAAATGGTGAGTCGGGAATGAGGTTTACTTGGACCGAGACTACCTTGGTTACTGATATCAGATAACGGGGAGGTCGCTTTGTTTTGATGTTAGGGGTTACGGTACCATATCATGAAGACTTGTAAAATAAATATAAAAGAAAAATTTACCAAATTGAATTTTTAAGCAAAGCTTTTTTTGGCACCGATAATGTTATGAAAGAAAAAGATAATACAAATATGTTCAACAATTCTTCCATCATCTTGTAGACACAGTATTAGGCATTTTATAATTATGCTAAAACAATACACTACCGGGTCTCACAGCATTTAAAAAATGTGCTTTACTTTTGGGTTAAAATATCAAATGACAAGCAATGGTTTTTAAACATAGTGATTCATTTAACTAGAATAACACTTTAAAAGTAAATGAAATTTGACAAGACCTACATGATTGTTAACAAGGATTGCACTCATTTACCATACAGAAGCATAGTTCAAAATTTTATTTCATTTCACTAACCCATAATGATGACAAATCAATATGACTTCCGTTAGGTCAATGTCTAACTAAACTTATTTATTCAAGTTTTATTATTGCCCTAATTCTAATTAACTGACTATTATTTACTTCAATGAAGAATTCTATCTTTGTTAACATTATGTACCCACCGCCAATGTGATGTTAGCCAGAATATTTTCCGGTATCGCTCGGCCGTGTCGATACACCTTGGCATAGAACTTGTCTAGACTTGTGTCCATCACCTCCATGCAGATCCAGACGTCGCCCTCGCGGAACAAAGCCCCGTAGAACTGTACAGTGTGCGGACAGTCTGAGGACCTCATGGATATGTCTAGGTCCATCAGCAACCGCTTCTGTTCTTGAGTGTTCACAGTGGCCGCTATCCTCTACAAAATACTTTGTTCGTTAAAACCTCTGACAGTAGCCTAGCCTGAAGTTAACGCTTAGCATTCCGTGTGTAAAGGAAGTATACTCTGCCGATTGGTTGGAAAATGGTACTGGTAGAACCAATGAAGCAAATGCTCTAGCCAGCAGTAGTCTAAACGCCTTATTCCTTTAGAAATTAAGTACTGCAAAAGTTCCTTGAAACATTTTGTTAAAAGGTTTTTTTTCACACAAAATGTTATTATGGTATTAAATTGGATTTTTGTGACGCCAACACAATCGGTATACGAGTGTTGAATGAATGAGACAAACGCTTTGTTCTCAGTAAAATCAGCTTCAGCTGGGTCCTGTTTTGAAAGATTAAAAATATTTGGACTATTTCTTACTGACAACTTACTTATTACTAGACAAGCTTGTGCTGATTTCTTTGCTGAGTGGCTGGTAATTAGGGGTATCCATATCGGGAGACTTTAATTTATCCCAGAATTTCAGGATTTGTCTAAGCCGATCCAGGGATTATAGTATTTTATGATTCAGATTTTTAACTTTTTAGATATTTTAAATGAGCATGGAGCCCCCTTGTTGAGTCATCAAATGTTTTAAACAGGCCTTACAAATGTTGCACTGCACAATTGTGCCGTCTTTCAAAGTAAAAAATTATTACTACACAGAACTGTCATAAGCCATCTCTCCTATTTAGAGTGTTGATAATTGATGAAATACATAAAAGAAAATACAAGCAACTGCACTGGTCTTTTAACATCACTCTTCAATCTACAAGTTATAACACCCCACTTTTAAACATTCTAAACTACATAACAATTGAATTACCCTCCTTTGTGTTGATGTTGTTTATAGAGTAATTAGTGATGTAGGCATACTGTTGGTGGGAAGAGGGTTAAGTAAAATATTAATTACATGCTTTGTTCGGATGTTAAAATATACAGAGCCCTCCAACCACCTTTGATCACATGCCGATATTGCTTCGGTTCAATAATCTTATGCGCTTGCTACTTAAGTTTGAACTAACATATCCAATCTTACCTTCACAGCCATAATAGTACCAGAGGGAATATGTCTCATTTTTTCCACAATGCCATAGGCACCTCTTCCCAAATCGCAAATTTTTTCCAAATCGTCTGCTTCAACATCAAAAGTTTGTTCTCCGATTGTGATATTCGTCCTCTTGTCAAGATTCCTTGGTGGTGTTCTAAAAAGTATATTAGAAAAGTATTTAAATTATCATGTTGTATTCAGGGTGTCTAGTTTATTTCTATTACAAAATTCAAGACTAATTCCAGACTTTTCAAGATTGTTACTCAAGATAATTAAGTCATTCAAGATTGTTAGATAATTAAGCAAGTTGTTATTCCAATATAGTTTATGTTCAAACTGTTATAATTAAAAAAAAAAAAAAAAAAAAGAGAAAAAGTCAAAATGATAAAAAAAGGAGCACAAAAAAAATAAATAACAATCAATCAATCAATAAATAAACGGAGTCTGCACGAAACAAATGGAAAAGGTACTGCTACACCGGTATACCGAGAGGTGGGTACGGTGTCAAGGAAGAAAAAAAAAAAAAAAAAAAAAAGCGGTTACAGAAATGTGATCATCGTCGTCCGCGATCACGGCAAAATCATGAACATTTCCCGCGGCCTTGTAGACATCAATGACATCATCGTCGTCTTCCACGGTCTCAGAAACGTCATCGTCATTGTCCGCGATCGCGGCAAAATCATGAACAATTCCCGCGGCTGTTTAGACATCACCGTCATATCCCGCGGTCACGGAAACGTTATCGTCGACGTCCGCGATCACGGCAAAATCATGAACATTTCCCGCGGCCGTGTAGACATCATCGTCGTCTCCTGCGGTCACGGAAACGTCATCGTCATCTACCGCGGTCGAGGAAACGTCATCGTCGTCGTCCGCATTCGCGACCAAATCATGAACATTTCCCGCGGTCGAGCAGATGGCATCGTCGTCTCCCGCGGTCACAGAAACGTCATCGTCGTCTCCCGCGGTCACGGAAACGTCTCGTCGTCGTCCGCGATCGCGGAAAAGACATGAACATTTCCCGCGGCTGTTTAGACATCACCGTCATCTTCCGCGGTCACGGAAACGTCATCGTCGTCTCCCGCGGTCAAGGAAACGTCATCGTCATCTTCCGCGATCGCGACAAAATCATAAACATTTCCCGCGGTCGAGCAGATGTCATCGTCGTCTCCCGCGGTCACGGAAACGTTATCGTCGACGTCCGCGATCACGGCAAAATCATGAACATTTCCCGCGGCCGTGTAGAAATCATCGTCGTCTCCCGCGGTCACGGAAACGTCATCGTCATCTACCGCGTTCGAGGAAACGTCATCGTCGTCGTCCGCATTCGCGACCAAATCATGAACATTTCCCGCGGTCGAGCAGATGTCATCGTCGTCTCCCGTGGTCACAGAAACGTCATCGTCGTCTCCCGCGGTCACAGAAACGTCATCGTCGTCTCCCGCGGTCACGGAAACGCCATCGTCATCTCTCCCACGATCGCGACAAAATCATGAACATTTCCCGGGGCCGAGCAGATATCATCGTCGTCTCCCGCGGTCACGGAAACGTCATCGTCGTCTCCCGCGGTCACGGAAACGTCATCGTCATCTCCCGCGGTCACGGAAACGTCATCGTCATCTTCCACGATCGCGACAAAATCATAAACATTTCCCGCGGTCGAGCAGATGTCATCGTCGTCTCCCGCGGTCACGGAAACGTCACCGTCGTCTCCCGCGGTCACGGAAACGTCACCGTCGTCACCCGCGGTCACGGAAACGTCATCGTCGTCGTCCACGATCGCGACAAAATCATGAACATTTCCCGGGGCCGAGCAGATATCATCGTCGTCTCCCGCGGTCACGGAAACGTCATCGTCATCTCCCAAAATCGCGACAAAATCATGAACATTTCCGCGGCCGAGCAGATATCATCGTCGTCTCCCGCGGTCACGGAAACGTCATTGTCGTCGTCCGCGATCGCGGCAAAATCATGAACATTTCCCACGTCCGAGCAGATATCATCGTCGTCTCCCGCGGTCACGGAAACGTCATCGTCGTCGTCCGCATTCGCGACCTAATCATTAACATTTCCCGCGGTCGAGCAGATGTCATCGTCGTCTCCCGCGGTCACGGAAACGTCATCGTCGTCTGCCGCGGTCACGGAAACGTCATCGTCATCTCCCACGATCGCGACAAAATCATGAACGTTTCCGCGGCCGAGCAGATATCATCGTCGTCTCCCGCGGTCACGGAAACGTCATCGTCATCTCCCGCGGTCACGGAAACGTCATCGTCATCTCCCGCGGTCACGGAAACGTCATCGTCATCTCCCGCGGTCACGGAAACGTCATCGTCATCTCCCGCGGTCACGGAAACGTCATCGTCGTCGTCCGCGATCGTGACAAAATCATGAACATTTCCCACGGCTGAGCAGATGTCATCGTCGTCTCCCGCGGTCACGGAAACGTCATCGTCGTCTCCCGCGGTCACGGAAACGTCATCGTCATCTCCCGCGGTCACGGAAACGTCATCGTCGTCGTCCGCGATCGCGGCAAAATCATGAACATTTCCCGCGGCCGAGCAGGTATCATCATCATTGGTTTTCGCAGCTACGTAAACGCAAGACGACGATCGCGGCAAAATCACGAAAATTCCAGACTTTGAAATCAAATTTAAGACTAAATCCCGACTTTTCAAGACCATTTTGAAATTCAATACTAATTCCCGACTTTCCCGATTTTCCCGACTACTAGACACCCTGTTTCACAGCCCTAAGTTATTACCTAAGCTTTAAATTGTTTGTCATGCGTTCTATTTAGGGTATATTTTTCAGTTTTTACGCTAAATAAATTAATCAACAGAAATATATTAGATGATATGGTCACAGTGGCACAGCTCTAAAGCCTCTAGGCATAGGAATATATGTGGCAGTTAGCGGAAAGTTTAGGTACAGTCCTAATCACCATTATCTTTATGTTTTTTTGGGTTGCTAAAAATGAAAAACTTCAAAATTTGGTCAATTTTTGAAGTTTTTGGGCTAAATCTTGGTAATTATGGTTTTTTGTGAAGAAGACATCCTTTGTAAAATTAAAGTAGAAAGGATTTACTACAAGTTCAGGATGTTTTACCAGAAAAAGTTTATGAGTAATTCCAGGTAGTTAGGGTCATATATCAAATTTTCCAACGTTACTTTATTAGTGCTTTCTAAAATAAAATACCTAACAGATGAAACACTCAGATAATGGTATACTTTGAATACGTGAACTCTAACATTGCTATGATATTGAGTTCTGCGGAAATGCCATAGATTAGTAAAATAACATTTAAAATACAAAAGAGAATTAGGCCTATAAGAGTTATTGCACAAGTAAGTCCAAGAACATTGTGTAGAAATTTGTTTAAAAGAATGAAGATTTACCTGTTCCCTCTTTGTATATATTCAACACTTTAATCTTTGTCAAAAAATCTTTTATTTTTTAAGAAAATACCCCCGCCGCAGCAAACCTGCCGTCTAAGCGAATTTCCATTTGGCTGAATTGATTTTCAATCGATCTATTTAAATAACATTAGGTTTAACGAGTACCTAGGTTTGCTGCTACAAGGAAACCAATAAAGTGTGTGTTTTAAGTAAAATAATTATTGCTTAGTAGAAAATGAATATATTTGCCAAGTTTGATCAAAAGATATCCATAAACAAGCAAACTACAACATTTTACAATATTCTCCATAAGAATAACATGGGAATTTTAAATTTACAATTTTTTTAGTTTTCTCCGTAACCAATAACCGTACAAAAACACTTTGATATACTGAATTGTTTGTTTTTTTAAGCTCTTTAAGAAGGTTTAGAGAAAAATTGGGAAATTTTGTGTTTTGAGGGTCAAAAGTGAGAAAACCCAATTTTTAACCCATAAAACCCCCCATAAAACCCTGTTCCCATGGTCCGATCATGCTAGATCGCGAACTCATTCAAGTTTATCCCGCCTTACACCTTCAAACCAAATTTCATCAAAATCGGATAAAAATTACTCAAGTTATCGTGTTCACGGACACATATATATATAAATCTATATATATATCTATATATATATATATATATATATATATACATATATAAAAATTTGAACGAATGGTGTTTTTGGCCTCTGGGGACATCAAAATGAAAAAGTAAATCGGTCCCGGGCCTAAGTCTTACCATGAGACCTACGGTAATAGCTACTTCCCTATAGGGAAATTCGCTAAAAGAACTAACTCGCAATACAGCTTTAGGCCCATGAGCTCTGTGTTGCATCACCCCATACACAAATCTGCTGTTTATGAATAGAGTACTTTTTATATGGGTGTCAAACTATATAATAAGCTTCCTTTATCACTGAAAGAGGTAGAATCATTTAAAAAGTTCCGGTTACACTAACTGTCTTACCTGTTAGACAATTGTTACAGCATTTTGGCATTGATATAACTTTGTAAATTTTGCATATACTGTATAACCTAAATTATTTTACTTGTTGATTGTATTCTGTAGGCCTACACAATGTATCTTTTGACAATTTACCTGCCTGCCTGTAGAAGCACTCCTTCTAAGGCGTTATGTAATGTTGGCCTAATTTCAATAAAATAATAAATTTTCAAGTTTTTTTTCAAAATAGAACAATGTTTTGGGCATAGGCTAATATTTGTTAGAAAACATATCAATGTGTTCAGCGACCCAAAAATATAAGGAGTAAAGGTAATTAGGACTGTTACCTAAACTTTTCGGTAACTTTCCTAATATGCATAGTCTATTATGAAGCTATGGATTAGCAAATGCATCTATTTAAATAACAGATTATTCAGACAATGGATAAAGGCGAGTGCAAACAAAATTAAAATAAGCTTCATTCTTAATTTATAAGGTCTTAACACTGCTACAGATACCTTAGATCTAGACTGTTGTGTTGATTACTAATAAAACTTGTAAAAATAAGCTTTTGCCAAGTTGAGATGAAATAAATACATCTACAACAAATTTGAGACAGTTAAAAAAAGCAAAATCAATTTGACCACCACCAGAGCATACAGACTCACTGTTTCTTTGATGCACAATGGCTAAGCTACAGGACACTGTGTAATTCCGTGATAGGTACTTACAAAACAGGTGGCACATCATCTGAGACGATTATCTTTAGGTTAGGTTTCTTCTTACGACCTGCCATTTCTATTGTCAGTTATTCCAGTGAAAAACAAACACAGTTAATTTTCATCCAAACGTAACCTTAAGCCTGAAAAATGTTATACAGTTATTAACAAAAGTTTTGTTTAGGAAATTGTATGGTAGCTAAGTAATTGTAAAGCTTACACTTAAACATTGAGACAGTATGAGCAATTTTTATATCATTTGGAAAAAATGCAGGTAGGTGACTTTTTTTGAAAGCTGTACGGTAAATGATTGTCCTGCCTAGGAGATAGGAAGTCGTTTACAGCTTTCAAACAAAAAAGCGATGATGCCAACTGCTGATGATATGAAGTTGTACTTTATTGTTTCACCGGTTTTCACCTAGGAATAGGAAACAAGTGATTGTGATAACCAGTTTAACTTAGTGCCAGTCGAACAATGGTATAGCTAAGCGTAAAATTAAAGTCTTGCCTGTCAATTAATTTAAAGATTGGGTTGTTTTTTAACACAACCAAAACAAATAAATACCCCCGCCGCAGCAAACCTGCAGACTAAGCGAATTTCAACTCGTCTTATTACATTTTTGCTCAAATATTTCCATAAATAAGACATATTTTTATCCCCTGTTTAAATAACAAGTGCTTAGGTTTGCTGCTACGGGAAAGGTAACAAGTGTTTTTTGACTATATGTCAATAGTATAGGATGAAATAAATAAATTTGCCAAGTTTTATCAATGTATATCCATAAACAAGTAAACTACAACAATTTTCATTTTCTCCATAAGAATAACATGGGAATTTTAAATTACACTATTTTTTAATTTTCTCCGGGACCGTTAGGCATACAACAGCTCTTGAGTATACTAAATTATTTATTTTTTAAGCTCTACAAAACGGTTTAAAAAGAAATTGCAAAATTTTTTATTTTTATGGTAAAAAATGGGAAAACCTCATTTTTACCCCATAATACCCCCCATAAACCCCCGTTCCCATAGTCCGATCATGCTGGTTCGCGAACCCGTTCGAATAAACGTAGGTTTACACGTTTATACCAAATTTAATCGAAATCGGATCATTTTTGCTCGAGTTATCGCGCTAACGGACACATATATAAATATATATATATATATATATGAATTTGAACGATTAGTGTTTTTGGCCTCTGGGGACATCAAAATGAAAAAGTAAATCGGTCCCGCGCCCAGGTCTTACCATGAGACCTACGGTAATAGCTACTTCCCTATAGGGAAATTCGCTAAAATACCTGACAAATAAATTATTGTGGTAGACAAGAAATACCGGTACCTAGCCTAAGTTATTTACCAGCGCAGACACATTTTCACCTTACAGTATTAGGCCTGTAAGACTGGTTGGCAACAAGAAATGTAACTTCTGACCATTGCGATGACAAGAACCTATTGGCAAAAACACTACCCTACACTATAGTTTGACATCTATTACACACCAACCCAACCAACCTGTTGTAATGGTTAAGTTAGTTGACCCGGAACCGATTTAACTTATGTAGCTTACTTTTTTGTTTTAAGGTCCCCAGAGGCCAAAACACCCTCCGTTCAAATTCATAGAACTTAGGCTAGGCTAACTTATGTAGATTTATAAAAGTTTATGTTTCGTTAGACCTAGGGTTTAAATTATTAAGTTAATCAGACAAATTACATTTCCCTAGTCTGCAGATTTGCTGAGGCAGTGATATTTTACCTAGCTAAGACTTAGGGCCTCTTATTTAGTGTTTAGTTTGGGGCCATAAGCACATATTACGTAATGTACTTAAGGGAGGGGAGGGGGTATGGCATAGCGTTAGGCTGCGTTATCAGTGCGTAACATGGGGGGGGGGGTTAAAAATGACAAAAAAGTGTGTTACGTAATATGTGTATGGCCCCTTTCCACCAATAAGTTAGGCCTAACTTACTGTTTCACCAAGACCCCATGTTTTAACGTTTATAAACTTTTTACACCATTAAAGTTAGGCCTACACACTTCAGGAAGTGTGTTTTAGGGTGCTGTACATTTTTACCTTTCCGCCTAAAACATTGGGCCTATATTGTAATTGGAATTTGTACGGATTAAGATGAAGAAAGACATAAGTTAGTTAGGGCCTCATATAAACTAAGGCATAGTTACTGGTGGTAATACCTGGATCAAAGAGGGTTAGGGATTACAATCAAATGGTGTATTTCTACTTTTTGGAGGCCCATAAACTAGGCCGTTTATGTAAAAAATATGATAGTGTAAGAATTGGAAAAAAACATTCTTTACAAGAAGTAAATGCAGAGCTAGGCCTATTACCTATCTCAGATAATGTTTTCATTGCTTCTTAAACAAACCTTAGCTGTGATTTGAGTCAATTGAGGCCATCTAGAAGAATTAGGGCCTATAATAAACCCTTAAGAATACAGACAAATTCGCACTATTAAAACTAGTACACAAACTGATAACAATTAAAAAGCACACCTAATTATTGTATTAAGATTGATTATTTGTTAAGCTATTAATCTTCAAACTTTCTCATAAAAAGCAAATCCCTAGCCGTAACACTGTAACTGTAAATATTATGCCCTATCAGTGTTGCCAATCCACTATGGCCCAATTACCCCCTCCAAAGCAAAGAATTACCCGCTTTTTCTAAAAATTACCCTCAACAAACCAAAAATTCCCTTTTAACACTCTTGCCTGTCTAAAAGTAACGAATAAAAACCCTGATAAATTAGTTTTGAGTAATCCCACAAATTAAGATGTAGTAAAGAACTAAATATAGGACTTGAGACTTGTAATTAACCTTCATAATGAAATTTCCAATCTTACTGACCTTAAAAAATAATTACATTAGTCCTACAATGATTTGGTTTTTTTATGATAGCCTATGTCATATACTTGTTTAATAATGAGTAAGTACTGTTAAAAATTTTATTTTTTATTAGTTTTAGGGAGAAAATAGTTATTATAACCGATCAACATTATTATTCCCCTGTTTTATGTTTTTCATCGTCTTTAGAAATAGACTAGTACGGTATTTTCCTTCACCATGGTATCAGCGTTGACTGTAGTATAGTGAGAAGTGAGATCAGGATCACGGATCAGGCATTTAAGGCCAGGCAACCAAAAGTTTTTCCACTCCAATCCAAAAGAAAAGACTACAAACAACCGTACTGACTGAAACTGAACCGAACCGAACCGACTGAACGCTGTAGCCTACTCGCATTGACTTTATATCTACACTACTAGTGACTGAGTGAGTGAGAACTGAACCAAACTGATGAAGATTAAGAGAAGTAGTGTAAAACAATAAAAAGTCTGTGAAATAATTTTAATTGAAAAAAAACACAGGGAAATATTTTTCTTCTAGTGAAATAATATAAGTAATAATACGAAAAACAAATAATATTTGATCAGTTGTCATTTACCCGCTTTTTACCCGCATATTTGCCATTACCCGCAGCATTACCCCCAGGTAACTAAATTACCCGCTTTTCGGGTAATTACCCGCTTTTTGGCAACACTGTGCCCTATTCCTATTTCACTTTTTTATTCGTTTCGTCTCTATTCTCTTTTTACCAAACAAGGTTCTACTGTTCTACAGTACAGTTGTTTTTTCCACTCAAACCAGAAAGCAAGAAGGGATTACAGCTTCTTTTAGCATTTGGTGCCGGAATTGAGCTATTCACGCTGGTTAAACATTTTGATATCCTCACTATATAAATTAGTTAATATTACGATACAATAACGCGTTTAAAACTGTTCTATTAATATTGAAAATAATATTAGTAAATGTTTCGATTTGTATACCCAGTGCACCAGTTTCTGAGGGGAGTGCCACCATAGACTAACCAACACAAGGTTACTAAGGGAGTATGTTTTATCTATGGTGCCACTAAGTCAAGGAGCCACTCCAACCACCTGCTAACTGCCCACGGCCGCCTTACAACTCCTGGTCCAGGCCGCTGGCCGCAGCCTGGTAGAATTGGCAACGTTGCAATGGTCACAGGTAGTGTTGTGTGGCATCAGAGACGTCCCATGAGGTAACATGGCAGACAGCTCATTAATTCGCGAACTATTCATTTAAATTTATGAACATAGATTGGTTAAAAGATTGAACATAAAACATGCAGAATTGCATTGAAACCCAAAACAATATAAATTGAAAATCTATTTCAGTACATTTAAAGTGGAGACAATATTTTCCTAGCCCAGTTCCTAAAGCTTTCAGATTCTTAAAAAATAAAAAAAAACCATTAGCTTCCTCCGTACAAAACATCTTTTACAACACTACTTGCAAAAACGTTGTCACTTCGGAAGCCGCGCGGCCTGAAATTAAAGGTGGCCGTGGGGTTAGTGAAATGTTAGGGCTTAACAGAAACAATTAAAGTTTCATCGTCACTAGTGATCAGTGTCCCCAACATGAAATAGACGTGGAAACGAGCTTCAATATTAACAATGGGATGAGTCGGAGGCTATGGTCATGGCCACTCCGGTGACCATGAATGAGAAGTCTACTTGTGTGGTGATGGTTAATTAGTCTATGGTTTTACAGTAATTAAAATTTGACTTTGAATGTAGACGCTTTGGACCACTGAGCTAAAATTATAACTGGAGGTAGCACTGCCATGGCAGAAGTCTGTCAAAAGCGTGTCGCTGATTTTGTTAGGTTGGTATAGCAGTAAGTTTTCTTATCATAGCAATGACATGGCTTCTTATAACTAGGTTGGTATAGCAGTGAGTATTTTTGTCATACTTGAATACTTTTAATACTTTAATAATTTTCTTTGAAATGGCGACCATACAAAGTAGGTATTTTAAGCCAAGTATAATAATAGTTATAGCAATAATATGGCTTCTTATGACACCAGACTCACGCAAACATGGCGGCTGGCGACACGCATCTTTGACATTCAGTGCTACCTCCAGTTAGAATTATAGCTCAGTGCTTTGGACCAACCTCGTACGAATTCTACCAACTGTCGAGTGGTATGAAAAAACCTGAGAAAAGAAGCCAATCCAAATCCATCCAACCAAATGATATGATCAGTAGTTTGATGTTCAAAACATGTTAACAGACCTAGGTATAAAACAGTTCAGTCTGCATTTTGCTGTATTAATAACAGTATTTCTAGTGGGGGTGAGAAAAGCGGCACCCATTGGAGTCGTTTGAATGTTTGATGTTGAGTCTAACACTGCCTTCCACTTTGACTCCCTCTCAGGTACCAACCACACTGTATAGTACCATTGACACTATACCTATAGTACTTGACGTAGCTCTGCTTTTGGGTGAACATGAGCAATCATTCACAGATGTGTATTAATTGATACAAAAATAATTAGCTTTGGCTATTGTAGTCAATCCAGAATTGCGTCTAAAAACTAACATTAATGAATGGTTTGGGCAATTCATCCCAGCCAAAACATATAAGAAAAATATAAGTCAAATTTCATCGTTCAAAATACAGAAATTGTCTCATGTATAGCAGTGTAGTAGTAGTGACAAGATGCCCGTCAGCAGTAGAAAACCTGTTAACTTAAAAATTCAGTTAAAAAAAGGTTGTAATGGTAAATGGCAGGTTGTCAATAAGGGAAAGCATAGCTGTGCGTTACCAGTTGAACCTCCAAACAAGTTAGTTTTGTTTTAAGTAGAAATAGATTTCGTGTCATATCGATCCCTGAAGTTTGTGTAAGGTAAATAGAGGTATCAGTAATTATTCAAGTAAGCCTAATGTAAGTGTGAGCCAGAAATTGACACGGTCAAGGCAGGTGATTCCACCAGTAAAAGTCTGCCGAACTTACACAAAACAAGGGAAACACAAAACAAAACAAAATAAATCTACAAAAAAAGAACTGACTTGTCTGATACAACTAAATCACGACCAACAGTAAAAGCTCTTGCAGATAGCCAAGGACGTTCTTAGACTTCTCTGATTCTTAAAAACTTCTTAACGAAAAATTAAATCACAAATTCTGTGTTTGGGTATTAGTAAAACCTAATGCAAAACCTAATTAGGTCTTGGAGGGGGATCTCATGTATGTATGATAGTGATTGTTTAGTTTTGTTAGGTGGTACCAATGATATTGTTAGTCCCGGACATGGTAGAAGCATATCTAGGCAGGGTGCTGAAGGTGGCGCAGACTACGCGGGTGACGATGGTGGATTGCCCTCACGGCATGATCAACCATCATTAATCCCTACTGTTAACTCAATCAATAGCAAATAATTAGAGTCTCTCGTTACTGCTAATAAAAACCTTGTTTGTCTCCTTGGCCTCAATGGATCGTACATGCTACACAGGCATGGTCTTCATCTGGGTCCACGGGACAAGCAGGTGATGGCTGGCACAGAGCTGTTATTGCGAGATAAAATTTGTCCAGCTACGCCCCCTCAAGCGGACTTGGTCTCCGGGGGAACGGAGCACTCCATGCCTGAGCACAGCACTGGGTATGGGTAGCAGGCCCATGATGACAAGAATGTTAAATTTTCAAAAGTTCGTACTTATATTATGGCGAAAATAGATTTTTCCTAGCTATACCACTGGTCTAGAACTTAATTTTGACGCAGAACTTAGTTATTCCGTAAATATTAAACGTTTTTGTGTGTACCGATTCTCAGATCGAAGTAGCAAGTATTCAAACTTTACTTGTATTATTACTTTACTTGTATTATTTTATATATATATATATATATAGGATAACCGTAGACCGTAAAGGCGGCCGTGGTAAATGTGACGTCGGTTTAGGTTGAAGTGAAAAAGTGGAAGTGAGTGATGACTGAAGAGAAGCAGAAGAAGACTCAGAACAGAACCAGTCAACCAGTCCAGTCCAGAACAGAACAGCATTGAAATTGAAAGCAACAGAAACAGAAGAAAAGACGCGTCGCAGGAGTGGAGGAAGCAAAATTAATTGATTTCCCCTTTATTCTTTTGCTGAGTTGGTAAATTCATCGCGTATTGTTCTTGGTAGAAGAATAGTATTACTTATTTGCTGCAGACATGACTGCCCACGATCAAATGAGGGCGATGCTAGATCAATTAATGGGCACGGGAAGGAATGGTAAGTTACCATTACCTAGTTTGCTATTTCTGGTAAAAATGTCTGCTTTTGTGTAAATGTCTATGCCACCTATCCATTATGGCGAAATTTACCAATCATAATACGATCTATTACTTGGCATAGTGTGCGTTAGGCGATATAGTATTAATTTTTTATGTTTTGATAGCCTATCTGATGTTTAGAATAGAATTGCTGGAAGAAGAAAATTCTATTGAAACTCAAACTTAAATTATTTCATTCCCAGACTAGGCTAGGCTAGCTTTTTTAGGTCAGGCCTAGGCCTAGTTACTTACAAATCACTATTACCTAGCATGGAGCAATTTTTTAGTTTCCCTCTAACACGAGCCTAGAATAAGTTAGGCCTAAGTCTGCACAATAAGGAATGTAGCACCGTACATATCAAAGCTTAGAAATAAGTTGGGCGGCTGCTCTTTAGTTTACGTCCTACATTTACTCAAATACTGCAGTTTGGTTAAGGTTAGGCCTAGGTTTAGTTTAGAACAGTTTCATTTTATAATCAGCTGGTAAGCCTAACTTGGTTAAGTTAATGAATAATAAGTAGTAAATGTAGGACGTAAACTAAAGTGCAACCAGTTGGGCTCTAACTTGTACATTGTTGTGGAACAGTAGCAAATTTTGTTAGTCCTGAGTTACTTCTTACCTATGATGAATTTAAAACTTTCTCTAACTTAACAAAAATGACCAAGGTAGGCCTAATAAGTTAGACTAATAAGTTTAGACTTTCGCAATCGTTGTGAAATTAAGAATTTTACGATTGTGGGATTTGCGTTGACACTTTCTGCAATTGTGGTCCATGAGTGTGCGGTAATACTTATCTCTGGCCTGATACAAAACTCAAAACCCTGTACTGTAGTATTACTACAGGCTTTTTCTTATTTTATGACAGCTAGCAGTAACTTAGTTCTCCTTTGGGGGATAAATTAACAAAAAACTACAAGTGTCTGTAAGTTAGAGAGAACTCTGCAAGCCTCCCCTCAGGCTCAAGGGTTAGGTAGACCTACATAGCATAGGCCTAGACATGATTAATGAGATATATAACCTTATTAATATTTCAACTTTTTGCAGGAGAGAACAATCGTTATCAAGTAAAGTTTTCTGATCCAAAAGTCTGCAAGAGCTTTTTACTGGCTTGCTGTCCTCATGAGATCTTATCCTCTACAGTAAGTCCATTTATTACGAAACTTAGATTAAATTTAATAGGTCAAAGAAATTGTTAAATGCTAAATTAGGTTAGACCTATTTAGGATAGAGTAGGCCTAGGTTAACTTATATCATGGCAGAGTTTGTCAAAAATACAATTTTAATATACCCTATCAGTTTTGGCTATATCCAACCTAAACCAAAACACTATCGTTGACAAATTTTATATTGACATCAGATAACTTGAGCTTTGTATAGGGTCTATTGTTGCTTTTCCATACTAACATTCCCAGCCTAATAACCAGTCCTATATGCTAAATTATAGGTATGCCTAATCATTGTTATCTTTAAACAATTCTTTTGTGATTAATTTTTTTAGGCTAGCCTAGTCCTAGGCTATGCCTTGTTTTATTTTTAGTTAGTTTATCAACGTTTGCTGGGAGCAAGTTTGAATTACAGTAATCAAAATTTAACATTAATAATTTAGTAATTTTCACATTATAAATTGTAACATTGGCTTGCTAAAAGTATTTAATTAACTACACTATTAATCTTGTAGTTTTAAATTTGGTAGGAAGAGGTAAAAGCTATTTACACTTGAGGTTTACAGATCATTTACAAAATACTTAAATTAGCCTATTTTACATCTAGGACAAACATTTTATTTGAGATATTTTCCAATTAAAGAATACATTGATTTCCGGCAAAATAACAGTAGTCAATTCAAAAGAAAAAAAGAAGTTTGCAATGAGTTAAATATTCATGGCGCCAAATAGAGTACAGTACATGTAGGGCCTATGTTAAATGTTTTTCTGTTAGAGTATTGCAAGCATCTTGTTGATAAAAATGTCTTGCCCTTTCTATGTTCAGGTTTATTGTGAAACTTAAGAGTTTGCTAAATTTAGTTTACTCTTTATTAAAGAAAATACTATAGTTAAAGATTTAAGCCCTAACCTTATTTATACCTAGATGTAAGTTATTGACTTAGGAATCGGCAGGACCGCCGGACATCGTGGATTTTCTCCCCATAACGGCAATGGTTGAAAGCATATTTTGTTTATTAAGATAAAAAGCAAAATATCTCATTTTAAAGCTATTGAAACCGCGGAAGTGGTTTGCTATCAACTTTTTAATTTTAACCTCTAAAACAAAAGCTTAAATCCAAAAAGAAATTCACGCAGAAAATATATTTAAGAACATAACATTTTCTGCTCGGTAACTAAGCTGAAGGTGCATCAACGTTAATGCATTTTATTGCTGATCGGCGGGGTGCTCAGACAAAACAATACAGTAATGTACTTTGAGAAAGTACTAACAATTAAAATTAAAAAGTAGATAGCGAATCTCTTCCGCGGTTTGAATAGCTTTAAAATGAGATATTTTGCAACTTTTTGTCTTAATAAACAATGCCAAAATAAGCTTCAACCATTAACATTGCCGTTATGGGCAGAAAATCCAAGATGGCTGCCTGTCCTGCTGACTCTTAAAAGTTAGATTAAGTTGTTAAAATGCATTGATCTATTTGGAGACTTAGGCTAAAATCTTTGAAAACATATTCCACAGTTGTATTTTGCCTAAACTGTGGTTCCCTCTTCTGGAATGTTGTAAGTACATCAAGCGTATTTTCTCGTAACAAGTTTCGCTGGGTAGTCTGGTTATTGGTATGTCATTTTCAAATTAATTCATAAACTCTCTACTAGCTGAGTTAATATTCCAATTTTGGTTCATCGTTTTGGTGAGTAGATGTTTAAAACATTTAACTTCCCAAAAACCCTAGGGCTACAACATCCCTAGTTAAGACTTAGATTATTTTATGACATGTATTAGGCCTACTTGTTTCACAATTGTCCTTGTGTTAACCTCTCTGAGATTAGCTTATTGGTAAACCTCATTTAGGTTCACACTTATTTCACTCTTTTTTTTAAGCCATTTAAAATGAACCTCTCTACTAGAACATACAAAGTTACTACTACACAGTTTTTTAGGGGAGCGAGCTGGCGTAGTGGTTAGAGCGCGGGACTTCAGTCCCTGAGGTCCCGGGTTCGATCCCCGCCAAGTCACCAATGGATTTTATCTAAGTGATAATGCCGCAACCCCTAGGTCTAGCCTGAAGTAATGTGAAAAACAATCCCAGGCTCGTGCCTAGCGTCCTTAGGACAAAAAAAAAAAAAAAAAAAAAAACTACACAGTTTTATTGTTGTAACCAATTTGATTAAATAATATGTTCCTTTTTAAATTTTATTTACCACTCTCATTTATCAATAATAGGTTCAGTGAAATTTGTTTTGTATGCAACTTAACCTAGGGGGGTTTTCTATGTCTATATACAGTAGAACCCCTCATATCCGGCCTTGGTTTTACCGGTCCTCTGTTTATCCGGCCCCTTCCAGGAAGCCAATATCAATTTTTTTTTCTCACACCTTACAGACGTTTAGATACAAGCACTAGTCTTTGTGACTGCTCAAGTCATAAAATAAATTGTTCTCATTATTTATCTGTTTGTTTATACATTTATTATTTGTTGAGTCACTATGCTCAGTTGAGCTAGTAGGCCTAACCTCTGATCAGTTGTCTATTTCCAAAGTGGGTTTAGAACAGTACAGTACGAGTACATTAATTTTTGTATTTCACAAAATGGTTAAGAATGTTGAGTAGAAATGCGCAAGTACCATTTAAGTCCTAATGATCTTTAAGTACAATTTATTGTCATTTTTACCTCCATTTAATATATTTTGTTACCTGGAATCATAATATTTGTACATTCATTACTTACAGTAATGACTTTAACCTACAATATTTTTTTCCTTTTTACAAACATGTTTATTTTTCTAAAAATGATCCCAGAACAGAATTAAATGATACTTTTGATTGCATATATTGATTACCTATTATTATTAGGTATGAATTGTCATTTTCATAGTAGGTTGGTTTATCCGGCCAAATCGTTATCCGGCCAGGGGCTTGGTCCCGTGGTGGCCGGATATGAGGGGTTCTACTGTAATTCTTTTTAATTTAAATGTAAATTGGTAAAAATTGGTTAAAGTAAACCCCACATCATCACGATTATTTTATCCTTCAATCTATCTACTGTTATGGATGGACATATTTTTTTGTTATGGACACATTCTATACAAATCAAAGTAAAAATATTAATGGACTTTCTTGTCGTTTTTCTTGTCGTTTCTTTAGATACATTCTTGGCCTCTATTTTAATTTTTACCCTTTTATATTAAAATCCGTATTATTATCCAAGTCTTGTTATTTGTCACTGGACAAACTTATGATCGCCCTTTTAAAATTTGCATAATTATAAATATTGTTTAATCTTTTAAAACGATAACTCTTTTTTTTATTCTTGGAACTTCTCATAAAAATATTCTGTAAGAAAAAAAAACCTTTTGCTTAAGTCATTCAAATTTGAATAAATGTTTATTGGCAAGTGTTCTGTATATTCTGTTGCTCGTAATATACCATCACATCAAGTATGTCAAAATATTGTTCAAAAAGACTAATCCATTAATTGATTTCACCTCTTCCAAAATGGAGTTTTCTCTATTCAGCCAGTTTTTTACCTGATCCCCTCCACATGGCCAATATAACTTTACATTTTTGAATTTAGTAAATTGTCTTGTAAACATATCAAAACACTTTGTATGATGCCATGACTTATTAACACCCTTACCCAGGAGTCATATTTATTTAAACAAAAAAGTTAATTACAACATATGTACATAAGGGACAATCTTGCAAAAAATGTTCATTTAGACATCACAGAAAAAAACTACTTGTGCCCAATGATATTTGTTGTAAATTGTGTGCATTTAATCAACAGAATTTTTACTGTCGGAGCTTTTTAGATAAGCCTGAGCAACTATTTCAATCAAAATCTTAAATGACAAAACTTACCAGAAACCTGTGGTGGGTGTTGGAACTCTTGCATTTTTTATCATATTCAGATCATGATTATTAAAGGCACATTTATTTCCGTTAGTGTAAGAACTAGGTGTTGCCTGTTATAATATGAATTCAGTAATGAATTATAAATTCTTCTTTCACTGTCTGTCCTATGTACCGTATTTGTAATTCTATGAGCGTTGTAAAAGTTGTCAAATTAGTGTTTTTGAAATTTATTATTTTCCATTATGGGGAGCGAGCTGGTCTAGCGGTAGGACACGGGGCTTTGTAGCCTGAGGTCACAGGTACAAATCCCGCCAATCACCAATGGATTTTATCTATGTAACAATGCCGTGCAACCCTCTAGCCTAAAGTAATGTGAAAAACAGTTCCGGGTTGGAACCTAGCGTGTTAAAATGTAAACGTTTAATAAGTGGCAAAAATTTATTTATCGGTTAACATTGGCGGTTTATATCAAATTAATTTTAGCTTAATTACCTTAAAAGTGTTAGTTTTTAAAAACTCAAATTTGTTAATCTACCTGTAAGAATTTTGCGCTATTTCTTCTAAGATTCAGCACACTGCTTACCTTTTTCTTCTTCGTGGTAGTAAATTTTCATAATTTAGATTATTTATATTAAGATAATCTGGTTAAAAAGTAAATCTTATAATGAGGAAACTGAATTGTGTTAAGTACTATATCACTAATTTGACATCTTTGTATTTTATCTGTATCGGTAGCTGAATTAACTTACCTATATGTAACATTAACCGTTAGTTTACGCTGCACAAAGTCGCATTGTAAGCGTACTTTTATTTGTAAGCGGCAAGAACTACCAATGTCTGTGAGTATTTATGTCCTTTTTGTATCTAACTGTTGAAACGATAAAATGTCAAATATGAACAGTTAGCTAGTAGACAATTATGAGTTTAATTCTGATTTTGGATAAAATTGGGACTTCTGGAAGAAAAGTCTTTTCTTCAAGAGAAGAGTGGAAGAGACCGGCTTGGAATGTGCGTATGCTGTTATTTTAGCCAGAGACTTAATTATCGGACTTTTGTTGGCGACCCTGTGAGTATGAATGCTCATAGCTGGGCAGTGCTGTCTGCGGCGGCGTACGTATTTTGGTTTAGTATTTCAGTTTAGTCTGTTTTTGGTCGATTGTTTACTGATTTTGTCACTGTTACTCTTCAGGGTAAAAACAGTTTTGAGAAGACACGGCAGCGGCTACCCCGTCTGTAAGTCACAACAACAAAATACCATCAGAACAAAATTGTTTTAATGTATGCCTATGTTAGGAGTTGGGATTGTTTGTATGTTTAGCCAAGAAAGCGGTTAGCAATGGTTAGCTTTACCAAGATGCCTGTAGGTTATAAGAGTGGATTAGTGTTTGTAGTTTTCTGATCTACGATACGCCATTAGCGTTAAATGGAATCATGTCAGATACTTTTAGTATTTATGCTTTAAGATTTCTTTCAGTATAGGTTTGATGAGATTAATATTCAAGTCCCCGAACTATTTGTCATTCCAAACATAATTTCCTGGAATTTGGCTTGGATATTATTTTTTGCCTCTGTATTGAATATCCTCTAAGGATCGATATGTTTAGTCAGGAAACGGCAGGTTATGTACTTCATTTAATAATAAAGCTACAAATTCCAATTGGTTCCAATCTCAGCCTATAAAAAATTGGCCAAAATATGATATTAATTAATAACTTAAACGAAAAATAACATTTGATTTAACAAAGTTTTATAATTATTTTAAACGCTTATTCATTCAAATTCATAAAAAGTAAATTACCTCAAATCCAGCCAAAAATATTAATAGAGATGTCTATTGGATTTTTTAATGTGTGATCAGTCGTTCACTGTTCAATGTAGTGAAAATCAACAAAGAAGCCAACCCCAAACCTTGGTCTTTCCAAACGAGGTTTAGCCAATTTTTTGCAAGTCTTAAAGGGAAATGTAATTCTTTACTGAATGGTGAGAGAATTTTTAAAGTTGTTTCCAATCCGTTCACTCCCTCGCAAATGCACAAACCTGTTTATTTTAAGCTGCATGCTCCCAATCATGCTTAAGGAACAGATTTCAATAATGTACTACAGCTAACAGCTGTAACACTGATTCATTACATAATGTTCAATGTGTTATTATAAGATGTTATTTTAGTTAATTGTGTAGCTCCTAATGGTTTTCATTGATGGTGCTAAGGGAGTAAAAGGTAATAACAATTTCTGTTTTGTAGTTTGTACATCCTAACTGTACATTTAAGTAAAATAAAATGTCTACCTTGTTAATTAATAAGTAAATTTATGTTTAACCCGTCTTACTAGGTTTTGGAATTGAACGCTGCATTCCATTTAAACATAGCTTGTCAAAACTAAATCAGGATCGAGGGAGTTGGTTAATCACAAATGTCTAATGTTGTGTATTGTTGCTTTAATTTGGTTACTTTTCTAAACTTCTGTCAATAGTAGCTTGATTCTTGATCTGGGTAATTTACAAATAGTGTTTTATCGCTGAAAAAGAATGGCTTAAACTCATTACAAGATTTTAGTTACATTTAAAAAAAATCTAGAGTTTCTTTGATCGGCAAAGCAACAAAGATGTTTCTTTAGTTGAGTAAGGTTAGAGGATTTGGTTAGTAAAATGAAAAGTTTTTTTTTCAATTGGCTCATAAGATACCATTTGAACATACCTATTAAATTTTGTTTTGTCGTAAAAGTATTAACAATCGTTACACAAAACATAGATGGGCAAATTCTTTATGTTAGTTGATATCTTCATTTTTGTAATTATTGTTTCTTATCCATAGTAAATGCTCTATTTTACAATTGATCCATTTACATACTATATTTTCATTACAATCGGTTCCTTATCATTTTCAGTGCATCACTTTACAATGATAGTTCCCACATCAACATTAGTCTTTTTTTGCTTGGTTACATATATTTTTAAACACTTGTGACTTTGAAGTGAAATTTTGATTCAACCTAGTGTTAGTACCGAGTAGTGTGACAAAGTCTTGTTAACAAGATGTCTATTGTTCCGGCAGCGCATGGACTTGGGTGAGTGTCCTAAGATTCACGATCTCGCCCTCAGAGCTGACTTTGAGCAAGCCAGTCGGGCGAGGGACTACTTCTACGACATTGATGTGAGTATTTCAGTCTAGTTTGTGTTTAAGTAAGTCTTGTTGAAGGTTGGTTGACACTCTTAATAGGAAATATTCATTGAGAGATTTTGAGAATATTTTATATCACGATTGGGGTATCGTGCCTGAAAGTTTTTACAATATTTCGTGGTAATCATGATCCAAATCCCGAAATGTTTTGAAAACTCTGTGGGGTTGGTAGAGCGAGTGGAGCAGTTGCTCCAGAGTGGAAGCCTCTTGGGGTGTGAGGGGAGTGAAACTTTTGGAGAAAATAAAACTTTTATCGTTGAAAAAATCTGATACATATATTATAAATAAAAAATTATAAAAGTCAAGTATATATTTAAAATAAATATATTATTATAAACTATTGAATAGCTATCTTTAATCATAATATTTGTAGTTGAAAATGGTAGGTGATGTATGGGTTTTCTCGCTGCCGTTTACCGTAGCAGTGGCACGGGCATGAATACAAAGTTCCAGCGTATTCTCTGTGGAGATGTCCTTAGTCCAATGATCTACACCACAAGTTTAGTGATCAGTCAGAGCTGAAAATAAAGTTATTCTATTTACTTATGTCAGTAGTAAGTGCGGACTGTGTAGCTATACGCATAAACTGCCCTTACTTAAAAAATGCTTGTATGATTCATCATAATAAGGATCACATGTATACTGATTACCGGCTAGCCGATAAGCAAGAACCTTCATTCGTTCTATTGGTAGGAAGTTAGTTTATAATATTTTTCTTTCAAAATTGTGGTTAGGGTGTTTGCTGGTAAGCCAGTTTGCTAAAAAGCAATGTTTCCCATTTGTTGTTTTGTTTGCCATCGGATATTCATCAGAACTGGTGGTAATCTCCTTGTTTAGGCGATGGAGCACCTCCAGGCATTCATCAGTGACTGTGACAAGCGGACGGAGCAAGCTAAGCAGAGACTACTGGAAACACAGGAGGAGTTAAGTGCTGAGGTGGCCGTCAAGGTGAGGAAAACATCTTCATTACTTTTTACACTTTGTGAATTTATTGAATTAATTAGACATTGTTAAAAGGAAACGATCGTTAATTAAGATTGGGTGTAGGGAGGAATGAGGGGAAGGCTTCCAACAACACAAAGCAGTTGTAGTGACTGTAGTAACTATAGTCTTAAATCGATCTAATCGCAATTAATTGTTGAGATGACTTTACAAAAAAACAAAAGCGACGCTTGCGCATCCCGATGGCCACTCTAATTGACAAAATATATTCTTAACAATTTGAGTTTTTTTTTTTACTAAGATTGTGTGGAGTAGAGTTTTAAGTTTTCAAATAAGTTGTTTTGTTTTTGTAGGCTAACCATGTACACGAGCTGGCTGAGGAGATTGGAAAGAAGTTGGCACGAGCTGAGCAACTCGGAGAGGAAGGCTTCGTGGAGGAGAGTCTCAAGTTGATGGGGGAGGTGAGTTTATGGTAGTTGAAAGTGAATTTAAAATCGATTGTAGATTATGTCGTATTAAATATTTTCATGTAGGCCCTAAGAAGGTATCATCTACATTATTATTTGTTGGGACTTTTTCATTTCATTTAACGTTAGTGTGGAAATCAATTCACAGAATCAGTACCGACATTTCACCATCGATTCTCGGTCCCGGTACTTTTCCCAAGAACCAAGGGAACCGACATTTGACGTTAAGTACCGACCCATCACTAATGTAATCTTTTACAGCTGTACACACTTGCATAGTGACGTGCAACTCAATAAACCTGCATAGTTTTCCGTTCATTGTTAACTTAGCTTTCATACTGCTCTCATATGCTTAAAATCAAATCAAATCAAATCCTTGTATTAACCTACAGATTGAAGAGCTCCGTAAGAAGAAAGCCGAAGCGGAAGACGTTTACCGCAACTCCATGCCGGCCAGCAGCTACCAGCAACAGAAGCTGCGTGTGTGTGAGGTGTGTTCCGCGTACCTTGGAATACACGACAACGACAGGCGGCTTGCCGACCACTTCGGTGGCAAACTACACTTGGGTTTCATCAAGATCCGGGAGAAACTAGCCGATCTGGAGGTAACCAATGCTTTCCTAACCTCCAAATGATTCTGTGAATGTAATCTGTTTACAATGTTATAAGTTTCAATATATTTAACATTTATATAATCTTATAACAATAATACAACCTTACCTATAGTATTGAGGAATTTTTTTTTTATAATTTTGAAGCCGGTAGATTGTGCCACTGTTTGAGAAAGAGTCCTTAATTAATCTTTTGCTGTAGTCCAGTCATATGCAGGACAGTAGCCTATATTTTGTCCTGATACAAACCATACTGGTATTTCATCGTGTAGTTTAAGCTTAGTTTTAAGAATATTGTCAGATTATTTTACTCGTACAGTATTACTTTTTCATTTTAAAGTTTTAATTGTAATTAGTTTTATCATCATGAATATTGACAAAACTCCTATCTATGTAGATTGTACTTAAACAAAATATGTTATGAGTTAATACAAAAATTTGAATTTGAATGTTGGTATAGCGAACTGTGGAAGAGCGAAGGCAGCAGCGCAGATCTGAAAAGGATTATGATCGGGACGACAGAGACAGAAGCCGAGAGCGAGAAAGGTAGGATTTTAAGGTCTCCTATCTCTGTAACTTACTGAGAGTAATTTTCTTGATTTAAAATCATAATTAAATCTTTTAATAGTTTTACAGCATATATATTTTTAAGTTGAAACTTTTTTCTTGAAATAAATTATGGAAACTTATAAGTGTAGTTTTATTAATTTGTCTGTGTTGTTTTAGTGATAATAATTTTTTACGTTACTTTTTTCCTACGCTTTGTTTTTTTAAAGGAAGAAAGAATGAATAAATCTCAAGCCCACATATAAAATGAGTTGTAAGGAGTTGATAGCACACATAAAGCTCATCGGACAATTTTCTTTTGTTAGGTATTCAATCGTCCCTTCCTCCATAGTGTATTTAACAGTTTGTTAGTTATTTTGCTGAGTTTTTACATTAACATGAGAAAATGGCAAAGATGATCTGTGAAAAGCACCTATCAGGTTGAGCTTAGTTTTCTGTGTGTTAGGTACCGTGAACGCAGCCGTGATCGTTCCCGCAGCCGCAGACGCAGGAGCCGGTCACGCTCACGCAGCAAGTCTCGTCACTCAAGCAGGTCAGCAATGCTTTTTAGAGTGAGATATAATTGATCAAATAATATCTAAGACAAAATGTGAAGAACAGATGACCATGGAAACCTACATTCCTAGTATTTCATTGAACATTCTAGCTTTCAAACGGAGTATGTTGGTCACTGAAAAGATGCTATTTACAAGATAGTCAAAAAAGTCACTGATCATAATTTAGGAAGGCAATCTAAGTAAGATTTTTACTTGGGCCACACAAACGAAATAGCTAAAAACTGTTATTTGATTTTTCCATCCTTCCAAATTGAAAGCAACAATTGAAATCAATTATAGTAATTTAAATATATTCTAAACACAAAAATTTGTTCAGCGCTAAAGCTTCATACACTGATTCAAGCTTCAAGACAACTTTAACTAGGCCTGTCTAAAATTTAATTAATTTACCTTATTCTAATAAACACCATGGTATAAGATACAGTACTTACTTACATTATACTATTTATTGCAATTACACCTCCTGTTTATTTTTTGAACTCAAACAAACACACAACGCTTGACTTGACTTACCGTAGAGCTTAGAATATTCTAATGTCAAAAATCCGAACCGCTTCTTATGTTCTTATGTTTAAATGCAATATTGATTTAGCTTGGAGACAATAGATGTTTTACAGTTTCCCGGTCTAATCTGTCGGCGCCCGGCGGGGAAATGAGCGAATGTGCACGCACCGAGCCAGGTAAATGACCTTGGGCCTGTCTATATTTAACTGTCTCGGTGACGCGCCAGCCACCCCACCCCACCCCTTGCCACAGCTATTGTTTCACCACCAGTAATTGTGCCAGTAACCAGTAGTGCACAGTTTATGTTTATAGATACGCGCAGTCTTCATTACGACGGTGTGGTGTATTAGCCTAGTAGGACTAGACTACGTATAATGCTCAGTTGCGTCTTGCGATTTGTCCGTGTTATTGTTTTTTGTGCAAATTAATTTAGTGAACAGTTAGTTGGCAAACAGTTTGGTGATTTTGTGCATTTGTGCACATTATGGCTTCTTCATCTGGGACAAACAAGAAGAGAAAACACACATTTCTTGCTATCCAAACTAAAATTAAATTGAATAGGCTGGGAAAAGGTGAAAGTGGTTCGTCTCTTGCAAAAGAGTTTGGAGTGGATAATGCTACCATTTCTGACATTAGGAAAAACAACAATTCCATTCTATATTTTGCCTCGAAATTTGATTCCGAGGATGGCTCAAAACTTCGTAAAACAACGAGGACAGCGAAAGACAAAGCACTAGAAGACGCTGTATTGTGTAGTTTTCATAGCACTCCCAAGTTTAGGTGCACAAGTTACACCGATAAATATAAATTTTTTGAACCAGTTGTTTCAAGAAATGCTAATTGGGTCGTAAACAACTTATTTGTATGAGAGGGCAACCTCCTCAGTCATTGTAAATAGTGGGCCCAAACTTCGGTTCTAAATAATTCAGTTTCTAATGCAGTAGCGCCAAGTGTTTTGGACTAAAAATTGTACTTCCAATAGCATCGTCCTTAATTTTGCTGTGTGTTTCTCAGTGTACATAATAATATTGAAAAGATTAAAAATTATAAAATTAAAAATAAATAATTATTGCCTGTTATTATTATTGGTGGGTGACCAGTTCAAAAAGTTTGGAACCGCTGGTCCCATTGACTTTCCTTATCGTGCTTTCTATGTCTTTGTCCGTTTTACTTGCCTAAATTTTGTTTTGGGATTGATCTAGGCTACTATTTCTACCTTGTTTGCTCTCCTCTTAAAGCACAAAAGTTCTAACACTCCAAGTAAAGCCACATATTTCATATTCATATTTTCCAGGTCTAGAAGCACGTCTAGGGGCCGACATTCACGCTCCAGGTCTGACCGTTCTAGGTCACGTGATCGCCGTCGTCGTGATCGCAAGCGAGAACAACGTGACAGAGATCGCGAGGATTCAAACAGCCGCGACAGGGATTGAACTAGCAAGAAGTAGCAAGATCTGTCATGAGCTACTTTAACTTTGTATTAAATTTTATCAGTGTTGACTGTCGACTTGATTTACGTGATTTTCTGGTTCTATGTGCAAGCAGGACTTTAATAGTTTGTTTTTTATTCCATCACTTACGAATGAGTTTGTTCCTCTTTGTAGATTTTCCATTAAATTCCCAATGTATACTTGAAGTACATTTATTGTTAGTATTAGGTGAATATATTTGTTTATTAGGTCATGTGTGTTTTTTAATTCCTGTGTTTTGTTGGTTTGAATTTCTTATATGATGGCTTTTGGTAAAATAATAACTGCTAAAAGAGATAGTTCTCTTCACTTAATATCCATTTATGAGCGTTGCAGTTGCTGTTGATTCCTACTACAGTCAAATTGTTCGTTCCATAATTTGTAATAGTTATGAAACCTAAATTGTTATTCTTTGGCTAAATCAAATGAAATAATGTGTTTTATACATTAGCAAAGTCTTTGAATAAAGTCAAATTTACTTAAAAAGGTAAAGTAACAGGGGAGCAAGCTGGTCCGTGGTAGAGCATAAATTTTAAACATAGAGTTGAAAGAGGTCCCGTAAACATGTACATACGTAAATAGCTTAACTTTATATTTTTAAGAAGTGAATTATCTGAAATGTTACCCACATCTATTCCTGAAGTAAGGACTCGTACTTAAATCAACGATGCACTAACTACACAGTATCAACTGTATTTTATTTACTTCAATTTAGTGGGATTTGAGGATGTGAATCCTTTGCACGGATTGGCTAGTCAAGTCATATTTTACGTTGGGAGTTGTAATTACGCTCTCTTAATTTTATTCAGTAACTTCAAAATAATTTATTTTCTCTACAACTAGTTTAGCTTTGTAAAATTCAATATTTTGTTTTGTCAAAAATTACTTTATTTTGAGTGTAAAAAATGTAATATGTCCGAACCAAACCATCATTGTCATGTTCTTTGTCATATTTAATAGTTTCTAGCACATGCAAGTCAAAACGTGTGAGAGTTTCAAACTTTTTAAACAATTGTCTAACTGTGCAAGGCCCCAATGTTACTTATCCTTGTAATTTGCCATATTGCATAAAAGGACTAGTGTTTGTAATGCCTTTATAGAATGGATGTACGAGGGAAAATTTACATATCTAGACACAGTGTAGAGGATATGTCATCATTAATAATACATATCTCTCTTTTATTCCAAGCTATTAACTTAAATGTCTAAAATTAAACCAATTGACACTTGAGTCAACAATTTTTAAACCTCTTTTTATTCTGGTCTGTATATTCTTATTTTCATTCTATATGTCTTATTATTAGAAATCCTCAATACGTATCAAATCCTGAAAGTGATGTATAATTAATCATATCAGATTTAAGCTCTAAAGTCCAGTCCATTCACACATTTTAAATTGTAAAATAATATAATTTTAAGTATTCATTTCCAATATTTGTTACTTTACCTGGAAATATAAAGGATTAATTGATACAAAAATAAAAAGGGTTCATCCTATATAATCATCCCAAAAAAGTACTAAGTACATTAATAAAACAAAAGCAGAAAAGTTTTGATCATAAATTTTAATAGTTAACTTCTTTGATCTCTAGTTTTGCAAATAAACTGTCAAAATATATAACTTAACAGGTATAGACAGCAGTAGCTTATTTTCTACAACATAATCACAAAGAATAATAAAACCAAACAACCTGGGTTAAAAGTATACTATTATAACCAGTAACATTTTTGTATTGGTCAAAGTAGCTACTGTATATTTATTGCCTAGTACAACAATATTAACTCTTTTGCCGGCAAAAATATTCAAAAAATGCGAGCAGGAATATTACGGGATGAAACTTTTAGTCGTTATCAGAGATTGTGTGTGCAAATATATTATCTGCTTTAGTTCGTAATCCTTGTCCAAACGTAGCCGTACAGATAGCTTTGGTGAGCCTTGGAGCCTACAGGTCTGACCATGGCTAGGAACTCTACAGGTATGTGTTGAACTACTAGGTATAATAGATTAAATATAAATACAGTTCATGACAACAAAACATTGTGTACCACATTAAGTAGTTATTTAGAAAAAAATGTATATAAACCATGTAAATTATACGTATCTAATAAGCAAGGGTATTAAGTGACTGGAATTGCATTTCTTATAAGTGATACACTTTGTATGTAGCTCAAGATTAGGTTTTGGCCAAAAAATTTTAAAATCTTAATCCATATAAAAAGTTAGCCGTTTGCGAATTTTATAATTGTACCATTTGTGATAGTTAAACATACAAAACGTTGGCTGAAAAATATTTACATGATGAAATTTATTCAAAGAAAAAATTTGAATAGTGACTTGATCAACTTAGGCCTATTCATTTAATTAAAGATGCTTCAAAATGTAGGATATTTTAAAATTCAGGCAACAGGTTGACAGTTTTTTTTACTTCAAATAATCATCTTGTATTAATTACGAGCTGTTGGCCCATCCTACGTACAGGAATAAAGAAGTCAATTAAAATGTAATATGATTCAGAACAGCTAGTTAACATGCATAACGGCAAATCCTGGCACTTTTAATGGGGAAAATCATCTTGTAAATAAATGTCTTGTGACCACATATTTCTGTCATACAATTATAAGCCTTAAATAAATTTTAAATCAGAAATTTTTCAATAAAACAGCAATTATGTTGATTTTAAAAGCCTAAAAGTGAGATTTTTGGCAGATTCACACACTGTTTTTGAGTATACGTAGTAGCTACATCCACCTTCCATTGCATACTATCACTTATGGTACCTTGTCTTACCTCTGTGGCCACTGAAACCTAAAGAGGATTCTGGCCTATTCTCTCTAGCCCCTGCCTCTTCTAGTGTAGATATTAGTCTGGAGATGTCTTTCATTACTTGGTTTTTACACTTCATTCTTGGTCTTCCAAGTGGTCGTCTACATTGTGGTACTCCTTGGAATACACTTAAAAGTTTGTGCATCTTCTCCCCACCACACATAGCCTGCCCATCCGAGCCCTTAAATTTGGGTGTTTATGTATTACTATTTAGCTCTCTATTCGTTCGTATCTCAACCTCCGTTATCATGAACTGGCCTGTGTATTTTCTCTGCACTCTATTCTTAATAGATGCGATAGTTTGATGAAAAAATATATCACAAACATGAGTTAAAATTTTCATGGCATTAACTTATTTACACAGATTGCATTTACGACAAAACTGATTATACGCAATATTGTTTGAGATGTACAGTTCAAAATTACACATTTCCTGCTAACGCAGATCCTTTACGGTAGGTTTGTCGGTACCCCTCCCTGTTACCTTTAAAATTTCTAACATTAATCATTTTACTATTCAAATGTTGGCTTTTTGTTCTAATACCAACTTGAGGGATTTAGAACAGAAAAGCGAATGTCTGAATTCTTCTTGAATTCAAGGGAAAATTAGACAAAAAAACTTTGTCACAAGATAATGGAGGTTGAGATACAAACGAATAGAGAGCTAATACGAATGTTAAAACACCCATTTATAAAGGTGATTTCCAGAAGTAAAAGGCTCGGATGGACAGGCTATGCGTGGTGGAGAGAAGATACATCAACTTAAATGTATTCCAAGGAGCACCACAAGTACGTAGGACGGGACAACAGCTAGTAAAGCATTAAGTTTGTGTGAATAGTGTGATCTATAAGTATTTGTAACACAATATTTAGCTATACAATTTTTTTTTATTTGCACAACCTTTTAAGTTGACATTCCACTCCTGTGTTTGAAGTTATTCTCAGCTAAAACGTTGAAACACTGAGTACTAGCAATAGTCAATGGTACTAGTTAGAGTAGGTTCAGCAGATCAAATTAGCTATATGTTCTCTTTTTAATTAAAAAACTGGCTAAATCTAATCCATGCCAGGATGTCAATGTCCATAGTCTAATGAATGGTCAAAACTCACTACTGGACATCATTACAAATGTGTTATTTACAAATTTTTAAATTGTAAATGTGGGTAATATTCCAATATTACACACTAATTAACAATTCTATACCAGCTAAGTATTTATCATTGCCAGGTTGTGTTATCTTTTACTGAACATGTTGAATTTACTCAACTTAATTCTTTTGTCACTGGCGTCTAGATAAGCGCAACCCACCTCAACACTAAATGACTACTCATTTAGCATCATTAAGTATTGTGTTTTGTTTATGTTACAATTCAAATTGGCTGTACAATTTTCACTAGGCTTACCTAGAATTGGAATACTGAATTTGGCATGGTAATCTATAATGCCCTAAGAAGTTTTGATAAGAGTTGATCAGTAAAAAAACCATTCTGAGTAAAAAAAATAAATTCCATATAAGCAAGGTTAGGTGTCTATGTACCGAGATGAAAAAAGAAGGTTAGAGAGATAAGTTTTAAAATAGGGAAGAGTTGGAAGACCTTGAAAGAAATTTCACGACATCATAAAAAACATCTAAAAAAAACACAAGGGTGTTATGTATAAGGTTAATTTGATTTATTATATTATTAACTTCACATTTAATTTTTGTTTCATTCACTTTACACTTCACTTTTTTAGTTTTTTTTTTTTTCGCTTGACTTTTTTAGTTTTGTACAATTTTGTAATTTATTTTGCTGCAGTTCAATCATCTAGTGCTAAAAGGGAAAGTATCTACAGCAAGTGGAAGAGAACGAGAGATTTAATTAGAGAAACGAGGTTGGGAGAGTTTTACGAGTACACCACGGAAAATGGAACTGAATCGATAAATTTTGGCATCGACACATCACTAATAAAAAATAATTGGGTCTGATAGTGTGATAACTCAGGCAAAATTAATCCGATTTGAATTAAACTTGGTATAGGCTAAACCTGTGTTTATTTGAACAAGTTCACAAACCAGCATGTTATGGGAATGGGGTTTTTTGTGTGGTAAAAACATGTTTTCCATTTTTGACTATAAAAACAAAATTTTGCAGTATTTTTCTAAATTTGTTTGTAGAGTTAAAAAAATAATTTAGTATATTTGTATATTGAAGTGTACGGTATTTTATGTACTTATTGGTCAAAAAAAATTCCAAAAACACTGTAAATTAAAAATATTATTGTATTATGAGTAAACTGTTGGATTTTGCTGGTTTATAAACAAATTTTGAATAATTTTGGAATATTTGTAATTTGTACTAAACTATTAACATTTTATACAAAAAAATTTGCTGAAAAGAAAACGCTCTGTTACCTTCCCGCATTAATCCTAAGTACTCAGTAAACTATGTTTAATAAAACAAGGAGCCAATCTGAAATTTTTAAGGAGATATTTTAGTGAAATTATAATCAGGCATTTGGAAAATTGCTTGTATGCGGTATTTTTAGTGGTATTTTCTATTTTATCAAATACACGCATCACAAGTTTTAACTGTTTCCAATTTAAAATAATATTTTTGAGCGTAATTATAAGATTTTTTTGTTATTAATTTTTTTTCAAATTTTTATTATTATATTTTACCACTTTGATGAATCTACAAAAGATTGTTAGAAACTAATTTGACTATTAATAAAACAAATTGTTATTAATTGGTAGTTAATATAATAAATAGCAATAATCACTGCTCAATTTGTAAAAAATGATGTGCCTGTACTGTAACCTATTTAATATGATTAGTACCTATTTATGCCAATATTTTTATTTTTCTGAAATAAAGGTTCAGGAACACCGTTCTGCCACTTTCCGCCGCAAATCAATCACTGAGTCACTGATTCTAATGGAAACTTAAAAGTTAAAAACCCATCAACACATAAAAAAATGGACGTTCCATATTACAAAACACGACAATTCGAGTTGATTTACAACAACCTTGACAGTTATGAAGATTATTATACCTAGTAAACACCAACAAAACTGTTTTCATTGTGTGGCTTAAAACTAATTAAGACTAATGATTTGAAAGTATTTGGTTTCTCATTAATAGGTCATTAAAGAATGCTTCCTAATAGAGAGGTGGCTAATTTATTGGCAAGGGAGGCTTTTTGTGGTAAGCATCAAACATTATCAATTACCTGTATTTAATTTTAGGTCTAATACAAAAACAGTTTTATGATAAGTATACCCCCGCCACAGCAAACCTGCAGGCTAAGCGAATTTCTATTCGCCTCATTATATTTTCAATAAAATATCTCCTTAAATGTGAGATTTATTCCCTATTTAACTAGGTGTACAATACAGCTGTCTGGTTGCAATATTGAGCGGAGCTATCATATTAATCCAATACTCATATAAAGTCAATGCTACATCCGGCTAACGTAAATGCGATGTCTCCTTACAGTATCCAAAGTCAATGCTTCAACTGTTTCTAATGAGAAACAGTAACAATGAGTATATAGACGAGTCAATTTAGCCCAAGAAAGCCTCTAAGATAGAACAAATTCCAACAAATGGTTTTTCGACGGTTTTTGGTAGTAATAGGTGTAGAAAGTACCAGAAAAAAAGTCTACCAAAATCGGACAACCGGAAGTCGTGTTTTTCCAAGATGGCCGCCGCGAGGCCCTCAAATCGACAAGATGACTGCAAATACGTCGATTCATAGTTCCAGGATTGGCCGATTTCCACGAAAATTGGCAAACACATGTTGAACTATATTTCCAACCTTAAATATGAAAACTAGGCAGACAAAGTAACCAAAAGATGAATTTTCAGGGTATTATGTGCTAAAAAAAAAGATTTTTTACCTCAAATAAAAGTTTTTCTAACATTTTGTTCAAAGTTTGTTATAATTTCAAATTTATTTTTTCACCATTAGATTCAACACAAAAAACCTAACAATTTAGTATATTGAATCTTTGTTCTGCTTCAATTTGTTACAGAGATATTGAAAGTAATAACTTTAGTATGTTTTCTTGCCGAGATAGCTTAATGTTAATTTTATGGAGAATAAGCATAAATATTAATATTATTTTTCATTAAACCTATATAGATAAGACTTTTTGTTCTGCTTCATATTATCTGTTTTAATATTTTTTTTACTAAAAATTCCTTTTTTGGCAGTTGCCGTTGCAGCAAACTTACGTATTCGGTTCCTCAGTTTTAATCATAAAGAGAATAAGCAAAAATCAATTTTTTATTAGTCCGAGAAGTATAGAATATAACCTTAAAACCAATACAAGAAAACGTTTAATGGTTTTATGTTGTATTTTTGGGTGTGCAGAGTCGGATTTTCTTAACTTTGGCCATTTTTTGAAAAAAATATACCATAAGCATTTTCTATGCACAATTTTCTAAATATTGACTAAATATTGACATCGATATTTATTGGGTGGTCAGTACTTCATTTCGATGGTAAACGTATTTTGGCCGCCATTTTGGATCCACCTTATTGGATGTAATTTTTTGTTGTTGTAACGACAGTGTTGTGACACATTATTACTATATATACTAGATTTTCTCGCATATTCCATTGCCGAAATCCGTTTTTAAATACATTTTTTTTTGTTTTAAATGTTTTGTACTTTGAAATTTTTTTACGATTACTTTCCTTATCTTCAGTTAGTAGTTCATTCTTAAATAATTAATGATGTAAGGGCTTTCATTTGAGCTATTGATTATTAAAATTGGACGAGTAAGAGACGAGATACCAATCCCAACAAAATATTAAATTTAACTTTGTATAAATCAGTTTTTATTAAATGATTAATATCTTGGGTTCTTAATACGTCACCAAGTTCTTTCTGGTCTCAAATTGCTCAGTAGAGAATTAGGCTTTTTATTTGATTAGTCACTAAATAATATCTGACTAATTAATAAAAAATGAGTCATGCACCTTAATTTAATATTCAATTATTTGCTTTTGAAATTTGTCTTTAGTTAAGTACATATATCCCCAATTCTAATAACTCCCAATAAATAATCCATAACTACAGTAAAAGTCAATACTTTGATGAATCTTTTAAGATTATAAAGAGTATTGGGAGTTATTTTTCGATTTGGGGGTATTTGTCTTAAACTAAAGACAAATCTCGAAAAAAAATATTGTTAAATAAGACAGACCCATATTAAATTTGTCAAATTTTATTTAGTGATTTAAAAAAATGAATCCAAACATTTACTGAGTAATATGAAACCAGAAAGAACTTGGTGGCGTATTAAGAACCCGAGATATAAATATTTTAATAAAAATGTATTTCTAAAAAGTGAAATTTAATATTTTGTTGGGGTTGGTAACTAGTCTCTAACTCGTCAGATTTTAATGATCAATAGCTCAAATAAAGGCCTTACATTACTAAATGTTTAAAGCTAGAACGAACTGCAAGCGTTAATATGTACTGGAGATATAAGAAGAAATAATCTAAAAAAATGTTCAAAATACGAAACGTCCTTAAGAAATTTATGCAGAAGATTTTTCGTTTGGATATATCTTTAAAACGAAAAAAAATATTTAAAAACTCATTTTGGCAATGGAGTGGGCGTGAAAATCTAGTTAAAAATAAAGTGTCACAACATTGCCATTACATTAAAAAAATTATTATATCCAATATGGCCGATCCAAGATGACGGCCAAAAACACGTTCCCTATTGAAATGACACTGTCATTACATAAAAAAAAATATTTATATCCGATGGGGGATCCAAAATGACGGCCGAAAACACGTTCCCTATCGAAATGAAGAAATGACCACCCAATAAATATCGGTGATGGTCTGAAGTCAATATCAATGAAAATGCATGTGGATTTTTTTTTATTTTTCCAATGTTGAGAAAATCTGTCATATTAAATCTTGATTCAAGGGGTTTTCCAGTAGACCGATTTTTGGCAATTTTTGCTATGTTACTCTGCATACCCAACAGTACATCATAAAAACATAAAACGATTTCTTGAAATTTTTTAAGGTAATATTCTATACTTCTCGGACTAATAAAAAAATTGATTTTTGCTTATTCTCTTTATGATTAAAACTGAGGAACCGAATACGTAGGTTTGCTGCAACGGCAACTGCCAAAAAAGGAATTTTTAGTAAAAAAAATATTAAAACAGATAATATGAAGCAGATCAAAAAGTCTTATCTATATAGGTTTAATGAAAAATAATATTAATATTTATGCTTATTCTCCATAAGATTAACATTAAGCTATCTCGGCAAGAAAACATACTAAAGTTATTACTTTCAATATCTCTGTAACAAATTGAAGCAGAACAAAGATTCAATATACTAAATTGTTAGGTTTTTTGTGTTGAATCTAATGGTGAAAAAATAAATTTGAAATTATAACAAACTTTGAACAAAATATTAGAAAAACATTTATTTGAGGTAAAAAATCTTTTTTTTTAGCACATAATACCCTGAAAATTCATCTTTGGGTTACTTTGTCTGCCTAGTTTTCCTAGTAGTGCCTAGTTTAAGGTTTGAAATATAGTTCAACATGTGTTCGCCAATTTTCGTGGAAATCGGCCAATCCTGGAACTAAGCGACGAATTTGCAGTCATCTTGTCGATTTGAGGGCCTCGCGGCGGCCATCTTGGAAAAACTCGACTTCCGGTTGTCCGATTGTGGTAGACTTTTTTTCTGGTACTTTCTATACCTATTACTACCAAAAACCGTCGAAAAACCATTTGTTGGAATTTGTTCGATCTCAATGCCTATATTTACTCGACTAATACGCATAATACTGCAGTAAGAATGAGATATTTACTTGCAGTAACCAAAGTCATACGTCTAGTTCACGTAAATGTTATAACTCAATGGAGCATTGGTATCAACGAATGACTCAAGATGAAACAAGATTTTCATTCTCATAATGCAAGGAATAATTACAGTTAGACATAACAGCTCATAGACTTAAAAATAGTAGCAATATTCATAGACTAAACTGCATTAATTTTTTTAATGAATTGCCTGATTCGGCCAGAACTGAATCCTTCAAGATATTCAAATCTAAATTATGTGAATGGTTGATAAGTAATCCTTTCTATGGCATCCATGAATTTCTAAACACAAAAGTTGATATTGAATTTTGATGTGTATCTACATGATCCATATTCTCTAGATATGTTGTATTTTAATTAACTAAGTATTTTGTAAAACTTTGTATTTTATTTGTTAATTTGGAATATTTTGTATGTGTTTTGACTATGTCTATCTATTCCTTTGTACAAAGAAAGGTCAATGGCAATAAAACTCTTGATTCTTGACTCAATCTCCTATGTTAAATATTGATGGTTTTCCGTAAGATATGTTTTGTTCAGATCATAAATCTCAAAATGAAGAAGAGGAACGTAAAGATCAAAATTGGCTGAGGACTGTCAGCAGTGCTGTCCACCATCGCATTCCTATCACAAGGTAACAATAGACAATCATATGTTAAAAATACACTATCACAAGGTAACAATAGACAATCACATGTTAAAAATACACTATCACAAAAAGATAACAACAATGCAAATGTAATGTAATGGACACAAATGTAATAAACGCAAGGCAATGAATGAAACACAATTATAATGTGATTACGCACAATCTGACAGTAATGAAATACATTCATAAATTAATACAACATTGTCATGAGAAAACACATAAAATTGCATATTTATGATACATAGTAATGGAAATATGGTGCCCAAAGTAATGGAAATATAGTCATTGACACACTATTAATCAAATAAATTACTTTCCACATGAATACGACTTATCTTTCTTTCAAGATGGATCTGGGACTACAGCCGGATGGACGCAGTGTCCGATGTTATTGCAGGAGTCACCCTTGGACTGACATTGATCCCGCAGAGCATCGCGTACTCTTCATTAGCTGGTGTGCCTCCACAGGTAAGCCCTAGGAACTTCTTTGCCCTAGGAACCCTAGGAAAACCTCTAAGAAATATAGTATACCTACAAGATTCCCGTACGTAGAACAAGCAAACAGCTAGTTACAAATAAATAAGTAACAGCTGATTTAAATGCACACGTTTTTCAGTCCCAATGCTTTTCTTATGGTGGATATTTTACGTTATATCTCGTTTTCTGGTAACTTGATGGGAAATCTGCTACTTTTCCCGAGTCCCTGGGGTCAAGACCTTTAATTTAAGACCCCTCCCACCTTTCTGCAACTTACCAGACGTCCACAATTTTCTGGTAAAAATTTTGTCTTACAGAATTATATATAAGGATGTATCCACTAATTATCTCCAAGTAAAAAGTGCATTTTGTCATACATTTTTCTACCAAAACCTCGACTCCTCGTAACCGTGAACTATTGGTCCATACGATGATCTGGAGACAGTGAAGTAATGTTGCCATACATGTCACACAGGCCAGCCAGAAGTTATGGATAAGGCAGTACTGGCAGCATCTCAAACCTACAACGTGGTTATATGTAGCCATAGCCACTAATGAGCTAACTGTAAAATCAACCTTTATTGCTTTTCATAAAATACAAATACAGGGAAATATTACTTTTCCAAAAACCGGGAATGTATGTACCTAGAAAATATTTTTAATTTACACCATCGAGGCACACACTCATTATGAGATTTATTATTCAACTCTGTTAAAATTGTTTCTTAAATAGTAGAAGACACATCAACCAGTGTGTGTATCTCCAACTCTGTGTTTTTTTGTGTACGTGTTTGGCACAATCAAGGAAGTGTTTACTAGCCCCACCTCTCTGATGGCTCTAAACTGAACACACAGGACACCTCACTCCACAGTTTGTGTCTAAACCTGTGTTTTGTGTTTCAGTACGGCCTCAACTCAGCGTTCATGGGTTGTTTTGTGTACGTGTTGTTCGGCACAATCAAGGAAGTGTCTATTGGCCCCACCTCACTGATGGCTCTACTTACGGCTGAATACACAGGACACCTCACTCCACAGTTTGTAGTTGCTTTGTGTTTCTACGTCGGTTGCGTTGAGTTCCTCATGGGTGTGCTTAAACTGGGTAAGTGTTTAATGTTTGAGGTAATTTCAATTCAATTTAATATCAATAAGCACTGTAGATCGTTTGAATATATGAATCCAAAATTTGAAACTAAGATGATAAAAATAATTGGATTGATTGGTTCCCAGGTTTTCTGGTAGATTTTATCTCCATCCCGGTAACGTCAGGGTTCCAAACAGCCACTTCTGTCATCATCATTGTGTCTCAGATGAAAGGCATTCTGGGTGTCCGGTTCAAATCTTGCAGTTTCCTTGACAACGTTCATCAGCTGTTTATACACTTCAAGGAGACACAATTCTCTGCTGATTTTTTGCTTGGAGTCAGCTGTATTGTTTTTCTATTACTGTTGAGAGTAAGTAAGAATCTTCATTTGATTGGGTTTGTAAATTTTATATTATTTTTTCCTACAGTCACCCGACAAAGTTGGCTTCCTTGTACTGTTTATAGTACAGAAAGCTGCTAATTGCTGCTTATTTATACTTTGTCGTACGGTTTATACTTTGGCGCACATCAGGATTCCAACAACAACACGAAACAGCGTGGTTCTATTATGCACGTAATCCGTGTACGCTTGGAAATAGGTTGGCAACACTTAAAGATAATAATACTATGAGCAGCTGATTGACTATTATAAATACGATTTAACCTGTCATTTCGTGTTTATAGTTTCGGTATTTCTGAACTTTCTGGACTTTTCTTTTAAACGTTTTTAAAACATTCCTACGATCTTAATAAACAAAAAAATACCTTTAAAGCATTTTTTTTAGGCGCGGAAACCACTTCAAATTACAAAAACACACGGAACTATATTCTCAAGTCGCGGAGCACATTTCTTGCCGAGGAAAAATAGCGGAGTGATACGGACCAGGTACTACTTTCTCTAGGGCACCTATTTGTGTTGCCAGCTGATAGTGTTTGAAAGACTAATTATTTATATGCTTTATAGTGACTGTAGGAAAAATATAATGTGTAACACGAGTGCAAAAGGCCTTTGCTGCACTCCAGATCATTCCGCACTCGCCTGCGGCTCGTGTGTAAACATTGCTCTTGTGTGCAGCAAAGTGCCACTTTGCCCACTAGTTACACAAATAACTATTGTGTGTACAGGGGTTTAAGCAAATATGTTTTCAGTGTAAAGAACACAAGCTCACAGCTGGTTTCTAAAGATTTGTTTAGTTAGTGACATAAAAAATCTAATGTGAGTTGCAGTCCTGTAAACCACTACCACCAAACCAGCAACCTACCACAAGCTCTTTTTTTTAGTTAAATGGTGAGAATCTAACTATTATATCTAGATACATTATATAGACAATTCAAAAGTCAGCTTTTTTTGATAAAAATATATAATTGGTTACATTTTAAAATGAATACTTTGTGACAGAAAGTCAAAGATCTTCCAATCGCAGAGGACACAACGTTTAAGCGAGTTCTGAAGCAAGTTTTGTGGTTTGCGTCTACGGCCAGAAACTTTCTTGCTGTGGTCATCTCTGCAGGAATCGCTTACTACTGTGAGACTTACGTCGGGAAAGTCCCATTCATGCTTTCACGTAAGACTAATATTTTTTGTAATTAAATTATAAATACAGTAGGTTTTGTAAGATTATTGTATTCTATTGCAAATGAATCAACCAACAATTGAGAAAACTTAATTCCAAGCTATGTCTCTTAACAAGAACATAAAATCACCAGCACTTTCTCACATAACCAAGCTGTTCATATTCATTGTAAAAAAAAATCATAGAAAGATAAAAAGACGATAGAAAATCTCTCTGAAAATAACCATTCCGAAAATATAATATAGCCTACACCAAAGTCCCACTAATCCGAACTTAAAGACTTGATTCTTTTTGGATTACCGAATTGTTTGGCTTAGCTGGAAATGTGGTGGAATTGCATTAAGAAAATTTGACACTGTACTTTTAACTATTGTAAACATATAGCTATACAGGATTGCTCGTACGATCACTAAGACATTGTGATTTTCCCCCACGATCAGTTTCTTTTTACTACACCACAAATTTTAAGAAGACACAAGAGAACACTGTTGATGAACGTGCTCTCAGCCATCGGCAATTGCAAGTTATTCAAATTGTTTTTTTTCTGTACAAAATTATTCAGCAATTAACACACTCTTTCTAGTCACGGAAAATCACGTACGATCCCCAGTTTCCTAGGATTCCTGGTCAGCTGGACACCCCGATTAGTAATTCAAAACACACACAGTAGGTTTGATTTCATTTTATATTATGAACCATATCTATTCAACAGATGGTTTGGAATAACCGAACGCTGATGTACTCAATTGTTTTCACAGTTGTTTAAAAAAGTAATTAACCCAATGTCAACTATTTCAGGAGGTGTAAAGCCGGGTCTTCCCCCTCTTGCGTTCCCCAACCTTACTCCAACCTTTAACAACCACACATACACGGTAACAGAGACGGTAGAGGAGCTAGGACTGGGTATCTTCATCATCCCCACAGTGGCAGTGCTGGCCAATGTGGCCATAGCCAAGGCTTTCAGTAAGTACACAACTTTAAACAAATAGCCTTGATTGTAGAGAAACAACTGTGATGTAGTTATCATGCCCTCGTCTTTAGCTGCTGCCAATTTAAAATAACCATACCACTGAGAGATCATGTTGCTGTATGTAATAGTAACGCTCCCCATGAGAGGTTTTTTCGATTATGTTTTGTTTTAGTAAAAAACTGATGCAGCAGGTTCATTTTTGTGCTGACTTATGTGGATAGGTAAATTCAATTTTAAAATAGGCCATGCAATTTTAAATAAAAGCAAGAGGATATGTTTCATGGACAGATTAAAAGTTGAACCGTTTCAATCATACCTACTTCAGTTTACTCTGTGGTGAAATTATCAGCTTTTTAATCACCGTTGTTAGCCTAAAGCCTGTATTTCCATATAAACACTTTTAAGAAATACATTCTACATTTTATACAAAAATAAATAAACGGTATCAGCATTCTGACACATACTTTCTCCCACAAGTTTGTCAACAACCTTTATCATGTGTACGCGGTGAGAGTAAATATACGGAAATGGGATTTGTACAATTTTGTTCAGAACGTAAAGGAATATAACATGTTAAATTTTTATCAAAATCGTTCGGGCCTTTTTTTTTTGGGAAAATCCGATTTTTCTGTTATTTAACGGGGGTTTTATGGGAAAATTACATAATTTACAATAACTTTTAAACCGTAATTTTTACAGAAATGGGATTCGTACCATTTTGTTCAGAATATAAAGGACTATAACATACTAAATTTTTATCAAAATCGTTCGGGCCATTTTTGGGAAAATCCTATTTTTCAGTTTTTTTATGGGGTTTTATGGGAAAATCCCTATTAAAAATAAAAATTTCTAAAAAATTAAAAAAACTATCAAAATTGTAAGGACTATAACATACTATGTTAAATCAAAACCGTATTTTTTTCTAAAATCCTATTTTTCGTTATTTTATGGGGTTTTTAAGGGAAAATAACATATTTGACCATAACTTTTGAACCATAATTTTTACAGATATGGGATTTGTACCATTTTATTCAGAATTTAAAGGGCTACAACATACTAAATTTTTATCAAAATCGTTCGGGCCATTTTTGAGAAAATCCGATTTTTCCGGTTTTTATGGGAAAATCCCCATTAAAAATCAAAATTTCAAAAAAATGAAAAAAACGCCTGGAGATACCATAGATTAGAACCTACATACCAAATTTCATCGAAATCGGACCACAGGTGTAGTCTCTAGCTCTGTACACATCCAGACACACAGACACACACACACACACACCATCACACACACACACACACACACAGACATCACTTCGAAAACCACTTTTTTGGGTCCAGGGGGACCCAAAACGAATATATCCACTCAAAACTCAAACTCGAAAATTTTGACGAAAACAATACTTTCTCCATATACTATGGTATAGGGGGAGAAAGTAAAAAATCACCAACAAAATATTTTTTACAGTAAAATTAAGGTCGATTCATCGTGGTATAACGTGAGTACCGTATGGTACATTTATCAAGAGACTTTTAATTTTGTCATTTAATTTTACAGTCACAGGAGGCACGATCGATGCAACCCAGGAAATGTTGACACTCAGTTTTTGCAACATTCTCGGCTCCATGGTACAGTCAATGCCGACCTGTGGTGCCTTTACACGCAGCGCTGTAGCTAGCGCCAGTGGCATACGGACGCCATTAGCCGGCCTGTACAGTGGTAAGTGTAGTATGGCATGTGAAGATGAGGGAGTGTGTGTGAAACCAATGAATACAAACCCTTCATGAAGCGAAATGCTTATGGGAAATAGTCAGACTGGAATGTTGCCCAAAATGACCACTCAAGCGGCAGCCACGCTACTCCCTCTCTCTCTCCTAAGCTGAATCTTTGTTTCTCTCTCTCTCTCTCAGTCAGATGACTTGGCCGCACTCTCACAATAGTCTACCTAGCGGCCGCCATGGGAACTATCCAAAATTAAAATATTCCTAGACTGAGCTTTTGGGAGCCTTGGTCTAGTATTACTGTTAGAGAGAGATTTTTCCCTCCTTACTGGATGGATGCCTGGGGCCCTATTTTTGAAATGGTTGACTGTTGAGTTGAGTGTCGAGACATTATTTCCAACCACCTATCTACCACCTACCATCAACCAACACCTATCCAGCTACCACCAACACCTATCGAGCTGTTGAGTGGAGGTTGACTGCACTTTCTTCTTCCTCTCTTTCGGCAAAAAATTACTCTTTTTGAGTCAACGCCATATTGTTTTGTTATTGCTTTAATTTACTAATTGCGATTTAGAGGTTATGTATTTGTTGAAAATGTCTTAGCACCCAATACTTTATGCGATTGTTAATTTTATTTACTGTGTCAATACTAGACTATTTAATCTATTTACTTTGTTATAAGACTATTTAATTTGTTTGAAATACACTAGGTATACTAATTGAACTTATTAAAAGATAATTATTGTTATTAGACCTATGATTTAAGGTATTAAAGATTGTGGTAGAGAGAAACAATATCATAGTTTGTTTCAATACCATTCACCTAATAAAGGGATCAAATTAATTTAAGTTACGATAAGCTTTTCAGTGCAATGGCAAATAGCCATAAGCTTTAACCTAAATAAAAACACAATTAAAAATAACATGAAACAAAACGATGAAGAAAACTAAAACAAGGTGATATGTTCTTAAATAGATACGAAGAAAGCAAATAATAATGTATTTAGGATATGCCTAAACTTATAATGAGCTACACCATAAAACAAACAAACATCCATAGTAAATTTTATTGTTTTATAAATTTATATAAGGTACTTTTGCAATCACTAAGATTTAAGATTAAGCAAGACATAACCTCAATCTCTCAAGAACGGAGTTGACAGTTTACCTCAGTATCTCGAAATATGGTAGATTGAGATTAGCTGATCCAGATTTTAGAGTAAGAAGAGGTAAAATCGAAGATCACAAAAACTCTGCATTGTGATTGGTTTAAAATGACGTCATCTGAATTTCGGGCGGTCGTATGCTCTACATTTCCAAAACGAGTCACTCAACTAGTGATTTCCAACTCACTTCCAAACTTTTGGATTTCAAAAATACCAAATCCTGTTGTTGGTTGAGTTGAGTGTTGACTGTAGAGTCAACTGTCAACCATTTCAAAAATAGGGCCCCTGAAGTACGTACTATGGTGGACTGGTAAACCTTTAATTTCTCCATGAAATATTACTCTTTGACACACAGAGTAGTATCCAAACGAGGGAGAGAATGAGCTAAAAGGAATCTAAATAAGGTTTTCCAAAAGGACCACCTATGTCCAACATATTTAATTGTCTGAACAATCTTTCCATCTAGACCTAACCTTCTCTTTCACGATTCCCAGGTATACTCACGATGCTTGCGCTCACTTTTCTCACCCCATACTTCCACTTGATACCTCGAGCCACTCTTTCAGCTGTGCTTATTTCCGCCGTACTGTTCCTCATAGACTACCAGATCTTATGGCCCCTGTGGAAGACCAATAGTGAGTATTATTGATATAATAATTATTAGAACTGAGTTTGTTAACAAAATAATGACCAGTTGTGAGTATTTTTACACTGATACAATACTGGCTAGTAGTAGGTGATTTCTGCGAGTATTGGTAACACTAGTCATTAATGTTTGTTTGTTTATATTTCACCGCATGAGCTGAGCAATATTGGTATCAGTAGTTAATGTTGTCAATAAATTTAGACTGTTGTCACTGAGTTGGTAAGACTCGTTAAGTGTTTATCAATATTTTAGAGCGTGAGCTGAAGAATATTGTTAACCCTAGTTAATGTTTGGCAATATTTCAGAGCGTGAGCTGTGTATTGTGTTGGTAACACTGGTGTCTTGTCTGGGGCTTGGCGTAGAGATGGGATTGCTACTGGGAGTTATCTGTAATGTTGGTCACCTGATATACGTTTGGGCCCGACCTCACATCGCTGTCAGTACGAGGAAGGTGAGTCGCAAAATAACCTTGATCACACTCTTTTCTTAATTATTTTACTAATCCTTTTCTCATACTGTGATGACATAAATACACAAATAGTGTTGGAAGATGTATTTTATTTTGTAATATTCAAAATTTTCATCAAAATCAGTTAAATAGTTTAAAAATCCATTCATTGAAGAATAGTTTAACAAACCCGACTCCTTTGTGTTTAACTACCAGTATTAGTGATGATTGCTGAATCTGTTGATAAAACATGTTGGGATGTTTTCTAAGCTCCATCACAAATAAGCATCCGTCACAATGTTAAAACTTGTTTTTTATTCATACAACTTCTAATTCAGTTCTCTCCGCAGGTCTATCTCAACCATGGAGTGATGGAGTATGTCCTGGTAGCTCCCTCCATCGGGATGTTCTTCCCATCTGTTGATGTCGTCTCCAATCACTTGCTAGAGGCAGGTTTGCAGCAGGGAGGGGGGAGACACCCAGTTGTCTTGGACTGTACTCACTTCACATCTTTGGACTACACAGCAGCAAAGGTAAGATATGAGAATTTGTGATGTGGGTTAACAGGTTGTCTTGTAAACAACCACTTGTAAACAACGAGTGGTTTTGTTGTTATTATAAACAAGCAAACAAACCTCACGTTCTGAGTATTTTTAATATGTTATGTATGATCTTACAGGCTTTGTGCACTTTGATGAAAGACTTCAACAAGCGCAACCAGCATCTGGTGTTGATGAATGCGTCCCCGAAGATGATCAAACGGTTCCGCCACGTTGGATGCAAGAACATCAAGTGTTGCAGGGCTGAATCAGACTTGGAGGGTGTTGTAGGAGTCATTCCTATAGGTAAGGGATTGTGCATTTGGGTAAGGAATGGTTAATTTAGGTAAGGTTAACTTTCATGATGGTTCTCAAATGAGTTGTTTGATTAGGTAATGGACTCGTTTCCAAGTGAAGAGCTATTTATATTGGTTACTAACACATATTAGCTCAAAATAAAGATTGGATGGACATTAAAGCCCCTTCATTTAATGATAAAAACAACATTTGTGAAATTCGAAGTCATAGCATGGGAGATTTTTGTCTAGCACCTTTTTCCTCACAGAGGAAGATAGAAGTGATAGTATTGTTGTCCAAACGTCAAATCACGATGTAAAACAGGTCACCATTAACGGACCTTACTTCATCTTTACATCTCTTCTTTGGGCGTACAGCAGGCTTTATTCTATTCACATTTCCTTCCTATTTGTTTTTTTATTCTTTTGCTCTGCATATCAAATGCCTTTTAATCTCAAAAGTCTTTATTTTTGTTTGGCAAAACCATTTTATCGAAACACATTCCTCGGTTCCCTATTTATTATAAACTCTTTTATAAGTTTTGTGCTAAAAAGATATTTCCTAAGTCCTACTCTTTTTGTTACTGGCCCTTTTTAAGCACCTTGTCCAGAGTCAATATTTTGGATCTGTATGGGAGAATCTGTCATATTGTTTTATGAATTTTACGTTTTGTAAGGATAGTACAGTCATAGACAAAAAGAATTAAATATAGACTGTCAGCCGTGCTGCAGTTACCATAGGTTCCGCGCACACCGCTGGGAGTGCCGTGTAGTTTACGTAGCGCGTACGCCGTAAGTTCATGGCGCTCCCAGCGGTGTGCGCCAGAACCTATGGTAACCGCAGCACAGCTGACGGTCTATATTTAATTCTTTTTGTCTATGGTACAGTACAAGTTTATTGGCAAACATACTTCAAGCCGGATTTAGAATACTTGTGTCATAGATTCTTCACGGTTATTTAAATCTCCAAAAATCACTAAAACTTATGCAAATCTTCACTTACACAGCATATAATTTATAAAATTGTACAAATTGTTTTACTTTATTTCAGGAAATAGTAACTCAAGGACACCTCTGGAGAACACGAAAGAAAATAACAGACATGAGGTGATCCCTCTCATGGACCAGAGAAGCAGCAGCATAGAAGTTACTGAGAAGTTATGACAAAAGACCAACCAAGAAGACAAGGGGTAGCTGAACACTCAGGATGGTCGTGGAGAAATAAGTGAAAAATGAACTCATATCTTGGGATGAGTTGTTTTATAAAAAAAATACAAAAATGTTCCTTTTTCATTTGATATTTATTTTTAAATGTCATGTAAAAATCTGGAGTTTTTAGTGACTTTACTGAGCAATTTTTAGGAGTACTTTATGTGTCAAATAAGTAAATTAACAAGTAACATTAGCCACAGCAGGAAATGTTGTGACATTAATCTTTGTCACAGTCAAGAATACTGAAACAACACTATGTAATTATTTATGCTACTTTAACTTTCAACAAAAACTATCACTGCTTTACAATAAATTGAAAAGTGGCTAATAGTAGGCCTAACAGCCAATACTGAAATTAAGTTTCGGAATAGAAAATTTCCAATGTTTGATTCATTTGGTACACATTTTGGAAGAAATAGCATGAGCAATAACTCCTAAAATGTAATAAAATGCGTACTTTAAGCACTTGTACGATATGTTTCAACCGTTTCTTTAATTTATTTATTTTTATTATGTTAAATATGCACTTTTTTAATGAGATAAAAAGTTTGGTAATAATGGTTAAAATGGGAACTGCCTTGTTTTGAGGCTTAAAAATGAGAAGAGTAAATTTTCTCAGTTTTGACTTTATACTGATTTTACTTAAAAACCGTTTTAGATAGAAAAGAACTTAAAATACAAAAGTTGCAGGTAATTTGATTCAACACCAAAAGTTTTTCCAATGGATTCTGATGCAAGCATTGGTTTAGCTCATACCATAGACCAAAATGAAAATATAAAGGCTTACATAGTAGATTTTCACTGGAAATTGCTTTAAACCCCCTTTAAAATTTTGAACCTGTAAAACCCTGTCTTATTGCACATCCACACCATACAGAGACCCCCTTTGCCAAATTTGATAATCCTAGGTCGAATAGGTTTTGAGGTATAATGATCACCTGTCAGTTAGTGGTATTTGTTTTCATATATAAGATGAAGAACAAATTATTATTAAGCCTAATCGTGCACATTACAAAAAGAATGTATTGTTAATTTTATAGGTCAAACAGGAAAAGAGGTAAGACAAAAATTAGCTCTACAACTAAATCATTTTATTCATACAAAATATCATATATAGTACATTTTTGTGTTGCACACAAAACACACAAATTTGTTCATACAGCTCAATCACATTTAGTATAAAAAATGTTTTATAAAACTTGTTCGAAATAAGCCTTTAAGGTCTCACATGAGGTTGTTTAAGCATAATTTAGCGAACTACGGTTAAATCAAAAACTAATTTAAACATACAATTATCACATTTGAAATTAAATCTGGCTAAAAGTACTTTAACAGAAAATAAACTATGAAAATGCAACAGCATAAAATATAAAAGGCACAATATTAGGCTAACAAACTCCAGGACCTCAAAATAAATCATACATTATTTTCCAACTCAAGATAGTAAATTTGAAGTGCACAGTTAAGTAAACTCGATAATTTAAAACGTTAAAAATTAAAGCAGATTATGTTCTAGTATACAAATCACACTGATTAATTTAAAAAAAGTACATAAATCATATAAAAATTGTGCAAAATATCAAATAATAATTTACAAAATAACAGATTACTTCATACTTTCTTGGAAGAGTAACATTTTAAAAGGGTAGGAAAGTAGAGAGCAAACGTTTCTTTTGGAAAGTAAAATATCAAATAGCACAAAATAGCAGACTAGTTCATTTCTTGGGAGAGAAAGCACAAACCAAAGGGTACAAAAATAGATAAAATTTATTTTTATTTTTTTAAACTATCAAATGCACAAATGACTTTGTTTGTCAAGTGTATGTAAAAAAATCCAAATATTCTATTTAGAACATTTTGAGTTTTTAGTAATTATGAAATTGAGTCAACAATTTAATATTTGAATAACATTTGAGGGAGTCAATGAGTAAAAAAATATTACTTAAGCTCTCTAAACAAAATTTTTAATCTACATCATTTATCGAGACCAAACTTCGATCAAAAATACTTGCCTATTAACATTACAGTATTATACAAAGAGTAACCAGCTTGAATTAAAAAAGTTGCGAATCTCGTACACGTAAGAAACACTTACACAATAATTTACAAAAATCTTGGATTCCAGCAGAAATTGTTTGTCTCTCTAAACGTAAATATTCTAAGTTAACGCAGCTTCTTAGTAATAAGTGCGATCTGCTCGTCCACCCGTTGTGACATTCCATTGAACTTGCTCGGGTGTGGGCCGATCATCTGTATGAGCTGTGGGACATCTTGAGAGGATATTTGACAGAACCTGGCCAACGCCTTCATGGTTCGAAACACTTGCTCTTCGGGCAGCGAGTTGTTGAAGAACTGCAACAGCGCCATAGACAGCTCCACCGCCACGTCGTCAAACACCTGCAACCGACAAATTCAAAACTTTCAAGTTGACTTTTGGTGATGGTAAGTTAACATTTTAGGGGTTATTACCGACTTTTCCCCACCACTAATAGTATGAAACAAGTTTTGATCTTGGAATCTGAAATCTGATTTCGTTCTCAGATGAGAAGGTATGTACACGAACAAGCCAAAGCCGGATAAAGCAAAATAGAAACACTCAGAGAACTCTATAGTAGTTCAAATAATAAACATCAAGTCCTTAAAAAACAATTGGTAAAAAAGTGGGTAGGCGAACGATATGCCAGAGTCAGCTCACCGAGACCCACCTCTGAGCAATATTCCAGCTATAGTTGGGTTTGTGTATAGTTTTTTATAGGTTGGGCCACATTAAAATGATGCCATGGGAATTGGGGCAATGTTGCTAACATTTTATTAAATAGGCCTATTCAAAAACATTATTTTTTAAGACCAATGGTGTGCGGTATACTCACTGTATACCTCTGTTATCGTTGTTAAATACAAGAACCCCCTTTTCTGTGATAAAAAGACTATATTAAGGACGTATTTAAAACTAATTACATTTGTTCTAACTGACCTGTCTGAAGCTGTTTACATGTTGCTTTTACAAATCGGAAATATAATATATTTTGTTAGAATTGTTTACACTACATTAATGACATTGGTTGCACAGTGCTGCAGATAGACTTGCATCACCTAACATGCACTTTTCCAACAGATGGTTCCTACAATATCAACTCTATTGAGAAAAAAAGGATGTATTCAAAAATATACACAAGTTCTTCATTCAGACTGAAAAAAATCATGTTTTGTTACAACAAGAGCTTCTATAAACTTGCGAGTGATAGACAGTTTCATAAAAAGGGACCAAGTCTTCCACAAAATTCTAAACAGAATTTAAAACTGTTAGCAAGAGTGCTCAAGATCAACCACAGTGAAATTTACATTTAGGACTAACATTTACAAAATGCAAGCGGATGGAATTAATGGAGCGCACATTCAGTTAGTTTAGCGAATGTTTGGCGATTGCTACCTTTGAAATTGAGCCCACTGGTAATAATCTACGCAGTTTTTGGTTTTGGAGCATTTTCTGAAAAAGCCAAAGAAAACGGGAAGACGGCATCCAAAAGAAGGCTTACTGTAATATTTTTTATTTTGACTAAGAATGAAAAATTCTGTGTTGTAAGTTTTTTTTTAAAAGATGTATGTTCATTTTTCTCTTTAAACTGATTCAACCATTAAAAGGACTCATAAGCTGACTATCAAACAGCTTGATCTATTATCAAAAGATTTTTTAAAGATCCCAAATAAAATCAATTACTATTAACTTTAACTTTAAAAAAACATCAACGAGTGTTTCACACACTGTATATTCATACTCATTGGAATCTTAAACAATAAGAAATAAAACCTTTCTCTAAACTTCAGTTTGGCCAAACTAATGAGACTTGATACGTAATTAAATTGTAAGAGTTTACTTTTATTGAGGCAAGCTTAGAATCATGAAGATGAATATTAATGCACCAGTATGACATTCAAATTCACAGTTGTTTAATACTGTTTTGTTACATGTATAAATGTAAGATAAGTAAAATATAGTTAATAAATTAATGTATTGTAACAAAAAAGGCCAAAACATTTTCAACTGCATATTTACTTAATAAAAAACCAATTGAAATTTAAAACATCACAAACATATTGTATATCGCCCTCAACATTAGTTGATGAGCAATGGAAGTTCACATTAATAAGTAGAAGAATGCAATGAGACACTAAGCATTCTGATGAAAAGAAGAGACAATTCGAGGAATAATTTTCTTGAACAGTTATAACTTCTGATGATATAAACCAGTAAAGACTAGACTAACAATAAAACTAGCAAAAGATTATAGAAAAAAGACAGATATATTAAGGTGAGTTTAAACTAACTGAGAACTAGCGATATAACCAGATGACTGAAAAAAAGTTAAGCTTAAAACCATCTGCTAAAGTTCTACAAAACAGTGCTACCCCGCCACCGCAATATGTAACCTAAAGGAAAAATTAAATGAAAGAATATTGAAACCTAGACAAAACTTTAAGTAGTCTTTTTAATGCAAGTTTTTCCGAGTTATATGATTTACTATTAAGGTCAGGTTAATCTCACATCAGGTCGGGTTAGGTTTGTCCACACAAGGTGTTCACGGGGACGGATACAGACCACAGTTTTTACCTCCTTGCAGGCCAAGTTGTGTACGATGGCGCTCCCCCGGTCTCGTAACTCTGCGTCGTCTGCTAGCAGACTGTTGACAGCGACCTTGGTTGTCACTCGGATATTGCTGATCTGCTGTCCGCAATACGACCACTCGGATATGTACAGCAGCCACTCACTGCTGCTGAGGTTCTCAAACAGGTTACACATCTGGAACAGGTTAGTTATCAATAATAAGATGGGGACCTAGGTGCGTATTTAGATAAAATATGAGTAAAGAATGAGTGTAGAATGGTATGATATGATCTGTGTAGCTTTGTTACTGGCTAAGCTAAGCTGTTTCATTAGCCATGAATTTATTTAAAGTGTAATGATCGGGAACAGTGAGTCCAGTTTCAAATCATCAAAAATCTTCTGCTTTTCTCAGGATCGAACTGGCGACATTTTTAATGTAAGGTGAGTACTTTAAACACTCCACCAGTCTGGTTTGATAGTGTAATAGGAGGGTACACATCTGCTACAGAGTAATAGTATAATACTAGTGTAGGTTACTAGTATAATAGCTAACAGGGGGTTAGAAGTGTGAATGGTATTGTAACAAGTTCCACAAAAAATCAGATTGTTGATTAAATTTTTCAGCTAAACTTTGCTATCTGGACCCTATGGGTAACCTGTTAAAAAAACATCTTTAGCAACATATTTCTAAATTGTAACAAATGATTAGAAGATTAATTGCATTAGATCTAAATGATAAAACGTCTTTTTGATTGTCACAACATTCAAATAAATTGGACCATTTTAAGTTCCAGGTTAATTAATTACAATTAGTGCCAAAAACAGTTTCCTTGTTCTGATTTGAGGACGGAGTAGGTGCAAAGATTGTCAAACAAACAGTAATGAGATAAATGTACTAAAGAAGTAGAAATAAGTTTTATTTGGGAATCAAGAATTTCATGAATAATCGGTACCGGTAATACATATTTTAAAACCTTTCACAAGAATGTATCAAAATTCACACAGTGAGCTAAATACCCCCGCCACAGCAAACCTGCAGACTAAGCGAATTTCCATTTGACTGATTGGATGTACCTACACTGAAATGTCTACTTAAAAATATAACATTTATTCCCGATTTAAATAGAATTAGTTTAACAAGTACTAAGGTTTGCTGCATCAGGGAGGGTAAAACTGTTTTTTTTTTGTAAAATGTTAATAGTTAGTAAGAAATAAAAACATTTTCCAAATTTGATCAAAATATGTTCATAAACAAGCAAACTACAACAGTTTATTTATTCTCCATAAGAATAACATGGAAATTTTAAATTTACAATTTTTTGGAATTTTCTCCGTAACCATTAGGCGCATAATAACGCTTCAATATACTAAATTATTTGTTTTTTTAAGCTCTACAAAATGGTTAGGAAAGAAATTGCAAAATTTTATGTTTTTTGGGTCAAAAATGGGAAAAACCTATTTTTACCCCATAAAACCCCCCATAAACCCCCGTTCCCATGATCCGATCATGCTGGATCGCGAACTCGTTAGAATAAACGTAGGTTTACACGTTTGTACCAAATTTCATCAAAATCAGATCATTTTTGCTTGAGTTATCGTGCTAACGGACACATATATATATATAAATATATATATGAATTTGAACGGATGGTGTTTTTGGCCTCTAGGAACCTCAAAACGAAAAAAAAATCGGTCCCGCGTCCAGGTCTTACCATGAGTACTACGGTAATAGCTTATTCCCTATAAGGGAAATTCGCTAAAATTATCATAACAAAACCCACAACAACAAAAATTTTGAGTAATACGATTCACGATGACAAACTGCCTTCATAAACAAAATATAACCACTTACAAACAACGCCAGCGCCTTCTGTTGCATCAACGGCAGCCTGTCAATGTCAAAGGCGAAGTTCATGAGGATGTGCTCACGCCGATCCTGATGCAGTATCAGTATGACATCATCTTTGAGCGCAGCGCACGCCAGCACATTGAGTATCCTCACACAAGACTCTTCCGGTAGGGACTTGTCATTCAGCAGGCGGCCTGCAAATATAGGAAACATTTGATCTATTTTCTATAGAATTATTGATACAGTGTAGTAGAAACAACTATCGGTGTAAGTGTTTCAATGGATCTATCACAGGGTGTAAATTAAGTCAGGCACACATTTTTTATCTTTTTTTCTATAGTAGATAGAAGAAATCAATTTGCGGGAATGATTAATAACAAATGTTAGGCACTTTTTACAAATTTTGAAAATAATAATTCCCTTAAGGGCAAGGGGGGGGTGGGGGGTAACTAAAAATTTTCAAATGACAACCCCCATCTTGTGACCCCTCATTTTAAAGGTCATTGGAAGACAAATCCAAAGATGTGTCTAAAAAATTTTTTTTTGCACCCTATCCAAGATGGCGGTTTAAAATGTACTTAGGGTTGAATGGGTAAATTAGGTATGGCACACATTTCTTATCTTTTTTACTCTTTGTAGATAGAAGGAATTAATTTGCGGGACTGAGTAAGAACAAATGTTTGGCACTTTTTCATAATTTTGAAAAAAAATCCCCTTAAGGGTAAGGTGGGGGTGGGGGGTAACTAAAAATTTTCAAATGACAACCCCCATCTTGTGACCACTCATTTTCAAGGTATTTGGAAGACAAATTTAACGATGTGTCTGAAAAAAATTTTTTTGCATCCTGTCCAAGATGGCGGCTTTAAATGTGCTTGGGGTTAAACGGGTGGGGTCTGGAACACAATTTTATCTTTTTTGCCATTAATAGATAGAACTTATCCACTCGTGGGACTGAGCCAAAATCAGGCACCTTTTTATTTATTTGAAAAAATCCCCTAATGGTAAGGGGGGGGGCAACTAAAAATTTTCAAAAGACAACCCCCATCTTGTGACCCCTCATTTTAAAGGTATTTGGAAGACAAATTTAACGATGTGTCTGAAAATGTTTTTTTTGCATCCTGTCTAATATGGTGGCTTAAAATGCATTTAGCGTTGAACGGGTGAATTAAGTCTGGAACACCTTTTTTCCTTTATACTCTAATGTTTGATAGTGTAAAAATTGATTACCAATACAATAAAATAGAATACCAAATAATTACAATAATACTACAACCCTACAACAACAAAAACACAATAGCAATCAAAATTAATAGAATTCCTAAACTAAATAATAAATGTAATTGCAATAATCAACTTTACGTACTTGTTAATATTCACAAATGCTCAAACTGATGCCCAAGAGAAACTTGACAGAGCCCCAACCGATTGTAAAATTCGTTTACCACCCTGGACAGCGTTTCTTCATTAATAGATCGTGCTTCCATTATTATTCTTGCTGTGAGATCCTGGATGTTTTCTGGGCGGTTAACAAATACTCTACTTTTTAGGTGGCCCCACAAAAAGTAGTCTAACGGCGTCAAGTCGGGTGATCTGGCAGGCCATTCAATAGCTCCCGGCCTCCCTATTCAACGATCTGGAAAAACTTCGTCCAAGTAATTTCGGACTTCAGCATTATAGTGAGGTGGTGCGCCATCTTGCTGAAACCAAATGTTCTCGTTGACAACATTTTCTTCGTCTTCCGGAGGAAACTCATGGGCAATGGCAGGTACTATTGACTCTCGCAGTAACTCCAGATAACGGTTTCCGTTTAGATTTCCTTCGATCACGAATGGCCCTATTAATTTGGTCCCGACAATGCCTGCCCAAACATTGACTTTTTGGGGATTTTGAGTATGGCATTCTTGAGCCCAATGAGGATTTTCAGGAGACCAATACCTATAGTTTTGTCTGTTCACGTGACCATGAAGACTAAATGAAGCCTCATCTGAAAATACAATTCTATTTTTGAACATTGGATCCAAAGTACACCGTTGCATCATGAGTTCACAGAATTCAATCCTGCGGTCAAAATCGTCCTCGTTCAATTCATGTATTAACTGAACCTTAAAAGGATGAAACTTCTCGGCTTTAAGGGCTTTGTGGACCGACATGTGACTTATCCCAAAGTCATTTCCAATCCTACGTGTCGATGTGTGATGATTTTCTTCAACGCTAAGAAGTATATTCAGTCTAGTTTCTTCAGTGAGTACAGATTTTGGCCTACCACTTCTTGGTTTACTTGCAACATCCCCCGTTTCAGCAAACTTATTACATATCTTAGATACTGTAGCTCGATTAATTTGGCGATCAGGGTACAAGTTGTTAAAAATATCACACGCTTCAAGTTGAGTCCGTTTTTTATCTCCATAGCCAACAATGACAAGTATTTCTATCTTCTGTTTTGTTGTTAACAACGCCATGTTAAATAAAAATAATAAAAGATGTACTTACGACTACTCCAAAGAAACTACCTACACAGACTGAAGGGGAATAAGGAAAAACTGATAAGATTGTTACCTGATTAGCCTGCAGTCTTAAGAAAGAGGATAGGAATTCCAAGTGAGTGCAACGTCCAAACCTGGAATCTCAATTATCAGATTTATTTACTAAGTGATAAGAGCTACATAAGTTTGTTTATTGCAGTTCGTCCTATTGTCCAAGTTTTTCTGATATAAACTATCAAATCTATTATAACTTTATTTTTGGTAAAAAAAAAAATAAAAATGTGTTTCAGACGTAATTTACTTGTTCAACCCTAAGCACATTTTAAGCCGCCATATTGGACAGGGTGCTTAAAAAACATTTTTAGACACATTGTTAAATTGGTCTCTCAAATACCTTTAAAATGAGAGGTCACAAGATGGGGGTTGTCATTTGAAAATTTTTAGTTGCCCCCCCCCCCTTACCATTAGGGGATTTTTTCAAATAAATAAAAAGGTGCCTAATTTTGGCTTAGTCCCACGAGTGGATAAGTTCTATCTATTAATGGCAAAAAAGATAAAATTGTGTTCCAGACCCCACCCGTTTAACCCCAAGCACATTTAAAGCCGCCATCTTGGACAGGATGCAAAAAAAATTTTTTCAGACACATCGTTAAATTTGTCTTCCAAATACCTTGAAAATGAGTGGTCACAAGATGGGGGTTGTCATTTGAAAATTTTTAGTTACCCCCCACCCCCACCTTACCCTTAAGGGGATTTTTTTTCAAAATTATGAAAAAGTGTCAAACATTTGTTCTTACTCAGTCCCGCAAATTAATTCCTTCTATCTACAAAGAGTAAAAAAGATAAGAAATGTGTGCCATACCTAATTTACCCATTGAACCCTAAGTACATTTTAAACCGCCATCTTGGATAGGGTGCAAAAAAAAAATTTTTAGACACATCTTTGGATTTGTCTTCCAATGACCTTTAAAATGAGGGGTCACAAGATGGGGGTTGTCATTTGAAAATTTTTAGTTACCCCCCACCCCCCCTTGCCCTTAAGGGAATTTTTATTTTCAAAATTTGTAAAAAGTGCCTAACATTTGTTATTAATCATTCCCGCAAATTGATTTCTTCTATCTACTATAGAAAAAAAGATAAAAAATGTGTGCCAGACTTAATTTACACCCTGTATATTTTACCATCCAAGTCCATAGATAAAAAGATATGTGATGGCTGGTAGAAAATTTGCTCCAATTAGTTGTCAGCTTCTCCCAATCATCCTCCACCAAACTAAATATGTAATCAAACGTTGTAGTCGAGATTCTTGTGTTATCCATAAACCGAGTTTTATCCATAAACCGAGACTCGTGTTTCCTAAGGATTGGAAATAAGTGGTGATATTCACCATGTTTGTCCTTGCCTTTACACACTTCATGCACCCCGACACTTATCCTACTGATCCAAAACTGCCACCTTAAGGTATTTTCGACAAGACTAATACTAGCCGTCTTTGACAGGGCCATCCTCTATACTGATGTACCTAAGACCGTCTACAACCTATAATGCAATACGCTACGCTGCGCTTTCTATGTTTATTGGACTACGCTACGCTCGGCTATGCTATGCTGCGCTGCGCTACGTTGCGCTACGCTACGCTGTCTGTATGTCTCAGTCTAAGTGTTCCTTTCATTCAACCGTAATTTAGACATAGCCCATGAATGAAACCTGACTTACCGACAAAGTTGAGGAAGCTGTCACTCAGGGCCCAGGAGCCCTCGTCCTCCAACATGTACTGATGAAGCTCCTCCAGTGATGTCATCTCCTCTGGTGTCATCTTGCCGTCAATCAGACCGACCAGTGCGTCAAACTCCTCCCTCACCTATGTTGAAGTCAAATATCTCAATTCTTGTGGATATGAATTCTTAAAAAACAACTTTTGAACAGTGGACACTCACTAATCCTGCACTTCTGAGACTTCCTCAGTGTCGGATTACAAAAATTGGATACTTGAGTGACACCTTATATTTTTAACAGCGTTAAAAAATTGCTATTAAAAAAATATCAGACTATTTGTGATGTTCCAGTACATCTAACCTTATCCGATTGAATGAACACTTAACCAAATGCGCTTGAACTGAGCCGATACGCAAGGACGGCTTTTTCAGTACATATAATGAGTCTTAGAATGATGTTTGTAGAATTTGCCTGATTTTTAGGGATGGTAATACGTTTTACGTACCTCCGTTGAATAGTCTAACCTTATGTTTTGTTGCGAGGACAACATTTTCAAAGCTTGCAACTCGTCAAACACATTACGCTAAATCAAAATGAACATAAAAACGGTATGTATGTATAAATATTTGGATGGCGCTATTATGATGATATAAGTCTGGTGCGGCGTGTGATTGGTAGCAGACTGGAGGGCTAAGTCATGTCGTCTCCACTCTTTCTGTTATCAGATCTTTGGTCAGTCGCTTTTGAATGTTGAAATTATATTGAAAATCAAATGAGAACGGAACTGAGCGATATGAATAATTGTTAGGATTATTTGATGGAATCAACAGCTTTATTGTCATTGGCCTTTTTATAAGGACACAGTCAGCAGAGATAAAAACTAAAACTACAAAAATAGTGTGTTATAAAGTATAAATCAACATTAACATTAGACATTAAATACTCTGTTATGCAATAATATGAATTGTTGATGGGCCATTCAAACATTTTTGACTTAAACAGGTATTGAAAGGAACCAGTTTTGCTGCTTAACCTAATTTGTTGAATTTTGGGTTAACTTATTATTTTTGAGTTATGTAAAACCTCTGTTATTGTAATTTCTTAACAAAATAGTACAGGGGCCAGAACCGTGAATTTCAAGATTCACAGGGTCTTTACAAGAGTAAATTAAGTTTATTTAGGTTAAGTAGTGACAATTCAGACTGTAACTTACAGTCTTCACACTGGGAATTCCCAGTTAGTGTGATTTTGCATGAATTATTTTTTTTATTGGTTTATTAGACTGCAAGTTAAACACATTAATTTATGTTAGAAGAGGCTGGAAAATTCAATCAATCAATTATTTAAGAGTAGTCTACAAACAGTCCTCACTACATACAAGGTTTGGGTGTAGCAATCTATCGGTACTCATCAACCGAATGTATTTAGGATTTTTTGAGAGGATAGCAGGCTTACCTGAATGGGAAAGAGTCCAAACTGGCACAGGAAACACAAAACAAAACTTTACACTATATACACAAAACATTAGAATATTTCACTGTCAGCTGTCAGATTTTTTGCAATGTTTTGTGTATATAGTGTAAAGTTTTGTTTTGTGTTTCCTGTGCCAGTTTGGACTCTTTCCCATTCAGGTAAGCCTGCTATCCTCTCAAAAAATCCTAAAAAATCTAGGCCCTTGTGCTCTATGCTACACCCTTAACCTCGAATGTATTTAGGGTTATTTGTATTTGCTTTTCTGTTAACTAGAAGAAACAGAGCTTTCTCATTTGGGAAACAAAAAATTGAATTGCTAGTTTATAACATGGACACTTGCTAATACAGTACACTCCCGATTAACTTGGGTTGTTGGGACCGAGACTACCTCGGTTACCAAGAATCTCGGATAACACGGGAGGTCGCATAGATTTTGAGGTTAGGGTTACGGTACCTTATTTAATTATAGTGTTATATGATGAAGTCAAATACTTGTAAAATATATCTTTAAGCAACACATAACAAATGAAATATGAAAATATGTAATTTTGATGCAACCTTTTTTCCAAATAACATAATATTGTAAAAAAAAGCACAACAAACAAGTTCAACACTTCTTCACTCGTCTTGAAAAGCTTTAAACACAGTAATATTATAATAAACCAATACACTATATTATTTAAAACAAAACACTAATGCGGATCTAGTTTCTAGTTTAAAAAGCATAAAATTACATTTTGTTTCAGTTTGACCTGAACTATGTAAATATTGTTTTCCTACTGAAAATAAAAATATATATTTAGGCAAAAAATGACCTCGGATAACCGGGAGTGTACCGTAACAAAATTTTAGTCTGGTAAAATAAACCTTAATAGAATGGAAACAAATATTAAAACCTTTTGACTGGATAAAACTTCATCCCTCCCAGCCTAGAACAGAGCTTTGACACGATTGGCAATTATTATAAACCACTAAAATTGATTGAATAGCTTACGTCAACTGCGTTTTTGAACACGATTGGAGGGTTTTGTCGCTTCCTCTCCTCCCTCTCTCTCCGTTCCTCTTGCTCCATTTCCTCCGCCACTTGTGACGGCAGCTTCCCTCCGCCCTGGTCCTCTCCATTGCCTGAGATAACTTCCACAGAGTCTGCCATCCTAGGCCTTTGTCTGCTGGGTGACCCGCCTTCACTGTAGCACATTGAAATATCAAACATTGTAGGTTTTAATGACACCACATGAGGTTGCTTATTTAAAGACAAAGATGAGTGATGATTGGATTGGATGATAGCTTTGTTACTCGACTAAGATCAGCTGGTACTTCAACCAGGATAATTTATTAAAGGCTAATAAACAGCTGTGTTCAGTTTCGAACCATTTAATAAATTTTGAAATTTCTTTATGACAGCAAAAAAAAAAAACAAGACCTTACCCAGAACTCTCAGTGAGCTAAAAAAAGCGTTGGGTTTGAGTCTGCTAGTGTTGAAACCAGAACATAGGAGCGCTGTTGTCGCTGTGATTTAACCAAATTACATTTCCCTTGTATTTGATCAGCTGATAACAACGGTGTAGTGCCGTAAGTTCTCTCTCAAACCGCCCCAATGTCTGGCCTAGACAGCGACAGTGCCTAGATGGTCTAGATTATGGTGAAATGAACGGAATGATTATGGTGTGGACAATTGCAATAGCAGATTCAAACGCAAAACCGTTTTGGTTCAGTTAATTTTGGGTAAGGTCTTTATTCTGTGATGGGATGTAAAAGGAGAGGATAAAGTTTTGATTAGCGCAAATAGTTTCAGAGGGTGACTGGTAATCATGGAGCCAATACATTAGACCTTGCACTTTAGTAGGCCTGCCAATGTGAAAACATTTATTGAGCAAAACGAGAACCTTTGAGAAAAAACAATTAGCGCTATTTTTTAGAACAAATAGTTGTTCTACTTGTGTGGTTGTTCTAATTGTGAAATGAATTGAGTGATTGAAAAAAAAAAGGGTAGAGGTATGGGTTGATGAATCAAAAGAGATGTGATTTGAAAACAACAATCAAGGGGGAAAGTGAAAATTCCACACTAAGATTTGTTGGTTATGTGAGAAGAATGTGAATAGAGTGAATTGCTCAGAAAATGAAGTTGTTAGTAAGAGAGGAAATTAGCTTGATAGACCTAGAAGAGGACGGATAAATGAGGTGAGGAGGGATGTTGAAAAGATGAGAGTGAGATAGCAGATGAAGAGGCCTCTTTAACACCCAGGGAATAATCTAAATGAAAAAGGATATTCAAGTACATAGTAGTCATTCGACAAAAATAATTATCTTCACACGTTAGGAAAAAAAAAATTAGCCTTAAAGATGTATCACATTGATCCTTGCAGGATTAATAACAAAACAAAGTAGGAGTCATAAAGCCACTAATCATACAAATTTCTAATACTTAAAAACAACTGTTTTGTTTAATCTAAATAATTTTGAGTCTTGTAAAGAGTAAAAGATATTTTGTAAAAATTGTTTTATTACACAGTACCCATAATTTTTGCATGTAAAATATTTGAATATCATAAAATAAAAATGTCTGTTACTAAAAAGGAAGTGTTATATAAAAATAAGCAGTGACTAATTCCATATTATTCTTATTTAGTAATGCTAATTAAGACTTTGCAATTAGGAGTTTGTATTATGAAGTTACATTATTAGAAAGAGCAGATTTGAAAACACAAAAACTGTTAGTGGTGTGAAATTATTTTTAGCAATAGAAAGAAATTAAGGCTATACTCATACTAGTTAGAAGTGTTTTTTCTTTGAAAATAAGATGTTTCCACTTCCAATCTTATCAATACCATGTATAGTTTTATAATAGGTAATTTTTTTTGTCCTAGCACGCTAGGCACGAGCCCAGGATTGTTTTTCACATTTCTTCAGGCTAGACCTAGGGGTTGCGGCATTATCACTTAGATAAAATCCATTGGTGATTTGGTGGGATTTGAACCTGGGACCTCAAGTACCGAAGTCCCGTGCTCTAACCATTATACCAGCTCGCTCCCCCATAATAAGGTAAATAGAACTGAGCATTATTATTTCATCTTACACCATTGTGCTCCTGTTTTTTTTATAAAAGTGTCCGTTCATTTCGATATCATAAACTCGGCCATAAAAGTAGCACAATTTCAGCATATAGTACTTCATTCACTTCATTGTTTAAAAGGCAAATCCTTTAAGTCTTATTTGCCAATAATAATTTAAGATTGGAAATAATGAAAATCATTATGGATCATCAAACAATTCACACAACACTCCAACACTTCACAAAAAAAAAAAAGAAAAGACAACAGGTTAAATATTCAACAAACCCAAATAACACAGTAAAAAAGTTTTAATAAATACAAAAAGCTCGAAGGTTACTATCGCTGGTTAGGTACGAAGCTAGTAAGTACACCCATGTGAGAGAATACACACACAAAAAGGCGGTTGGTAGCGTAAATCTGAAAGCTCGGGGTTTCTCTTGCCTCAAAAAACAATCGTTAGCCTCAAGATATTTTGAATCCCGACTTTCCCGTCTCTTCTTCTTATTCTTCTTCCGTTCCCTCTTTGCTAGCTTCTCGTTTAGGATGTTACGTTTTTCCTCGAGTGCGTGTGATGTGCGTCTGATAGAAAATAAATCAAATCAGACAGCTTGAACAAAATTTAAACATAAAAATGTTACAGAGTGATAGCCTCTTTTAAGGGAAACATGAATATTTTGTTGATTAGTTTATTATTTGATTTTATCAGACAACAAAATTTATTATATTCTCTTAAGCTGATCAACAAAGACAATAAATTTACAAAGTGATCACATATAAAAAATGAATGGTATCAGCAATCTGACACATACTTTCTCCTATTAGCTTGTCAACAACTGCTATCAAGAGTAAACGACGTGAATAACTATAATATTTAATACGTAAACTCACAAAAATTGCATCAACTTTAGAGTCGTAATTTTCACTTAAATAAATATAATGTGAAAAGTAAATGACGTAGACTAACCTGGCCTCTTCGATGGCGCTGTTGAGTTGTTCAAATTCCGGCGAGCTCTGTCGGTTCTTTCTCAAGCTCGAGATCCCTTCAGAGAGCTGATCGATGAAACTGGCGATAGTAGCACCGATGGGCCTGTGGATTAAAAAAATTGTAGTCCTCGTAAGAGTAATTTCCAACTTAGAAACAAAAATTTTCAATTTTAACAGTTTTAGATAGAGTATAAAACGTTTTCAATATGATCTCACCGTCAACCTCTTACTCTTGAATCACAAATAGTTATAATTGAAATTATATTATGTTTTGAGAGTGTATTTAATCAATGTATAGTTTAGAAGTAGGAACAGTTATGAATATCTTATGATTAAAGTTGAGATTTGTTTACTGGTTAAAAAGTAAATTGGACAAAATTTAATGGTTTTTGTATGGTGAACAAAATAGATTTGGTTTTTGAACATCACATTGTAGTAATAATCTCATAAACATTAAGTTTTAAGAACATAAACAGAAACAAGATTGAAACTTAGATCATCCAGTGTCCAGAAAATAAAATCTCACTAATTTGAATATAAAGGCAAAATAATAAATATTCAAATTCACAATGTAGTTGAAAGTAGTACGATGTGAACAGGCAGTGCCAATGTAAATAGAATTTTAAAAATTACCCAGTCTATCTAGAAAACCAGTTTGAGACGATGGTATAGGTAAAGGTAATAGGTATGTTATATGACCCACTACAACATCAAAAACCCATCTACTACCCTGTGGTGTTTATAATATGCCCTGCTTGAGTCTCACAACTAATATGTCAATTCATACTCATAACTACATTCAGTAGCCTATCTACTGCTGAATAAGGTACTCAATACAACTAGAACAATGAATATTTTCCAAAACCCAACAATCAAAATCAACACAAACTAATTCATACCAGAATCCTACTGAAGATGAACATGCTTTATGGTGAAATCGTCAGCTTCAATGTTAAATAGTAACTATTGTCTTACTTATAAGTTTTATTTTTCAGTTTACACATCCAACAGAAGGCCTGTACTGTCCACGGGTGAAAACTACAACATAGGTCTGCTGAATCAAATAAAGATTTAAGTTAAAAAGCTTAAAAACGATTTATTCCTACTAGGTTTATGCAGCTTTAAGTTGTTTTAGCTAAAAACAAGCTTAAAAATAATGTTACTGTATTCAGAGAGTTTGTTTATAGGCACAAAACAATAAATACACAATATTATAACCTCAACAGTGTTAACAATTTTACCTACGACCGTTTTTTAAGTATCCGTTTCAGGTCAATTCTTAGAATTGAAAAATTTCACATAACAGCACGGGTAACGGACCAATGAGGTTCAAGGATTGAGAGAGAAGAAGTAAAACTGTAATGCTTTGAACTTCAACTAATCAGCTGTTACCAATTTAATTGTTAACGATTGGTGCAATTAGTGATTGTTTCAATGAGTCGTTGCATCAATGTCAGTGGCAATGAGAGGTTATAAACAAAAACAACCTCTCTTAGAAGTTTTGTGTAGTGGTTATTAAAAAGTAATTAAAAACCGGTTGTAGGTAAAGTAGTGTACTCAAATTGCGTAAATAGTGTTAACGACACTCGTAGAAGTTTTTAAGGCACTCGCTCGTTTTTAAGGCTCGTACCATAAATTTTCTACTTGTGTCGTTAACACTATCTTTACGCGCTTATTGCGTATAGTACTATTACAGCAAAATTGAAAAATTAAAATAACTATTTTGTCATAAATAGATTAAAAAATATACCTCAATGCTACAAAATTGTATTTTCAGAAATTGTTTGCAAATGATTATCATACTGTGTGGAATATAAAATTTTGTAGCTTTTCTCTCTAAAACATGGGCATGGATTGTATTAGGCTGTAACATTAATCAGGATTAATCAGCTCAAAGATTCACATTTAAAATAACACAAAAGTTGCAGCTTACGTATTTTGAATGATTTCCGGAAGCTCTAATATTTCTGTAGGAATGCCGATTCCAACTAAGAAGTTTGCTACTTCGTTACTGAATGTGTTACAGTTGTGCTTTAGAAGGTTGTATTGTGTCCCCCTGAAAACAAAAACTATTATGAGAAAGCTATAAAGTAAATTGATAAAATATTTATATTATATGGAAAGTACAGTACTCTTTAAAATGTTGCACACACAAGCAGTTCAGAATTCTTTGTTTGAGGTTCATTTTTGGCGATGGTGGGTTTGTGATATTTGAAGGATTCTTGCGGACAATTTCCATTACGGTTGGTAACAAACAAGTTCACAGCTTTTCAGGATCTGGAATCTGATTTCGTCTTCAGGTACAGAATAATTAATAACTAGATAAAAATAAATAAAAATCTGTAAAAGATGTGATTAATACTGATTAAAGGTCGATTCACACATATCAGTTCAGTCACAGTTCCGTTACAGTCCAGTAACAGTTCAGTCTCAGTTGCATCCGCAATTTCTCAGTCAATAGTCCGTCAGTTTGTTTCAGTCAGTCTTCCGTCTCTAAAATTCACAGTAATTTACAGTCAAAAGTTTTAAATTATAAACCTATATTCTATCAAGTTTTCATTGTCCATCTTGTTGATTGTTACAAACAGTACTCAAAATATAAACACAACCATTTAAACAACAATAACACTATTTTCTAACCTTAAACCGGTCCGTCAGTCGTCCGAACAATCCAAAAGTATCGGTGGAAAGAAATCTGAAATTATCTGACGGATGCCGGTAGAGCGACTGACGGGACTGCAACGGATAAGTGTAGATAGCGCAATAGAAAATCCATAAAAGAATATTTTTGTTAACTGTGACGTGCCTGAAGTGACTGGACTGTGACGTTCCGTAACTGATGTGTGTGAATCGACCTTAAGTTCTTCAAATTTCTGCTTATTGAACAAATCAAAGGAGACAGTCAGTGGGATAAAAATTCCTGGCAGAACCTACATTTGAATCAACAATTTCTCTATCCTAGTCTCTAGGGGAGCGAGCTGGTCTAGTGGTTAGAGCACGAGACTTCGGTCCAAGAGGTCTCGGGTTCAAATCCCACCGAATCCCCAAATTCTATCTAAGTGATAATGCCGCAATTCCTAGGTCTAGCCTGTAGTAATGTGAAAAACAATCTTAGGCTCGTGCTTAGCGTCCTAGGACAAAAAATCCTAGTTTCTAAACTGGCCATAAGACTAATAGGTTATCAATTTGACTTCCTCGTCAATGGACTTGCCATCTCGAGTTAACCACCAAAGATTGGCTCACCTACCTGAAACTGCCGGATCCCAATCCTCGGATGTACTCCTGGAAGATGGACTGAGGCACTTGTGTGTATCCGAGTACAATCTTCTTCTGGGGTTCCCCAAGTACAGTCTGAGACTGAAACACTCCCTGCAAACAACAAAAGACCATTAGAATCAGGAGTTGAGAAGATGTCAGGACTAGATGGAGATCCGCAAAAAATATAACAGGAGGAAACATTGAGATAAAACAATAGGATCAAGTAAAGACATCACGTTCATCAAGAATACATTTAGAACGAATAAAATACAACAGTACAAGAGAAAAACATAGAAAATAATTATGTAGAACTATAATTGTATAGATAAGAACATTATGGTTCAAGAAATGGTATCATGTACTAGATATATAAGTACTACAACTAAATAAACTAAGACAGTGAACCTGTTAGGTTTTTTAAATGCTTAATGGAAAAATATTTTTGGAGCTATTTAAGAGTTGTAAATCTTTATCTGAAGATTATTTTATTATACATCAGGACACGGTGAAGGATGAAAGTGATGATTGATTCACGTTGGGATTATTTTACTAAACCCTTAACTAATAATACATCTGAGTAGTGTTTTGATCCTTTAAAAGTGTCACTTTTAGATGATTTGCTAATCTATTCATTATCGGTTCAAAAACTCATAATCCAAATTTTAACTAATAATAAACCATTACAAAGTCTAAGTTTTAGCACAATAATCATTTTTGTCAAATACTGCTTTAACATTTCCTTGGGACGTAACTCTACAGAAAATTATACTTGGACAAAAAATGAATTACAATATTCACAACTAAAACCGTAAAGAATTGATACTTAAAATTGGTTTATAATATTGATTCGTTTTTAACCCAAACAGATTTGTTTCAATCAAGTTAGAAAATACAAACCAAATATCTAAAGTAGCTGAACAAACCGGCAACATTTTTTATAACAGAAGTGTTAAATAAATAATAATATTGCCAACATTGTTGCTGTTCAAAATTTTTGTATTTCGGGTTAAACCTGGTTACGTTAAACAATGCTTCTTTCACTTGAAAACAAAATATTTCTTTCAGGGTAATTTGTAACTGTTAGTATCAGAGTTCAATTTACTAATTGTTGTGTGTCACATGTAAGTTTGGCTACGAGCATTTAGACATTTCAAATTTGAGCTGACATGTTTATTCCCATGATGCCGCATTTTAAACCCTTGAATATTTAAAATATAAATAAAATATTTAAAACTTGACCATTCACAATATTTTGAGATGGATTTTTGTTTAAATTTTTTTGTTACTGATGTTGCGTTTATAATTGAAGAGTAATTACAACATTTCCCATCATTGATTAGTGAAACGGAAGTTTCACGATGATTTGAATTTGAAGGCGGGTCAGATTCCAGATTTCATAACATTAACTTCTGTTTTCTTGTATGGAAAATGTCCGTGTTAATCCTTTAAATGTAGCAGGTTCCTAAAATATTTCAGAAAACACACATTCTTGGTTCTAGTCATTATATGTTTAAGCAACAACAAAAAATTTAATAATAATACTAAATTATGAATATCCATAATCGCAAAGGTCCTTACCTAAAAGTTGCCTACTACACAAATAAAGCACATAATAGAACTGATTACACCATAAAACACCATGAGAACCCCATAGATCACTTTACCCACGGCACCAAGGAAGACAAGTGAGCCAAAAAGAAGAGAGGGGGGTGACAGGGGGAGAGGGGAGGGATCTATTTCTAGGCTGATTCCATTTTTAGTCTGAGCTCTGTAAATGTATACTGTCTCATCACTTGGGTACAGGCTAATCCGCGTTTACATGTTCAGTAAAATTCATGTGCAATTGGCTAATTTACTTTCTGCAAATATTTTTAGCCAAAAAAGTAAAAAAGGGTAAGCAAATTTATAAAGTAACAACAGCTAAAATTTATCTTTGAAATTTATTTTTGAAAAATTGGATATTGAATTCTTGATACCAAATGACTTGATTTTCAAAACTTAAAAAAAATCATGTTTTTTAATGTCTAATTTGACCCGCACAATGAGTTTTTAGATGGGGTGAAAGCTGGGTTGGTTGTAGAGCGAAAGAATCCGGTCCCCAAGATACCTGGTTCAAATCCTACCATACACCAATGGCTTTTATCTAAGTTATAATACCGCAATCCTCTAGGCTTAACATGAAGTAATGTACTGGGCTTGGATGTATGAAAACATTAAAAATGAGCTGTTAAAATGCATTAGTTCGGTAACATATTAACAGAGGTGACTAGACATTATTGTTTATGTCTCCTGGTTTTACCTCTATGTGTTATTTTTGTATCTGATATGACCTCCTTTTATCAATGGCTTATTATAGTGCCTTATATTTAAATCACAATGCAGTTTATTAAAAACCCCTTCACAAGAGTGGTGGATGGGATGATGTGAATCATCACTTGAGAGAATGTTGGTAACTATTTGTCGCCAATTTGACCAGGAAGCGATATAAACTAGAGCAGAGAAGAGCGATTGGCACCGAATAATAGAACAATAAGATCAGATCCAAGCAGACCAGCGTCTATAAGGTCAACAGCCGAGAATTGAACAGCAGCCAAAACACTTGGAAACAGCTGAACTTTGATACTTTAAAAGGTGTAAAAGACATCTTTAACGTTCCTGTCACATTTGATATTTAAATACCCCTCTAAACACAAGCAGTGTTAATCTGGATATTTTCAAGGGTGTTGAAATTTGTCAAGCGGGAGTTCCTTCATACGGAAAACAACTCAAAGACATTCAGAGTTAATATTAGCATCTTTGGAATGCAGAGGTGTCGAGCTGGCGACTCTCAGCGATGAGTCATCCTGCCACTTCAACTTACAGACATCTTTGTCACTAAAAACTTGACGTTAAAGAAAAGAAATTGCAGTAGCAGATCTATTGCTAGTGTAACATCTGTTATGTACAGGATGTCCCACGTAAGGGGTCTAAAATAGATTATGGGAAACGGCTTAAAGTACAAGGATGAAATAAAATAATTTCCCTGGTAAATCGACCCCAAGGAATAACACAAAAAGGGATACAACAGAGCTTGCCATTATTGTATTAATTATACTGTACAGATATATAGAGTGTCCCACGTAAGGTGTCTCAAATTGATTACGAGAAAACGGCTTAACGTACAAGGATGAAATAAAATTATTTCTAGTTAAGTCAACCCTGAGGAATAACGTTAAAATATTGTTAACATTTTTCCGATACATGTGCCAAAAATTGAGGGTCACTAGTTCGAATCTTGGAATTTTCAAATGTAAACATATGTCATGTTATGCATCATTTTTAATTCATGTATGTGTTATTTGACGTGACCAATAACACCAGATTAGGCCAGATAATCAAGATGTTATCTTAGCAATGCAAATTTTCATAACAGTAATAACACAAAATGAGTGATCTGCGCACAAATAAACCTGGACAAAGATAGAGGGAATAAAGGTGTGAGTGGAAGGATATAAATACAAACAAGTAGGCAGCATCTCTGTCATTGCGGGTGTATTATTAGCTCACACTAGCAACTGGTAACACTGCTTCCTACACTGACAATCGTGTTAGAAATACAGATTTCCACGAGGATTGCAGGCATGAAATGTAAAGATTGCAACACAGAATGTATCGAACACCCCAATACGCTAATATCAAGGTCAAACGAAACTCCACTGCCGCTAAAAGAACCAAGGAACAAGCAGAGGTTATATTCATCCAGATCAAGTAACTTTACCGCAAAAAAGATGAGCTGTACAAACAGTAACTAAACAGGATCCACGCCTAACCCTCTCTGCGCCAACTTACACAGTGACACTACTTATAGAGTCCTTGGAGGCTAGCGGCCATCTTGGATGATTTTAAACAGCTACAAGAGTTATTTATCCTCCAAAAATATTTTTTGAGCACCAAAGTGATTTTAATTTAAATATCTAGTATACTGTGAGATTAGAAATGTTCTTTGTAGTTTTGAACTGTTCTCCAAGGGAGTTTATGGAACATAACGGCCATCTTGGATTTGTCCACAAGAGCAATGTTAATTTCGTTAATTTCAAACAGCCACTGACGAGTTATTTACCATCTCAAAATATTTTTTCAAAGACCAGAGTGATTTCAATTTAAATATCTAGTAAACTGAGGGATTAGAAATTTTCTTTGTAGTTTTTTAATTGTTTTACGAGTTAGAACGTCTAGAGGCTCCAAGGACTCTTACCGTTACTACACACAAATACTGCATCGTTTACAATGGCGCAATCTTAATTTAGCTGTCTGAAATTGTGTAAACTTGTATGAAATAGTGGCTGTCTGTATGAATGGGGTTCAGATCAATGAGGATTTAATTTTTTTTTTTAAGAGGTTGGCGGCCTCTTTTAACTTTGCATTTGCCCATCCACATAGACTAAGCGCCCGTGCGTGGATCGTTAACAGCAAAGCAAGGAGTGAGCCGGTACAGTACAAAGGTGAACTGTACTGATAAAATGTTATTGGCAGTGACCAGGATCCGAACCCACCACATCGCTGCCTTGGGCCCGAAGTCCGCGACGCTACCGACTGAGCCACCGACTCACTAACACGACGCCACTAGGTATTTACTGAAGTGTTTTAGCAGTATGACGGCAAGGCTTAGATAATTTAGATGAGTATGAAACCATGAACTGTTATGAATTACCACATGTAATTGGTAATTGTTACAATTACCATTAGTTTTACAAATAATTACCTTTTTTTAATTTATGAGAACCCAAAGCTATTATGAATGTGATGTTTTTCAATCCTGTTGTGCATGAGTCGCCAGTGAATCAATAACGCTTGATGAAAGAAATAAAAAGTATTAAAATTACTCACTTTAATCCCACATTTTATCCATGCCGGTTTCCATATTTTATGTTTAAATTTCTTTTTTGGCCAGTTAATATTAAGATTAAATGTTAATATCTGTACAACATTTTCATAAATTCGTTTCGCTGCGAATTTTCTTCTCCAGATTCCTGACTAGAAAAAGATCTGTTAGAAAATCGTTTTAGGACAAAATATTTAAGTCTAGGTTTTTTATAACTCGTACAGCCTAGATACTTAGGAAATTTAATTTTTTCAATTTAACATTCAATTTGGGTGGTTTTTGTATTTTTATCGTGATTAACTTGTGGGTAGATATTGTAGGTTTGATTTAACTAAACTATGCTTAGCTTAAAAATAAAACTCCACTTTCATACTTTCTAACAAGATTTCAAGTTAACTCGATTAATACAAATATTATGAACACCTTCAAACTACTGAAGATGCTAAGCACAGTCTGTATGCACAACACATAGAAAACTCCATATTGAAGGCACTCTGAATTAATTTTGAGAGGTAAAATAAAAGTATTTTCCTGAGATAGATGCATATAGTAGACTTATTCTATAATGTAGGCTACATTTCATTTGATACTTTTACATTCTAAGTAATGTATACATTTATTATAGGTTTTATTGTGTTGTTTTGTAGTTTGGTGATGAAACCTTGCATTATTTTTCCATTAATGCTGCTTTTTTTTTCTATTTATATAATTATTTATTGGAGGAGTGTTCTTATCACAAAAGAACTATTATACATTTAATGAATTTCTTTTGTAAAGGTCAACTATTGGCATGACTTGATTGTCTGGGTAACCGAGTAGTTATAGTGCTCGCCTTCAAATCTGAGGGTCGCTGGTTCGAATCCAAGCGAGATTGTTTCCAGACCCTGATGCCATTTGTCTTTGGGCTATGAATTAATGATGCTATCTAACAAAAAGGTTGACGTTAGATAGAAACAAGACCAGGGTTTGGACCATTTCCTTTCAAAATGTAAAAAATGCCAATCTGTAAAAGCACAAAAAAAATAAAAAATAAAAATGACACACAGTGAAACTTAAACCCCATCATAGAAGTTCATTTTATAACCCCGATGACAAGTGGGTTCATTAAAAAATGTGCATTTTTGTATTCTACAACGAATATGGTTGTATAAAGAATTGAGCTGAGTTTTATTGAGCAAACATTACTCACAAGTGGATATTCATTGATTCCTTCTTGGCTGAAGAAATACTCTCGGCCGAATATAACGATAGAAGTATGCCACACACCTTCAATATGTGTGCCTGTAACAATACAGAAATATATAATAACAAATTTAACATCAATAACATTATCGATAATATAGTGAGTGAAACTGGAAAACACAGTGAGATGAAAATAATGCATTTATCTTGCAAATACAGGGTTATTCAAAATGAATGACCCAGTTTTAACGCTTTATAACTTTTAAACTATTAAACTTACCGCTATAAAATACACATCAAACGAAAAAGCAACTCAAAGAGTTTACGCCTTCCAAAGACACATCATTTAACAAAATTGATCCAAAAGAACTGAAGATTTAATTGTACAAAGTTAAAAAGTAATCGCCAACTTTTTTTACCACTAAAAATTTGGAGGTTACTTGACGTTTTTGCAAATAACTTTTAAATGGTGAGGTAATCGACCAAAGTGGAAGGTATTATTCTGAAAGAGAATAAAATTTCCTACAATCTACCATTAGGCATTATTTGAAAATACTCAAGAAAGGTACTAAAAAATGCCTCAAAATGAAAAAAAAAAAAAAAATAGAAAATCCCTGTCTTCAATGTAGACAATAAACATAGCAAACATTAAATTTCACACTTTTTTTATTTTAAGCCAAATTTAGGCTACATTGATTGAGTATTTTCAAAAAATGCCTAATAGTAGATTGTAGGAAATTTTATTCTCTTTCGGAATATTACCTTCCACTTTGGTCGATTTCCTCACCATTTAAAAGTTATTTGCAAAAACATCAAGTAACCTCCAAATTTCTAGTGGTAAAGATGGTAAGTTGGAGATTACTTTTTAACTTTGTACAATTAAATATACAGTTCTGTTGGATCGATTTTGTTAAATGATGTGTCTTTGGAAGGCATAAACTCTTTGAGTTGTTTTTTCGTTTGGTGTGTATTTTATAGCGGTAAGTTTAATAGTATAAAAATTATAAAGCATTAAAAATGGGTCCATCATTTAGAATAATCCTGTATATACTAAACAGTAAACATGAAAGATCATGGTTATAGTTGTAAATAAAATGATACGATCTAAACCGTTTTTTTCTTCCAAATTACTGTTATTTTCCCAGCTGTGAATTTATAAACAAATTCATGTAATCCGTCTATTAAGCTAACCGACATAGTCCCACAAGTGACATTTAATAGAGGTTTTACTGTAAAGAGAATTCTTGTTTCATTTTGTGACTACACAAATGAGTAGAAACCACATTAACCAGTGAGTTACCTAGAGGATTCTTGATGAGGTATGTAAGTTGCTAATTTATTCAAATGCCTGTAGTTTATATATTCTAAGAACGTCGACTGAACAAGACGTGTCAGATTGTACAGCTGTTTATTTGGTTTGGCAGTTTTACTTTTTATACGTCTGAAATGAAATAGTCTAGTGCCTTACATATTTCGATTCTAGGCATTTAAGCTGTAACGGTTAATAGGGATATACAGCTGATGTGGCTAACTTAAAAGTTGTTTTGAGATTTTGTTCCTACATTTTTAATGAATTTGAGATATTTTCAGAGTGTTTTGGTGATTTTGAATGTAATTTCAGTTAAATTAGTGAGTTTGTGATGTCCGGATGTATAAATCTTTTTAAGTGAATTCAAACCAAGTTCATAGTTTTAAGTTGAAGTTTGTGTTTAATTTGGGGTTAGGAAATCAAATTTAAAATATCTGTAATCTTTTGGTTACTAGGCAACATGAAAATAATGCATTCAAAAATTTCTTTTGGTTCTCTCATAAGAACAATACTGATTATAGTGCTGGTAAAAATATTGGTTTCAATCTGTAGACAAAAAAACCATACATATTTCTCTTAAAAATATTCATCCTGAAATTAACACGAGATGTGTATACTTCCAAATTTCAAATGATTTTTCATTAAAAAACAAAATGTTAGATAGAACAAAGAACAGAAAAGATAAATCGAAATGGAAAGTTATTTGGCGATCACTTAACCTAAAGCTTTATGTATCTTACTTCTTTTTGATTAATTTGATTCTTTTATGTGGAGACATAGAAGAAAACCCTGGGCCTGAAAATAGCAATGATGTATCAAAAGAAGAGTGTCCGTTTTGTAAAAAACATTTTTATAGACTTAAGTCTCATATCAAGGCAACTCACGACAATTATTATATAACAGAATCAGATAATTTAAGAAAAAGTAGAACCAGAACCTGTAGTTATAGTTCCACAAAATTGTGGTATGAACTTAGAGACTTCGAGATAGACCTTTGGGCATCAAATTGTTTGCAGCTACCCCTAAATTGTGTATTTATTCCTCCAGCTGTAGTACATTTGCTGCGTGTGGGAAGCGAAAGTTTTGTCCTTAAAACAATCAAAGATGAAATGAAATTGTCAAAAAGTGAATTTATTTTCTTAATAATAAATAATAAAACTAATGAGGAAAAGGAGAATGCTTGTCATTGGTCTCTGTTGATCTGTGACGTATATAAAAACACAACATATCATTTTGACTCAAAATCTCCATCCAACAGTCAGATTGCCAAGAAAATGACCGAAAGACTGAGTAAATGCAGCTTGGGAACTGATGAGATTAATATGTTAGAAGTAGATTGTCTTCAACAACGTGGAAGAGTTGAGTGTGGTGTGTACTGCCTACATTTTGCAAAAATTGTTTGTAACAGAATAATAAACAATAACTTAACCATATCGGACAAGATGTATAAACAGGATTTTCTTGTAGGTAATATCTATAATGAAATTGAATGTCTAAAAAAACAGAGTTTAAATGTCCCTAATAATAAATGTCAAGCAACTAAGATTAGAAATAAATCGTTGGAAGGCATAAAGCAAACCTCAGCTGAAGATCATAAATTTCAAAAAAGTGAGGAATGTAACAGTAAAGTAGATCAATCAAATGATCAAACTTGTGGCGAATGCGGAAAACTCTTTAAAAGCAAAAAAGGATTATCTCTCCATATTTCAAAGAGCCACCACAATAAACATCGTGATATAATTCTAAACAAGTATTGTCCAGAAAGCTCAAAAACACAGTCTCCAGACAAATTGGATGATAAAACAAACAATATGTCAAGCAAAGTAAATAGCGAAAGTGATCGCATAAACAAGGATCTCGATTCTTGGTTAACAGTCTTCAATGAAGAACAAACACACTTTGAGTTATTCTCTGAAAATTTTGATAAGTTTTCCAAGTTTTTATCTCACGCTTTACACAATCTTCCTGGGCCTAAACATCCTTCTTACAGGTTTTATAAATTAAGGAAAGAGAAACAAGACTATCCTCAAAATAGTAATTATAAGAAATCATCCAACCCAGAAAGGAAAACTAAAAACGAAAGGAAAAAGAGAAAAGAAAAGTATGAATATGATCTGATCCAATTTGAATACTATAATAGGCGTAGGAAAGCTGTGAGAAGGATAATCGGAGACGGTAATAAAGGATGTGAAATTGATCTAAAAACATTACACGAAGGTTTTACCACACGTTTCTCCAATCCAAATGAAAATATGAAAATGTCATATAACAATGTGGAAGACACAATAGTGAAAGACTTAGATTCGCATTATAATCAAAAAATTACTGAAGAAGAAGTCGTGAGAGCAATAAATGCAATAAAAATTGACACTTCTCCGGGACCTGACAATATATTAATGAGAATTGTAAAACTTAAGAAAGTAGCAAAGATCCTCTGTTCAATTTATAACACAATACACCTTACAAACCAGATACCTTCATCATTTCAAAGAGCACGAACTATTTTAATTGATAAAGGTGGAGACAAAAAAGAGGTTAATAACTGGAGACCAATCACAATATGTTCTGTTTTAAGGAGGATATTAGAAAAAATATTGGACAAAAGACTAAAAGAATATATCAAATTTAACCAGTTTCAAGGAGGTTTTTCTAATACCCCTGGTTCCCATCTTAATACAAGTATTCTAAATGAGGTATTGAGATCAGCAAAATCAAAGAAAACCGACTGCTGTATTATGTTTCTGGATATTGAGAAAGCGTACGACAATATCGGCCATAACCACTTATCCTCAGTCTTGCAGGAGCTACCTATTCCTAGGAAACTGATTGAAATAATAATTAAACTCCAAATAGGCAATGTTACAAAAGTTGAAACTCATAGAGGGAAAACAAAGGACATCAAAATACAAAGGGGTGTAATGCAGGGATCTCCATTGTCACCCACTTTGTATAACCTATGTATTGACCATATCCTCTCTGAAATGTCACAACATGCCGTAAGTGAGGAGCTAGGGTATAAGCTATGCAAGGACATGCCTTCTCTAAGTATTCTAGGATTTGCTGACGATACCATTTTAATTGGTAAGAATAGAGAAAGTGCTCTTGTATTATTCGATTCGATTTGTGACTTCTTCAGAGAAATTGGATTAACTATAAATATATCAAAAACTAAAATTATTAACATTGAAAAAGGTAGATTACAAGAGGAAAACTTCCAAATATGTTCAAAAGAAATAAAATCTATAACATTTAATGAAAAAATTAAATACTTAGGAGTAAATTTTTCTGAAAGCATAGTATTTGACTCTGAAAAAACAATTAGTTCATTGATAAACAAAATTGAAAAATTAACATGTTCTCCTTTTTTAAGGTCTGAACAAAAAATGTATGTATTGAATCATAATATTTGGCCATCTTTAATATATCCTTTTCAAACCGCACCAATTAAGAAAATTACAATGAAATTCTTTGACGATGTTGATAAAGTGATAAGATCAACAACAAAGGAAATCTTAGATCTTCCAAATGATATGCCAAATTCTATGTTTTATACAAGTACTAAAAACAAAGGGATTGGGTTATGTAAATCAATGTGGGAATCATCAATCCAACATATAAACATATGTCGCATATTAAAACAAACGGGAAACCCCTACTTACTTAATATTCGTCAATTTGACGAAGAAATTAGGTTTTGTCTGGAAAAATTGAATTTAAGTATTGAATTTATCGAATCAAAACCCAAGATACTGCGAGAAACCTTACGAGACTTAGAGTATCAAAATTGGTG